TATAGGTGACATTAGTTATACAGGTGGTATTGCCCCCAGTTCTGATAAAAGATTAAAGGAAGATATAAAAGAAATCAATTCAAAGAAAGCCGTTGAGATGGTAAAGTATATTAAACCGAAAACATACAAATTTATTGATAAAGAAAAATACGGCAACAGGCCTTGTGTGGGTATGGTAGCTAATGATTTTTTAACTGATAAAATGCCTTCAGAATGGGGGAACATTGTTAAAGAAGGAAGAGATGGATATTTAAAGTTTGATTATAGTATGTGTGTTCCGATTTTATGGAGTGCTTTACAGACAACAATAAATGAAGTAGATAAACTGAAAAAGGAAGTAAAGAAGTTGAAAGGAAAAGGTAAAGGAAATAAAAGCGATAGTAATTAAATATAAGTTATAGTATAATATGGGTAGTAGAATTTCAAAAGATAATGAGAATGATTGTATTAATCAAATAAATAATATTAATGAAAATGATTTAGATTTGAGTAATATTGATAGATTGCAAATTAAAGTTTTGAAAGAAATGATAAAGGAACTAAAAGAAGTAAAAGAAAAGAAGAGTGATAAAATGTATTATAAATTACCTGCTATAAACTTGTGCAGTTATTCATTAATTTAATTAATAATATTATGAATAAATAATATTATTAATTATTCTCAACGGTGTTGTTGTTTTGTATTCTTTCTTGGAAGCCTTCAAATCTTTCGTTTGACTGTTGATTTTCTGTTTCTTTAGCAAAACATTTGTCATATATATAACATGGGGTATAAACAACAAGCATTAATGGAACTAACACAGGCATAAATGGCGTTAAAACACAATTAATAGTAGTTCCAATCGTGCATCCATCTCTTTTAATATATTTTAACATCTGTTCCCCGCATATATAACCATATATCATTCCCGCAGAAATACCAGCAGAAATATAAATCGTTTCCATTATTGTTTAAAGGTCTTCTGTCTTTAAGTATAATTAGTCTATGACCAACTTAGCATCAAATCTTTTATAAAACATATCATTAACATCACCTTTCATTAAGTTGATAAACAAAAAACTGTATGGTTCTTCCGTTGCTATGTTATATACTTCTAACAATAGCTTCTTTGCTTCTGCGAGGTTTTTAGTATCAGCAACGGTGGATTTTTTAATCAATACCGCGCTTAACTCTTCAACCATTGTTTCAATTTCTTTGTAGTTTCTTAATCTGAAAAAGAATAATTGACGACTATTAACACGAATAATTGGTGATAAAGCATTAAATTTTTGTGTGGAAGTAATAATATTAATTGCGTTGTGTCTCCCTCTCACATACAACTGATTTAATAAAGGACTGTTGCGAGAGAAATTTTTTGAATCAGCGAAGTCATCAACAATTATTAGAATTGAAAATAATTTCTTGTGGTCGTTCTTCTTCTGATACTCTATTACCTTATGTTGTCTTTTTATCACTGCTTCTAATTCTTCTGGTATGTATTCATCAAACATACATTTTTCCTTTTCTAAATTAACCTTCAAATTATCCTGAATATATTTTTTGACTGGCAACCAATTACTATCAACTGAAATTGAAGGGGACCAGATATATATTCTTTCAAAGACATCCCTGTAAATATCCAGTATCATTGATTGTAATAATATTCCTTTACCAGAACCGCTGGGACCTGTTATTATTTGACTAAACGGTAATTTAGGTGCTACTTCATATTTAGATTGTTTAAAATCATATTCTTTAACATTTATAGGTTTAACTATGGGTGTAATCATTATTATTAATAGATAGAATATTTTATAATTAATAATATATGGGCGAGTATGATGAGTATTTAGAGGTTATAGATGAGATAAAGAAAATAGATATAATAAAGACACCCAGATATAGAATGTGTTGTTATAGTTTGTTAGAGTTCTTGAAGGCAGTTTGTTATTATGTTAAAAATGTTAAAAAATCTAAATAGTATAAATGGATGACAAAAGCCAAAAAGAAGGAGGGTTTAGTATAAATCCGAAAGGTATAAAATGCTTTCCTTGTAGATTTAGGAAAAAATCATATAAGCGAAACAAAAAGAAAATCATAAATAAAGAAGGAATAACAACAGTTGAAGAGAATTTAGACACTTCTTCAATTGGATTTGGTAGAGGCACGACACCACCTACTCAACCGAGAACACTAACATTAGACGAAAAAATAGAGCGCTTAGAAACAAAACTGGAAGAAATAAAGATTAAGCAGATAAACGATATTGATACTGGTTTTAGAAAAGCAATATCATTAGATGAAAGATTGCTTAAATTAGAGAAGGAAGTAGAAGCACTTAAAAAGTTTAATGGGTTGAATGGCTTAGATTAACATTTAAAAGTTTAACGATTAAATACAATGACAGATAAAAACCTGATGGTTTTTAACTCTTGGGTTTTTTTAGCAAAAAAAAACCCATCAGTGTATAGCTTTTGGAAGAAGGAGAAAAATACCCCCGTAGTGTTCCCTGTTTCACATTGGATGAACTCGTGAAAGGGAAGTAATGAGATACATTCAATAGCAATTCATAAGCAGTTGCTTAATTAGTTTGAACTTTATTCATAACATTTTTTATGTTATGAAAAAAGTTGTAATTCTACTCTTTATAAGTATTTTTAAACGCATTTTTAACCTAAAACTTTTAATATAAAATTTTTAATCTAAAACTTTTATATAGTATGTCAGATATAGATGATGATATTAAAGAAACAAAGGCAACACGATTTCAAAAGATATTGGATAAGCTAGAAATAATTGAAAAAGCTGTTAATAAATTGAACACTGAGAAACCAAAACAAATAAACAAAACATTAATTAAGGATAGTGATATTTACAAGAATAAAAGAAATGTATATATAAATAAACTTAACACTGGAGAAATCAGATACCCTAAAAAAGAAACTTTGGAATATTATGAAATTAAATATGATGATGAACATAAGGTTTATAGCTGAATAATATATTTTACAAATTCCGTATTTTACAAAATGACTTAAGGACTTGAGGACGTATATATTAATGGTAGAAACATCTAAATATACAAACAAACAGGAAATGACTAAAATTAATAATGACCTAAACTTGATAAAGGATGAAGTTATGAATACAATAACCGACAACATACCTTATATTGAAAACTGCATGATGACAACTTATGTAAGGAACGGGAAAATGCTTGTTGAAATTGTAGATGCGAGGACATTAGATATTATGAGACGAGAGGAAACAAACAAAGAAAACAAAGAACCAAAGGGGATGGCAACACTCTATACGATAATGAACGGATAAACATTAATAGCATTTTACTAATTATTTTTAGTAAAATTCTATAGGATAAGGGCTACAATCTTTGGGGAGATTTCAGATAAGGCTCTTCCCCCAGACCTCGGAATAATGTATTTTACAAATTCCGTATTTTACAAAATGACTTAAGGACTTGAGGACTTAAGATAGTATAGAGTAAATGTTCAGTCATGAAGAACAGGAGGAAATTATTGATGAGTTCTTGAATGTTATTGAAATGAAAACCGTTATTAAAGACAAAGTGAGTAGGTGTGCTACATGTAAGTTCAATCAAAAGAATATGTCGTTATATAAACTGAATATACCTGTCAATATTATCACAAAGATTTGTAAATACAGTTATGAGGAATGCGAAGTGTGTAAAACTTTAACAGATTTTAAGGATAATGTTTATGATTGTAGTATTGAAGATTTTGAAAATGTGGTTAAAGCAGTTGAAGATAAACATAAATACAACATAACAAATTACACAGAGAAGAAATTAGATTCACAAATATACTATTATGTTAAATTAAATCCATTTCCTAAATTTGAGAAGACAATACGATGGTCCAAAACTGTATTACCAGAGTGCAAATTTTATAATGCTGAATTCTACAATGACATTAAATTATTATACGATACTGCATTTGTTATTGATGAAAAGGTAAAACAATTCTACAGCAAACAGCGAAGAAGATTAATAAACGAATATGATAAAAATGTAGATGAAAAGAATGATACAAAGAGAAAATTTGTTAATCATCTTGAAAGACAACTGAGTAAAGTTGAAAGTGCATTTTTTACGATTCTCCAACATATAAACAACAATGAGAAATTTGGCAAATTGAAAAATAAATTGTATTCAACAGAAACTTATATACGGATTATAAAACGAATAGCAGAAGTACATTTTGAAGATGATTTTTCATTTGAAAGGTTTTTGGATAAAAGATTTCCTTATTTGCCTACAGTTCAATACAAGAAACAAAAAAAAGTGAGAGACGACACGGACTATCTAAATACTATAGATGATTGTTTGATGTAATATATTAACAAAATACAATATTGTTAATATATTATTTCACTTAATACACATCCTTTTAGGGGTAAGATTTCAGATAAGGCTCTTCCCCCAGACCTCATTAGAATTAGTTGAGGGTAAGCTTTGCTTAGGTGGCTTTGGTTTTAGGGCTTTGGTAATGGTCTTGCTTTAGGCTCTTCGGATTTGGGAAGATTTTAGTATGGTTTTGGCTAGTGGCTTTGGTTTGGATGGTTTTGAAGGCTTGATTTAGGCATCCTGTTCGGGAATTGGGTTAAAAGTATAGGGGGGGGTACATGGTTATGAGGTTGTGGGTTACCCTATGCTTGCTGTGGGAAGAGGGCTGTGGTTCAATTCCAAAGGTTTGACCACACTGGATCGTGCTGCCATGTGGGAAGAAGATGTGCCCGCGCCGCAAGCTAAGCGATGGACTAGGACATATACTAAGATCGTAGAACAACCTTCTCAAGGTTCGTGAAACTGCGATGCAAAACAGCACCTTGCAAAAAGACCCGAGCTTTCCGGAGGCTTTTTGAAGCTGATGCAATCCAATCTAAAGCTAGTCCCTTGAAAATCCTACGCTGCCGCTACTGGCTCTAGCAGCGACTGGTCACGGTGACACGGCGATGACCTAGCAGAGCAATGCTCTGAGTGTCATCTCCAGTTAGGCAAAGGCATTGGGTACGGGTTGCCACCCATGGCGCCGAGGGGTCGCCCGGGAAGGAAGTAGCCGAAATCGATGGCATCTGGTGCCACCTCGGATGCCGGCACCCTCAAACTGCAGGCCGTCGTCACAGGCTTATGCACATGTAGAGCTGCGACCAGGATCACAACAACAGATGCGAAAAAAAAATCCGTGAAGCTCCTGCCATGCCTCGTCGGGGATCCAGAGCCCCAAAGCCAAAACCAAACCTTAAACCCGAAACCTGGAGGCCAAAGAAATAGCAAGAAAGTACGGAAAGCTCGCCAAGGGACGTGGAAAGCGCCTCTGATTCCCCAGGACTCACTCCAGGAGTTAATGGCCAGGATGTAACCGGGCCCAAAGCCCATGCCTCCAACAAAGAGCTTGAAGGGTTTGGCGCACAGTTGCCGTGTCTATGCTAGCTGTCAGCGTTATCATAGGCTCACTGCCGGTTCAAGTACCTGCGGTCTTACATACGAGTGGCCAGAGCATTCTAAACAGTTGTCACGTCCATGGTCCACTGTGACTTGGGAGATGACATCCATGCCAGAACCATGGTCTAGTGCGACTTGCGAAGATCCGGGAATGGCATCTATAACATCTACCCACACGGGCCGGGTGCGACTCTGAAACTTGTCTGTCTCTCCACGTCCGCAGACAAGCTATCAACCAAGGAGAAACAGGGAACTCGCGTATCGGGGCTGTGTTTTTAGTATTGTTATTTCTTTGCTTTCTGAACCCTGTCAGTGGTCACATCTTTCATTCCATATGATACCTATCTGTACACCCATCCCACGATGCACATACCGAAAGCATGACAAGATGGGCAGGCGGATAGGTGGACAAACAGAAAGACAGGGGGATGCCTACATTCATTGATTCATGCAAGCGACAAGCACAGCTCATGATCTAACCGACCCGGCCCAAATTCGACTCAACGAGTCGGTGCCCAGCTTAACTTGACTTCCCCCAGGCTCTCTGAGCAGTGTTTGCAGAGGGTAGACCTTGAGAGTTTGAGGGGCTTCAAGGTCGGAGGTTTCGGGGGCAGTGTTGCAAAGAGAAGCCTGCATTTGCCGGGATTCGAGACTGAGGGCGATAAGGGTGTTAGCCATTCGTGAGGTGGTGGAGCCCATGGCCTTTGTCTATGAACTGCCTTGAAGCTTTCGAGTTCATGGGAATGCTGACTCCGTGTCCCGATCCCTGAATCATGCAACGAGAAGCCACAATCAACATCACAAAGTGTGAAGTACGCAAACATAATGAGCTTTGAAAGGCTTCTGCACAAATAGAGGGGACTGCTAGTTAACTCCCCTTGCCCTCTCGCCTGTGACGGCATGTCCTCCCATGTAGAGGTTCCAACTCTTGCGCACAGGCTTGTAGATACCTCGAGCCGTGGAAGGGGACATCTTCTAGGCTGCTCTGCTCTCCTGCTTCTGCTGGATTTCGGGCTCGCCACCACAACTTTGAAAGTGAAACCAGTTGTGGGTAGTTTTGACAGCTAAGGGGTAAGAGTTGAGCGCCAAGGCTTGATGACGCCTTTTCTGCCCGTGAGACATGCAAACGGTCGACAAGCAGAATTTTCGCATTATCCTATCCGTAGGTTGGTCCCACCACTCGGCAAAGTGTACGCCCCAATGCAAAGACACAGAGTGCTGTACAGGATTACAACTCGGCAAACCCAGAACAGGCACACACTTCTGCAGCACGGCTTAACTAGACCGGAAGGGAGGCAGGCGACGTTCAATCACACGGGCGACTGCTGCAATCCGAGTCCGATACCCGACTGGTATGCGTAGAAGTCCTGCGGTAGCAGCCGGGCTCTTCGTTGGCAGGATGTGACTTGGGATTGGCCTAGGCGTCCCACGCACCGATCGTTGCTAGTGGCAGGAGACGGATTCAGCACTCGCAGGCTCTCTCATGGTCCTGGTAGATTCGCATTCCCAATAGGATTGGGCCCTCCGTCATGAGCGCCTGCAGCGAAACACCCATCTGGTAGCACTTCTGACTCGCTTACCAGCACGTGGTGATGTCTCAGGTTTAAACTTACTCATGTCACTGTTTGCTCAGGTTGTTTTGCAAGCAGGTACTCTGCAGATGTTGCATGTGTACGTTCTTTCGTTCTTTGAGTTGTGTGGGATATGGTTCGTTGTATTGTGAGCTACCTGTCAAATCCTTCCTGGGGCTGTCGCAAAAAATCGGAAAGTCGACAGCACTGCACGAAAGGACGTACCATGCTGTCTGCTTATTTAGCAGACGACCCACCAGCATTACATCAATCAGCGGAAGTTCAAACTCCACATTCACGCTGATTGAGAGCATGAAGCCTAGACGGTGTAAAATCTTCCTATTTGTTGAGACCGTCAACAAGGCCACATGATTTTGCACATGCCCAAGTCCCTGAATGCTGAAACGCTGCTGAGAGTCTGCAACCCTCACTGCCCCACATCCTCAAACCTCAAAGGTTCACAACCTCCAGAACGGAAGCCTTCAATTCCAGGGCCCACAGCCCTATACCCGGGCCCCTAACCCCCAAAGGCCTAAAGCCCTCAAACCCCCAACCAAACCCTCCTCGGCCCTAGACTCCAAAGACCCCCCCAGCCTTCTGCACCATGTAGGGCACCTGCGAGCCCACGGGATGTAGCGGCCTCGGCTCGTATTGAACCTCGGCCCAAAACAGGAGGACTCAGAGGGGCTTTCGGGGGGGATCTTGGGGATTCTGGTGGTAGGAAGTTTGAGGGTTTAAGTCTTGAGGCCCAGGGCTCGCGGCTTCAAATTGGGCTTAGAGTTTGGGCGGAGTCCTTGAAGGGTGGGACATACGCATATGTATGTGTTTATATATATATATATATATATATATATATATATATATATGGTCACGCGCTCCGCAGACCCCCCCCCCCTCCCCCCCCAAAGGTCAATGGTCCGGATATAGGGTGGGGCCCCCCCCTCCCCTGTGGTGTGGGGTGTGGGGTTCCTTTTCCTCCTGTGGGGTGGTTGTGGGGTTTTGGGGTTTCGGGTTTAGCTTAAGCTTTTGAGTTTTGGGTTTACGGTTACAAGGTATAAGGCTTCGAGTCGACAAGGGCTTAGGGAGGATTTGCGGTGTATGCTCTGCTTTAGGCTTAAAGCCTGCAGTTAGGTGGTGTTTAGGGTTGGGTGTAGTGTTTTAAGTACAAGTTAATGTTGCTCAAAACAGGGGCACGCGCTGCGTCATAGGGTGTCATAGGGTTTACGAAGTTTACGGCTTGCTTGCGAAGGGCTTGCGCGTGAGCCCTGGCCGCCAGCACCAACGGCCCCCAACCCCTTTCCGCACACGCCAGGCCCCCCCCCCCTGTCAGACCATACCATTGGGGGGGGGGGGGGGCTGGGAACGCCAGACGCCTGACCATATATGCCATCTGGAAATGTATGCCGGATCAGGCTCAGCAGCTGTAGAGTTAAGCGTGACCAAGCTGGGCGACTGCAGCCTACTCCGAATGCTCGGGCCGCAGCGTAAAACAGGTCTTGACTCAGCGGCCGCGGATACCTTTCCGGAAGTCAATTTCTCTGCACCAACAAGCCTGGGCTACGATGGTAAATGTGCACCATGCAAAGTCTTTATTCCTTCCACTTCCATGTGGAAACACGTTGCAAGGGTTTTAGGCAGGCATCACGTGGCGCCTGGTGTATGGAGAACAAGCGCCCGGGCAGCGAACTTGCGTGTCGTGCGGCTGCACTTGCGGGTAGCAGGTCTGCACGCCGGCCTGCGTGGAAAGGCAGGGGACCCAGCAGTCTTTGAGTCAAGCATCCATGCCGAGCCTCGGAGAGCGCTTCGCATCCCACGCCCGAAGAAAGAAAGAAGTCGGGACCCATCAAACCTGGGCCTCTGCACAATAACCGGTCAACACCCCGACTTTGTACCGCAAAAGAAGAAGGTTTCTGACACCCAGGAATCTGTCGCCGCCTGCATGTTTCCACGATAATCCGGGCCGCCGGTGGGAACTCCCCACCTTTCATTCCATGGCTTCGACTCCAAGACTCCACTTTTTCCAGGAGAGGACTTCTTGTTTCCGCTTGGCTCAGAGTCCCGCTGACATGGGGTAAATACAAAACACAAAACAGCTGTCGCTCAGGATCGTTCTAGGACCTAATCACATCAAACAAACATGGACTGGCTTGGCAAGGGTTTTGATTTCGTTTTACCGAGCTGCATCATGAAAATCTCAAGGTTAAACTTTTCAGGTCAGAGAAACCTCCCAGGAGTTCCATGTACAAATCATTCCCTCATTCCCGACTGACCACCGGCAAGTTTACACCCCATAGACCAAACAAAAAACGTCAAACCCTCTCAAAACACTCTTATCGACCACCTTTAAAAAGACCGCGTCGAAAACGTGTAAAAAAGCCCTTCCAACGAAACCGCAAAAGGGGGGGGGGGGCCAAAGACCGCCAAGGATCCGCGAGACCGTTCGAAAGCCCAGCAGGCCGCTGCCACCAAGGCAGTAGTCGTGGCCATCGGTCCTCTTGCTAGGGCTTGTAGGTCGCGGGGGTAAGGGTCAGGGCGCAATCAAGACATTCGGAAGGATCGGGGACTTAGGTAGCAGCTCAGGAGTATATAGGGCCATAAATTAGGCATAAGCGATCAACTAATGGTGCTTAAAAGCCAGCGAAACCATACTTTCTGAGCCCTGACTCGTCAAGCAAACCCTAATCTGACAGTTCACACATAGCAGGGATTCATCGGTTTGGGCATCACAATGAACGGCCTTTTGGGGTCCGAGCTTTGAGTTTTGCGATGGTCACACGGTAGGATTTCGGGGCTTCAACCTTATGTCGAGTTTCATGGGGCATTGCGCGTTTGACAATCCGGCTTGTTGCACGACTGGTACTTGTTGTGGAGTTCGGGGGGCTAGAGCTTCTGGTCAGACTTTGCGCATGTGGGCCTCGATGGGCCTCGTGTTACAGGGAAGAAAATCCCGAATACCCGAAACGCTACATCTGAACCCTGTCCTGCAGGCCGCGATGAAGGACTGGCTCAACCAAGCTTGGGGGCCGTTAAACCTCGGCGACAGAAGGAGGAGAACTAGTGTAGGGGGGATTCGGGGCTAGGGCCTGTAGCGCAAAGTCCAGGGAGGTTTCTCAGAGGAGCTCCTTCCACTTGGACTTTGTGATGGCGGGGACCCCCTCGAACGGATCCTCTTTTTTATCACAAGCTTTCATTTGCGAAGCGAAGATGATATGTTTGCGGGATTGGTTTGTGGCCATGCAGGGACTCTTGTCGGGTGGCCCTCGAAAGCGTGATGATATTTGTTGATGCCATGTGCTGTTGACATGTGTATTTGCATATATGATCATATACACACGCATGAACGCATAGGTAACGCGTGCAAGCAGAGATAGATCGATGCAGACGTAGATGCGGATGAAGGCATAGACGTTAATTTAAATGTAGAGAGTCATCACCAACCCAAGGCCCAGAACCTGTCAATGTCTGAAGCGACTTGTGATTCACAGAACAGAGAAACAGAGGATGAAAAACCACAACTCCGCTGTAGAAAAGTGGAAGCCCAGCTGATCTTCCTCCCTGTGCTTTGGCTGTTCCTTCTATGCAACGAGGTTTTGCGATGCATAAACCTTATTACAGCTTGTTTCTACCAACAAGCAAGCAGATGTCGCCAGCCTAGATACATCACTGAATAGTAACACCAGATAACCCATGAGAGGGTAGCAATCCGGGTGCGGCTTTGGCCAGCAGCACTAGACCCCTTTTCAGGGACCTGCGGCATGGTACTACAGCTTTCTCGGCAACCCACACACAAGCCTTTCATGAAAACTCTGCTATTGCCAGGCCACTTGCCATGGGTCTGGATGCATAGCCGGCTCTCCGTGATCAAGGCAGTACTGTGGCTCCAGCAGTTATTGCCTTGAAGTGCGGGCTGTGGCACTTGCAAACAGTCTAGCAGGATAGGCGCCTAGGCCCTGGTCACCGTCTGAAACAAGCCCCGATTGTCCAGTCAATTCAACCCCAAAATCTCCAAATTGGGGCCTCAGAGCACCAAATTGGAGAAAGGTGTGTTTGTGCGTGTGTGTGTGTGTGTGTCACGAGTGATGTGAGCGACAGCAAAAAAAATCTGCAGGTTCCTTCAGGAAACAGCCAATCACATGAGTGCTTCTCTAAACTAGATCCCTTTGGGGGTCCCGAACAAGTTCGAAGAAGGAGCCGAGAGGGATCCTAGCGAACTGCGAGGACGCCTGCATGGAAAAATGACCCAAGATGAAGCCCAGTAGCACGTCTGGTAGCGCACATGCGTCGTGACGGGCTTGCACTCAGGCCAGTTTTCCCTCACGTCGAATTCCTCTGAAAAAGCCTTGGGGTGACAGGGCATCACTGCTAACGACAAGATGAGAACAAGCTTGGGGTGAAGTGCTCTGTTCTTCCATCTCTCCTGCAATGCTGCAGCATGGGATCATCAAGACACAACAGGAGTTTCTCCATGTCTCCTTTACTAAAGAAAGCTTCCGGACTGAGGAACTTCTGGGGGCCGACGAACCCAACAGTTGCCACTGCCGGTGATACGATTCTACGTTGTTTCGACAGTACTATACATTACTCTGCACAACAAAACGTCTTGAAAAACTTCCGTGATATGCTGTCGATGATATGTTGTTAAAGCTCCCAGGGGCGACAGAAAGGGTCTGAATCCGGGCCATGCAGCACGGCAGGAAACCTCATCATAAGCTCTCCAAACATAAGGCCCTGTACTTATACTGGTCTATCCTTTACCACAAACCCGAAGTAATGCTTTTCGTTTGAGATAAGACCTAGTATATTGACCCTGGACCCGAAAATTGAAAATCACAACCCGTCAACATCCGGTACACTCTGGCCGAGCTGCTGCTTTGCTGAGTTCCTCCTCGGTGAACTGCTTCATGTCCTCTTGCCTTCGTGTTTCTCGGGCTCGTGCTTAGGAGTTAGGGTATGGGGGGGTCATGCTTTCGAGTGAAGCTTTTCAATATGCAAAGCATGCCAAGCCACACCATGCTCAGGGTATGGTTCTTCATCTGCTCCTCTTCCTGCAGGTCAGAAGGTTATTCTAATGCAGTTTACATCCCCGGCCGCAGGCTAACGTTGAATCCGAAATCAAGCAATCATCAAGTTTTCAGCTCTAGCTACCACGCAAGCCGTTCACCTGGAACTCATCGGGCCGAAAAGCTGACGCCTACATCATACATAGCACCATTGGAACATTCAGTGATTTCACACAGAAGCCACGTGCAATCTTAAACATATTAAGGGAAAAGTGGGAAAATCGATGTTTAGTCTTGGCCTGCAATCACTGGATGTACCGGAATTGCAACCCTGTCGTCACTGCTGACAGACCTTCGGATCGCAGATACTGGAATGAACCGTGGGGGGCCACCGAAAATTGCAGAGCCGCTTCCCCGGACTGAAACGCTGTTAATGCTTTAGAGATCTAGCAAGCTGCCATCCGAGCTCCCTCGCAAGGCCTCCTTGGACATGATGAAGCCAAGCCTTTCATTGGGGGATTCGATGCGATTCTTTCGCGGGCCGACAGGCCGTGGCATGTGTGAGGATTTGGGAGGAAGCATGAAGTCTGCAAAGACTCCAAGAAATCACAGTGGGCCCCGAGCTCGAAATATGCAGCTGAATCCCACAAGCCTGGACCAAGAGACGCCTCCCGAAAGGCCACTATGAAGTTATAGCCCCTTTGCTCTCCATTTTTGGAATCCTAGGCCCCGAAAGTATTCAATGCTGAACCGGGATGAAATCACTTCCGAGCAACTTGCTCTTGCCTTTCGCAACTGACACCTCAGCCGTATGGGTCCCGAGAGGGTGAAGTTCCAAGAAGTAGCTTCAGTTTTTCTCAATCGTGCACCAGGCAAAAAACTGTGTTCCTGTTAACGACCTTGAAACAACTTGCCATACTAGCGTTGTGTGTACCGTGACGAGTGATTCAGTCTTCATATTTTCTTGCTATGGTAGCTGACGTTTCGCTCACAAAACAAAATCCAGTGATGGAACTGCCACCAACTGTCAGCATGTGCGGGGATCTACCATACCATGCCACTAGCTGGGTTGGCCCTGAGTTATCAGCCGCAACTACCTATCACCCAACTTAGTATAGAGAACTCTTTATAGAGAACACTGCTGAACTTTAAACTTTGCCATAATGCTGTCATTGCCACAACGACTTCGAGTGCTCCAGGCGGAGCAGTCGAGTGGGTTACAGAGATGACCACATGGACAACACAGGAGTGCGTCTCTGCCCATAAATTGAAGCTTTTGAGAACGAGAAGGCAAGACAGCACAAACACCTTAACAAGGCACAAAGCACGAACAATAACGGCCGGCGAAAGACTGTAGGCGAGCATAGACTTTCGAGACCCCCGAACAGAACCCACCCGAGTGATGAGTTTGGAACCTACCCCCAAATGCAAAACCCCAGCAACGCCAGAGCAAGCTACATGCGGGCCTTGACGAAAGACGAGTCGTAGGCCGCTGTCCAGCTGGCTGCCTGAACGCACTACTCGCAGACGTCGTTCAACACTCTTTGTGATTGCCGCGTCTACCCCAACGATGGCTTCTTGCCGTGCTGCCACTACAACTACCACTACCATTGTTGCAAACACGACGGCAGCGACGACGACTCCTCCTCCTGCTCCTGCTGTGCCGCTACTCCTCTTTCCACCCCGCTCCTACTCCGACTCTGCCTCCTACTCCGACTCCTCCTATTACTCCTCCTCGTCCTCCCGCGCCTCCCACTCCTACTGCTCCTACTGCTCCGACTGCTCCCACTGTCCTTCTGCTCATGCTGCTCCTACAGCTTCTCACTGCTGCTGCTGCTGCTGCCAGTATTGGTGCTAGTGCCGGTGCCGGTCCTGGTGCTGGTGCTCGTACACTGCTCCTGCTCCTGATTCTGCTTCAGCTGCGATGTCTACTTCCCCACTACGAAGATAACCGCTACCAGCACCACTACTACTGCTGCTGCTGCTACGACTGCTACGACTACCACGAGGAAAAGACTGCTGCTGCTCCTGGCCGCTTTGGACTTCGTCTACAGTGGGAGCGACCATCTCTGCCGAGGGTCTCCTGACTGGTTCAGCTTGTTGACCTCCTTCGTCAGAGACTCAGGGACCACCGGTCTCATGGCCATGTAGCCATTCCTTTGCTCCGACGAACTTGGACCCAAAATGCGAGCAGCCCAGGAAACGAAGACTCCCAATCTTGAGTAGACTTTGTGGACGACTGCGTCATTCTATGGACTCCCATCAAGAACAAAGCGGGCTAGGACTAGCGCCCGAGGAAAAACGTCAACCTCGATGTCCAATCTTTGCAGACACCAATCCTTGGCCCATAAAGTCCCAACCGAATTTCTCAAGCTCCACGCCCCGCATCGATCCTCTCAAAGAAGCTGCTTATCATCCCGGGGCCTCATAGGAACCAATGCGTGCTGCACTGGCGATAAAAAGAAATAATGAAGACGCATCCTTGAAAATTGAGAATCCTGGGTACGAACTCCAGCAGATGTCCGAGCACCCCGAACTCAGGAGCCAGGTGGCTGCACCAAGTTCTTCCAGCCGGAATACTGTTCAGACTTGGTGCTCTTCGTTATAACTCCTTGGGGGGCCCAGCTCAGACATTGAGAGCTATTGCTATTCCGAGTGCTATTCCTATTGCTATTGCTATTGCTAGTGCTAGTTCTAGTGCTAGTTCTAGTTCCAGTGCTACTGCTAGACTAGTACCAGTACTGCTACTGCTACTGTTACTGTTGCTATGACTAGTCCTGGTCCTACTCCTTTCGCTACTGCTAGTGCTAGTTTAGTTCAACCGCCGTTGCCATTGCGATTGCTGTTGCTACTGCTGCTGCTGTTCCTTGGACTATTGCTATTGCTACCGCTACTACCATCTCTAGTGTTATGGCAACTACTACTGCTACTACTCCTACTGCTACTCCTGCTGCTACCACTACCACTACCACTACCACTACCACTACCACTACCACTACCACTACCACTACCACTACCACTCCCACTCCTACTGCTACTGCTACTACTACTACTACTACTACTACTACTCCTGCTTCTGCTGCCGCTGCTGCTGCTGCTGCTGCTGCTGCTACTGCTCCTGCTACTGCTTCTGCTACTGCGACTATTACTATCATTGGTATCCTTACTCGTCTTGCTATTGTAATTTTCATGACTAACACTATCGTTATTGCTGCTGTTACCGTTGGAACTACTTTCGGGTGTCTGCCGGTTCGAGATGTCAACAGCAAGAATTGCCAGCAGGCTCATGTCCGGGCTTTGGTGGACTATGGTTTTGGGCTTAGGGTTCAGAGATTTGTAGTTCAGAGGTTTAGGGTTGGGGGCCTAGGCCTGAAGAGCCACTGAGCTCAGCGAATTCCAGCCAGGCAGCTCTTCGAGTCTCCAACGACCAGCTCCTGAAAGCGGATACATGATGAAATACTGGAAAATGAAGATAAACACGAAAAACTTGGCGGTAGTAGTAGCAGTAGCAGTAGCAGCAGCAGCAGCAGCAGCAGCGGGAGTAGCAGTAGCAGCAGCAGCAGCAGCAGCAGCAGCAGCAGCGGGAGTAGCAGCAGCGGGAGTAGCAGTAGCAGCAGCTAGCAGTAGTAGCAGCAGTAGTAGCAGCAGTGGTAGTAGTAGTAGTAGCAGTAGTAGTAGTAGTAGTAGTAGCGAAACCAGTAGAAATACTATTCATAAAACTCATAACTAGAACAATACTAGTCATGGTTGGTTGGAGAATGACAGCAGATCGACATGTCAGTGACGCGTACAACCTAGAGCCCCCTAAGGAAGACACGGAAAGCCGCAGAAGTACGCCCTTCGATGCCACCTTCTAGGCAGACGAGGCTTTAGTGGATTAGGGCTTGGGGTTGACAGGCCTAGTCTCCATAACACACAGACCGCCACTGCTCAGCCTAACAGGGCAGACAAGCTGAAGGTCCTGGAAGCGGTCTTCAAAGTTCTTCGCCTCCTGGCCAAGCATTTCAGCAAAGGCGGTGAGTCGCAGGAACCGGCGCCTAGCGTCCACATCCCGCAAACACTGCTTGAGACTGTGTGGGAAAGAGATACACCTAATCCTGCGATGTCACTAAGCCGCAGAATCCTTCGTGTCGAAGCATGGATCGACACAAGATTCAAGGGCCTAGGCTACTCTAGCTACTATAGTGAAGCGACAAAACGATGGAGTCTCGATGCTGGCTGTGATGGGTCCTTCGTGGTCAGAGGCGGGACGGTCTCGTCCATTCTTGCCTGTAGACTGCACACCATGTCACACCATGTTATACCTAGAAAGGGCAACGGCCCAAGGGGCCAGGGTCGGCGTGCCCGACCTGGAAGTGCAGCTGGAGGAAGACTTTCTTTGAAGACTGCTCCACTGCCTTGCCATGTCTTGCAACGGAAACAGGAACCCCCGAACCGAAGAGCGTATGATCATGCACCAAAATCTACACAAAGCAGAACCTACTTCTGTAAGCAGAAAGACAAGCTAGTCACCGACGGCAATCAAGCTACCGGCTCATGCCCTAGGCCCTCGACACCTACAGTAGGAGCTGCAGCTAAACCAAGAACCCAACCCCTCTAAACCCGAACGCTGCAACTGCACTTGAGCCAATGCGTCATGCGGTGATAGAAATGCTCGCAGCAGCATGAAAGGGTGCCCACACCTCAAACTGTTCGAAAACATCATAGAAAAACAAGCTGCCTTCGTGCAGCGACTCGGATCACTGATCTTCGACCCGCAGCTCGCCATCACCTGTAGAATTCTCAGGCCAATGGGGCTATGCTTGGGATCTGCTGGCTGGTGAGATCCACATGGTATGTTGTAAGACCCCCCAGTGGTCTTGAAATCTGCACAATTCCAAAACGGATCCCTGTTTGCACAATCCTTCTGAATTTCCCAGCAACAGCCCAGTGGCGGCGTTGAAATGGAGGTCCAGGGAACGCCTCCTCGTGGGCTTAGCCTTGACGACCATCCTTGGAGGATGACCGAAAAACTGAGACGACGACGCAATGACTGCAACGAGAAGCGGCAAAGCGTGGCCGCTGACTTTTCGAGCCAAGGGAGCTGAGGCTTGGACAGTTTCACGGGCTGCTGTCGTTTAGAATCAGAACATGGCAAAGCAAGTAAAACTACCCTCTGGGCGAAAAGCCTTGCATCCCCTCGCTGCACGGCCCCACGCTGCTGCGCCGCAGTGCATCTTGAGAGCTGGCCGGCAGCAGCAATAGCATAACCGGTTTCTCCGCTCAAAGCTGAGAAAGTGAGTATGATGAACTGCTACAGGAATCGGATCCAGCACGTTACATGGGCCAGCGTTGGTCAGCCCTCTTGGATGTCGTGAGCCGTAAACCACCAACTCTACAATCGACCTGACAGCAGATGAGGTGCGACGTATGCCAATGGTGGGTCCTACATGTGGTGCGAGGTTTCGCTCGCCGCTCGCTGGGGCCTAGCCCGCTGGGTTCCAAAATACTCTGCACACGGGTCGCAAGCTTCGCCAGCATATGGTCGAAGTCGCACTATGATCGGCGTGCTTCTTGTTTCAAAGGTGTGCCAAAACCCAAACAAGATTCGCTCCGGGCTGCAAACTTGCTCCCAAAGTCATCAAGAAAAAGATGAGGGTTGACCCAAAACGGATATACAGGTGAGCTCGAAGGTGGTCTTGACCCCGAAACCAATAGGTCTGCAGGTGGAGTTTTGGCTTTCAGCTTGCTCTTTATCGTGGTTTGGGACTACTCTTTCTTGGGGCCGTTCTAGCAGACAGCCGTTACGGTTGTGGGCTTTGGGGCCTTTATGGTTCAGGGTCTTAGGCCTTGAAAGTCGCGCGCTTGTCCCAGTTGAAACGAGTGGAAAGCGAGGAGAGCTGCTTCACAGATCAAGAATCTGCAGCCGAGGGTCGGCGTTAGGGGCGGTGGTCTGCTCTCTTCATTATCCTCGATGAAAGCACCTTAGTGCCCAGTTTGAGATTGGGGGGGGGGGTCGGCCGTGCTTCACAGGAGGGCCAAAGCTCAAGAGAGGCAAGTTGGCGCCGAGGCACTGTACTTGGCACCGGGGTCCTCGCACAGCGGCGGGTGAAGCTAGGAGTCAAGGGTTCAGGGCGTTCACGGTTTACGGCTTCAGGTTCTGGCCTAGGAGCGGACCAATTGCCCGCGTTGATCACATGCATCCGGCCCAAAGTGTCCTAATGAAAGAACGAATAGTATGCAAGCCTCAAGCAGCTGTTGGGTGCCACCTTCGGAACTTGGGGACTTCATGCATGGTTGCCATTGGTGTAGACTGCCCAATCCCAAGGAAGCCCATCCAAGATTCCCGATACAGAAGTCAGAAGCCCACTTGCTATCATTCCCGAACATTCAGCAACCGATTAGGAATCCTCCATGAAGCAAACACCAATGAAGAAGTTCGCCTTCCCCCCGCACTTCCAACGGCTTTGCTCCTATTACATGGCTCAACAAACTTTCGACTGCGCTTCCACCACAGACTTCCACTCCTATGAAGCATGCCTTCAATGCTGCTTATGCTTCTGCTTCTCCTAAACCCTAAAGGCAATATAGGGCCTAAGCCTATGCCCTGAATAGAAGGAGTCCTCGAAGTCAAACGGTGGCGGAGGCCACCGAGCTTTGGACGACGACTCCTACGGCTTCGGATCTTGGGCCGAAGGACCCCAAAACGAACCTCCAAAAGCCTCAAGTAGTTTAGGGTTCACGCATTTCAGTGTCGGGGGTTTAGGGCTTTAGGAGGGGTTTGGGGGTGTTGGATCAACGGCCCTGTTTATCAAACCCCAGCCCAGAAAGCCTTGTACCCCTACACCGTAACCCCTTTAAGCCACAACCTGCCTACTCTAGAGCCAGTGAGCCTAAAGCACAGACCCCTCAAGCCCGATAGAACCCTAAATCTACAGAATCTATAGGTGCCTCCGCAGCACTGGCCCTCATCGCCTCACGGTATTCCTGCAGGGGGGAAAAGTCATACTTCAACAGCTCAGGGTTCAGTGACTTCAGGTTCCGAATCAGCTAAACACCAAAGCACTCCCAAACTCTAGTCTCTAGAGCTTTTAGCGAAACCACGTGAGTTCCGGGCCGTCGGCAAGCCTTTTGGTTGTCTTCATAGGTTCACGTGGGTTGCTTACTTGGGACCCCTGGCTCGCGATATAGGAGTTCCAAAGAATACGGCCAGCTTTCGTGACAGTCAATGAGCTGTTCGTCTACCGAAGCATGCTCTGCTTGATCGTGAGACCAGCTTTCGTCAAGCCTGCCGACGTCGCTTCACTGAAAAATCTGGCCCGCTGGGGTTTTCAGTGACACTTGTCAGATATTTAAGACCAGCGGTCCACCAGCAACTACCGGTTCGGCATGGCACGTGCAATGCGGCAACACAGTACCTTAAGCCTGGAATTGGCCCCAGACCCCTGAACATCACGATCCCGAGCTTAATGGAAACAGGGGCAGAAGAAGAAGACAGAGCATGCCCCTCTTGCACCTACCCAAGGCCACCCGATGCCTTTGAAAGGTGATTAGTTTGCGCAATCATGTGTGCAGTGCACACCTCTGAAAGCCTCGGACGGTCCTTGACTCTTCGCATCTGCCGTCTCTGCAGAAGATGCAAAGGAAGCTCACCTTCGTCCTGCACAACTCTGCAGGCAAAACACTTCTAGATGGTAAGAGTAGGCTCTTTCTCAAATTGAACACTGTGACCCAATGCGCATTAGCATTTAATTCAGGAAAGATCCGGCACTTGGTGTTTCAGCGACACGGGCCCTGCGGAAACACGTTTCAACTGAACGGAATGCAGCCGAGTCTGAACTGGACCCTGTAGTCTGAAGCGACGCAGTCATTGACGTATGAGGCTTGGGCTGGAGATGGCTGGGGTCACTGGGCACGACTGCAGTCGCAAAGCTGTGCTGCAATATTTTTTCACGCGTGTTCGCGGAGAACCAAGTGAAAGAGGTCGGAGCATGCTCTCAGAAGATCCACTCAACCTTCGAAATCCATGAAGCGACATACTCCCTCGCCTTTACGCTCGGCTTTATCCTCGCCTTTACGGCCACGTGCTCTTCTGGCTAGCCTTTGGGCTTCTTTTTCGCACTCTCCGGGGCACGCGGCCGTGCAATATTGCTCGGTCGGCGTCACCATGAGCTCCTCACCGTCACAATAGCAACGCCACCTTAATTCCCTGTTGGTGTCCGCATTGGTCACCTCGTTGGTTACCTCGTCGGTCATCTGGTCAGTCATCTCGCGAGTCGCCTGCTTCCATGCTTTCCGTACGACCATCTCCTACCGAGCACGTCTTCTCCACTACATCCTGCGCCCGTCATACGAACCTTCCTGGGGGAATTTGCCTTGGGAGGGGCGGTGATTTGTTTGAACAGGCTCCATGCCTCGCGGACAGCAGCACAGAGGCCCATGAGCACCAAGAGAAGCCGGGGGAACATGGCTTCAGAGTATCGAATGTTGACAGGCGACAGAAGAATTTGCTTGAGCCCCGACATGTTGCCGCGTGTGAGATGATGCGATGACGTGAAAAGAGACCACCAACAGATCGAATCCTGGTAGGAACTGCAGCTACACAGTGAAACTAAACCTCGGCCCTCCATGCTGCAGACTCTGAAGTCTAAACCCTGAATCGACTTCCTCTGCGATGATGAGGTCCGCCAGGGAGGACGAAGATAGATCCTGCGGAAGTCTGCGTGGAAGGCCTTTAGGGGGTCTCGTCGGGTTCGTAGCAGTGGCAGTGGCATCCAGTCAGGATGAACGAAAGCGTACCGCAAATAAGATTGGCTTTGCCGATACGGGTGCAGCCAAACAACAAAGACCTCAACAACGAAGCAGGGGCATGCTTGTCCTGGTTATCAAAGTCACTACCACTACTCCGACGATCAGCTCAATGAAAACTGTAATTGATGTTGCTACTTATTCATGCGCATCAGCAGCGCTGCGGTTCTTTGATGCTTCACGTGAACAACCGTCTTCGTGCTGTGCTTCCTCAAGCAATTCCTCCTCTGGTTGTGGCGACTAAGTGATAAGTTCTTCCGTTACTTAACTATTGTTCTTTCCATGCCGCTTTGTTTGAGTCTATCTTTCGCTCGGAAGCCTCAGCACTGGGCGGCCGCGGATCACTCCGACGATATCCGCTTTGGGGTTTAAGCTCTTGGGTTTAGGGCTTCGGGTTGATAGGGCTTAGGAGTTTGAAATAATGAAGCTACAGTGAGACGCTGGCGATATGAATTCTGTTCACAGGTTAGGGCGTTGGAGACACGTGTCACTGTGTGCAAACTGATTCGCACCGAGGGTTTAGTGTTCAAAGTGTTTCGGGTTTAGTGAGTCCGGATTCAGCTTTAGGGGTTCAGGGTTTGGTATTTGCGGCACCCCAATCTTAAAGTCATGAGGACAGTGCAACTGCACGAATGAATCAAAACAAGACAGCAACTGCCCCTGACAGCGAAATCATGCTTAATCCGAAGCACCTGCTCACCACAACAAAATCCAAAACCTCAACCCTAAACTGCCATCATGATGTCTCCCTGTGTGAGGATTTGTGTATTCGATTCTGAAGTCGTGGGTTGGGAACTTAAGTGTCTACCTACCTAAGGGGTTCCCATCCTCCTTCTTGTCGGAGGGGCAGGAGCCAGCGGCCTCGCTGAGAGCACAAGCTGGGGGGTGCTTTGGGGGGGGGGGGGCCGAGGCCAGGATGGTGTAATTGTATGCTCCTTGTTTCTGGACTCGTAACTCCATTGCTGCTTTCTGGGTTTGGGTTTCTAAGCTGCAACCACTGGCAAAGCCACCCACGCCCTCGTCTCTACGAGTCCCATCGGTCCCAGCTTGCCGCGGGGCCTCATTCGCTGCAGCACGCAGGAGTGCACCATGCACCTCGGAGCACCGAACATCCAAGCTCCAAAGTACCCTACTCTTGGATCTCTTGATGGCTTTGGTCCTTGGAAAGCTGACCACAGATATCACCCGGCCCTGCTGAAACAGGCCCGTGTGCATGCCCAGGGAAACCTTTCCGTGCTTAGCCATCCTTGGGTCGTGGTGGGCCCTGACTTTCTGCAAACCCCGACTGAGAAGCCGGCCACCGCGAAAAGCAACCTGATGCGGGTTTCGGAGCTGCCGACTGCATGCTTTACCTCCCAGCACGCCCCGCAGAGATTGAGTCGTGGACCGCAGCAGCGTCATGCTGGCAAACACTTTGAAATGGAATTTAGAGTAGGCTTGAGGGCAAAAAGTGCGACAGGACGACAGGAATCTGCGCTGAAACAAATTACTAAGCCGGAGCTTGACCTCTACAGGCGAGGTTCTAGAAGCCTGGTCCAACCAAAATCTCGCCGCATCCTGCTGTAGGTATTGAGGCTCTCCTTTCTTCCTGATAATGGGGATCTCACTGCTTTATGTCTTATAAACGTGGTTAAGCTTCAGAAGCCGAATGGATACCTCAAGGTTTCGTGGCTCCATCAACGAGCCTGGTTGGGATACCTTGACTTTAACTACGTTTCGTGGTCTTTCAATCAAAGGAGCGACACAACTGTCAACTGACCCACCAATCAAAACATTTAGATTTGAGGACTATGGCGCTGACGCGAGGGTGAGGCATGAAAAGAAACCATCTAAGGAAATCAAAAACACTATTCGCCAGCCGTCCAAAAACTAGTTTCATAATATGACATTCTAGACAAACGGGAAACGTATTTTGTCTGTCTGCATTATGTTTGTGCCTTTCTGTCTTTCGAAGTGCTGTCCTTTCTTGTCTTTCTTGCTTAAATCGTTGTTGTTCTTGCCTTCTGTCGTCCCCACTTTCGGAATTTCTTTCTCTCGTTCTTTCTCTCTGCACTGAACTGCTGTCCTTCTTTCTGTGCGTCGTTTTGTCGTTACTTCTGTCTTTATTTCGTTCTTTATGTATTTTTTGATTTTTGGGTTTTAGTTAGTTATTTCTTTATGTTTCTTTCTTTCTTTAGGTCTTTATTTTGTTATGTCTTCCTTTCGTTAGTTCGTTCTTTCTGTTTATGTAGCTATTTCTTCCCGCCTTTCCTTATTTATTAATTTCGTTCCTTCTGCCTCTCTCTCTGTGCTGATTTGCTGTTCTCTTTGGCTTTTCTTTCTTTCTTTCGTTCGTTCTGTGTTTCGTTCGTTCTTTCTTTCGTTCTTGCTTCGTTGCCTTCTTTCGTTCTGTCGTTCCTTCTTTCTTCATTTTTCTCCGTTGTGGGTGGCTTCGCCGAACACCTTTTTTTTGAAACATGTGATATGGCTCACATGCAGCGTGGCACACTGGGCCTCTCAGCAGCACCACCCGGCGAAGCACTTAACCATCTGCCAGGAGCGGCGGAACAGGCGGGAAAAAGGGATCATCGGGGTGCCACGATCTCCAAGGTTTCAGGAATTATCCATTGTTGGTTTCGTGTGTTCTTTCTTTTTCTAGTCCTGTCTTATTCTTGTCCTTGTTTCTCATCTTTTGGTGTCCTGTCTGCTGTCATTCTCTCCAGCTCTCTATCTTCAGTTCTTTTCCACGTTTCTTTGTTCTTGCATTCTTTCTTTCTGTCGTTATGGCTCTCTTTCTGTCTTTAGTTAGTCTTTCTTTCGTTAGGTCGTTCTTTCGTTCTGTCTTTCTTTCGTTATGTCGTTATTTTCTGTTGTTCGTTCTTTCTGTCGTTATTCCGTTCTTTCCTTATTAATGCTTATTTGTTTTGTTCGTTCTTTCTCTCTCTCTCTCTCTCTCTTTATCTTTCTTTCTTTCTGACTCTCTCTGTCGTTCTGTCTGTCGTTCTTTCGTTCTGTCTTTCTGTCCCCATCTTTCTTTATGCCTTCCTTTGCTTCTTTCTTTCTTCCTGTCTTCCGACGTTCTTCCTTTCTTTCTTTCTCTGTCTCTGTTCCTTTGTTTCCTTTTTCCTGCCTTCCTTTCGTTCTTTCTAGATTTTTCGTCCGTAGTCCTTGCTTTCTTTCTGGCCTTCTGTCTCTCTCTCTCTCTCTCTCTCTCGTTCTTTCTGTCCTTCGGACGTTCGTTCTTTCTTCCCTTATTTCTTTCGTTGGCTTCCGTCACTGCTAGCAGGAAGAACCAAGAAAATATACAAAACACAACCAGGACAATTGACAACAAATCCAGGTCCCGATTTTAATGCCATCTAAATCAGCGATGCCGCGGCACTCCCTCGTGCCCGAGCCCTCAGTTGTTGGGCGGGCTGCTCAGCTGGCTTCCCTACCCCGGCAGGGTCGGTTACCTGTTCGAGGACTGGTTGGCCTTTCTCCGGCACCTTCGCAGAAACTGCAAGGCTTTCCTGCCCACCTCCCAAGAACAACCACGGCGCGGCAGCTTCGTCAACTACGGAAATTAGCTTGGTGCTGTTTGGTCTGCTGATGTGACTAAGCTTGTGAGTTGCCGTATCAACACAATGTCTTCAGTATCCTATGGGGACAGGTTAGCTCGTCTCGTCTGTGCCAACAAACCGGCTCGCTCTCGTCCTCTGGCTTCTGCGGACGTCTCGTCTCGTCGTATTGTAGCAACTGGCCGGCTTTGATTGGGGGTTCGTAACATAGTCCGTTACTCTTTGATTAAGAACCAGGTCTCACTTTTTGTCTTTGTCAGCAAGAGACGAAACAGCGCGGAGATCAGCCCATCTGCCCACGAAATGGAACTCTGCGGTCTGAATGATGGAACGAAGTGAATAGGCACTGCGATGGTGCCTGCCCAGAAAGCCGTGAAACATCACTTTCCACGGTAGGCCGTCGGGAAGCGAGCACAGCCGCATTGCAAGACAGCGCCTGCAACCTACGCGACAGTTCCTCGCTTCAATGATGCAAAGGCACCCTTCATGTGAGGGGCAGCGCATGAGCGTTCAATCTAATGCCTTTGGGGCCTTGCGATCTCGGTTTGGATGGCGGCATTAAACGAGCTGTGGTTTAAAAAGCCGCCTGAATTCCCCGGGTCAAAAAATATATTGAAGGCGCAGCAGAAACAGATCATCCCTTGGCAGATGCACCCTGCTCTGCTGCTTGAGTTTAGAAGCACAGTCTGGAGTCAAGCAGAACTAGCTTGGGAATTTCGCGATACATGGAGGTTACATGTCCGGCAGATGATAAATCAGACTCATTCCGTGGACTCCTCAGAGACTGCACTGGAAGGTTCATGGGTATGTTAACTGACCGGCGACCAAATCACGACTATTCAGACTCCCCGATTAAGTTACTCACAGTCTACTTTCTACTTTCGAAGTCGTACCCGTGAACCGTCAGCTCAGCTTTTGCACGGCTTTTGCCCTGCACAGCGAGTGATCGCATGGTTGCTCACTCCTCAAAACAAAACTTGGGATACTTTTCCTGCAAGCCAGGTAGGTATTCTCTCAGAGACTTCATGTCTTTCAGCAATGCGGGCCTCAGATAGCAAAGCTCACCCAGAAAAAAATGATGGCATCCACCCCTGCATATATGCAAATATGTTTACATATTCTATCCATGTGTGGACAAGCGCCGGCCCGAACACCACACAGCGACGACATCGTGCATCATGACCAGCTTTGGGGGTCTCTAGATGCTCGAGATTAGTGTGGGGCCTCAAGTAGATGTAGTCCATTGCAGCCAAGCTTGCGGTACCATGACGCCGCCATTGGCCGTGCGTTTATTCCTGCAAGCTATGGGATCCCACCGGCGGGTTTAGCATTGTTCAGTCAATCCCCAACCCTCGCGACGTGTCAAAATGGAATGTTCAGCATCTTGAACTGTACTGCAGAGTGCCGTCCTGTAGTCGTACTCCGCCTCGCCAGCCGTCCAAATACGCCCCGGGCCATTCGGATCCTTCGCGGAGCCTCGAAGGTACCTTTTGGGCAGTTTAGACAAAGAGCATCGAAGAGGGTTCTGACTTAAGAAACTAAGTAAGCAAGGCTTCCTTTTCTCTTCTCTTGGATTAAGCAGGTTGGGGCCATGCGGCTGAGAGTTTGGGGTCCCGAGTTACGGTTTCGGATGTAGGGCTCGGATTGTCTAGTCGTTTTGTTGGTTTGGTTTCTTGGCCGTCCCATCATGGCGTGGCATGTTTCATTGGGCCTTGCATTGGGCCCGGAAGTCCAGATTTGAACTGCGTTGGATGAGTCCTGGGACCGGAATCCTGAAGCCTAGAGTGAACGCCGGTGCCGGAGCCTTAGTAGGTCGCCACTCTTCTTCTTGAAGGCATCGAGGTCGCAGACCGCCTCTCCGAGGGCAGGACAACGACGTTGAAGGCACTACAGTCACTACAGCCGTTCCAACTGCACTGCAACCCGAATTACTACGTGTCCTCGACGTTGATGGCCAGGAAGAAATGTCCCAAGGACATGGGCGACGGCTTGCCTAAGCAACAAAGGAACTGAAAAACGTCATTCTCATGAGGACTCTAAACCCGGAACCGTGAACCGTGCCGAACTCCCTGGTACAGTCCTTTTTGCGAGGTGCCGTCCGGGCCAACTCCCGAAAGTGCTCGTCCAAAGTCACCTCCCTGCAAAAGTCAAGCAAGTCACGACATGCAGTTCGATGGTCCCTCAGCTACAGTCGTCATTTTCAGACTTCTCCCATTCAGGCCGGATTTTGGGAGCTCCGAAAAGAGCAGAGCTCCTGGAAGGCGATGCTGAGGAGCTCTACGACGGTGGCCCAGGAGTAGCCTTTGTAGCCACCAAGCTCGTCGCCACCACCTGGCCGGTGAGGAAACGCACGCATCGAATATTTTCAACTGATCATAGGTCTTGTTCGAGTGGTCAGCAACGAGTCCCCAAATCTCTGACTCTTGGCCCGAGGCTGGCGCCTCCGATGGGGCACAGCGCACAGTCGCCCTTAACCATGCCTTTGAGAATGCCTTCGGTGTCCGTCCGCTCCTGAACGCTGTAATGGAAACGTCTACAACCGAACGCGACACGTTCCTTGAAGGTGCCAAAGTCTTCACAATTCTTTGTACGTCAGCGTGACGCTGATTGGCAAGATCCAGCCGCAAAACAACCGATCTCGAAGTTACAAATATGGCGCAACATAAGAATAATTCGGAACTCTACCGAACATTGTTGCCAGTCGTTCAAGCGTGTATATCAGGCTGCTTGCAATCTTCCGATGATCATCACTATCATCATGATCAGGGGAATATTCCTTGTTGTCCGACTGCCCATTCTGCAACTACCAGTGCTATTGTCGCTTTTTTGTGATAGTTGGTGTTCTCGCTACTGCAGATTAGCCATTGAGGCTCTGAATTTATGAGCCCCCGTGGAAAATCCCACGGGATCCTCTCCGCTGGAGTCGACGACCATGCCTTTCGGCGTGGGCTTGCCACTTCGGGCGTACTTCTCTATCCTTGGCGTCTTCTGAACCCCGAACGGTTGTGGAGCACTTCTGCCAAGCTTACCAAGAGAGAGGAAGAGATCCGAACAAGGCAGAGGGGAATAGAGAGAGCAAACGCCGCTCAGACATGCAGCCAAACAGTAAAAGCTACGATGAAAGACCCAAGCATCTTGCCGCGCTGGCAGATGGAAGTAGCACAGTCGATCACGAAGGGAAAGGCCTCCGAATCAAGCTTGGTCAATGGTCAAAGCAAGTTTTTCAAACAGAGACGTCTTGGAGCTAGAAATCCTCGATCGCTTGCTGTGGCCGAGTGCCTCGTCTGTCGGGATCCCAAAGCAGAGGGGGTTGGTTCCCAGACACGGCTCCACCTGCCATCAACTCTTGGGATGTCCGGTTCGAGATCCAAGATTCTAGCAGACAACCCTAAGAATGCAGCCCCTGAACCCTAAACCTTGTACAATGGATGCCACTTTGAAAGGACCCTAAACCCTAGACTCTAGACCCTATAAGAGCGCAATACTAAAGGAGCCGCTAAAAAATCAAAACCTTCAATTGAACCCCGTCCATTACAACCTGTATATGTAAACGTACCCTGCTAGTCTTCTAGTGCCCCAAGGTCACTCCGAAGGTCGGGGCGATGGAGGGCCGCGCGTTGGTGCCGCAGAAGCCGATGCAGCCCTTCGAGCTGGCCATGGTGGCGTAGTATCCGGCGATGCCGTAGTGGGTCGAGTTCCGGACGGCCACGAAGCCAAGGCCATATCTGGAGTTCAGGCTTAGGTTTGGGATTTAGGATCCAGGGTTTATAAGGTTTGACCGTTTAAGGATGATGAGGCTAGACTTAGCGTTTGGGGCTTCCAAGGAGCTTAATGCTCTCACCAAGGTGCTTTTTGGCCTTCGTGATTGCCATGTCCATGCAGTGGGGGCCCACGTAAAGACCAATGCCCATGTTGGCATCGATCAAGGCAGTAGTTTCTGTCTCTTTGATGATGTCAATGGGCGCGAAAGGCTTCAGTATGCCGCTCTTGATCCTGTCCATGTAGATGGACTTCAATCCTTGGCGCAGACCATCTCTGACATGCGTGCGAGGCTGTGAAAAAAACGCGAGCTAACGAGGCGCTGCCGATGCCATGGCTGTCGATCCCTCGTTTGTCAGCTTCGATCAGCACATTGGCGCACACCTTCGACTCCTTTTACGAAGCGGGGGGAGCCTGCAGTCCACATGTCTGTGATTGGGGATCCAAAGAGCAAAAGGCTCTCACTACCGGAAGAGTTCATCCCGGTCCTTTTCTGGGGTGCCGGAGGCCATGAAGCACTCTGCCATGAACTTCTCGAGATAGTCAAAGTCTAGTACCCTTGACCCTTCCACCGGGGCGTCCTCAGAAAGCAGCTGAGAAGTAGCGGAGGGGGCTGTTCTGCAACCCCAAGCTTCCATGCAGAAGCATCTACGAAGGCCCCTTGGCCAGAGCCGAACATGATTCCTGCACTCACTTTGAGCGAGGGTGGAAGTCCTCCAGAGGGCCTTGGCTTGACTTGCCCACTGGACATCCGAAGAAGTGCGTGCCGATCCTGACGATGAGATCATCTGTCGCCCCGCCGGCATCAATGAAGTCCTTGACCACCTGTGGGGCTTGCAGACGGTGCACGGTAATGCGGCGGCTCCAAGCTTTCCGAACATGAGATGCGGAACTGCTACAGCCCATCACGGGCGAAGTGCAGTTCGGGGCATGTCTGGCCTTTTTGTACTTGGCCTTGCCCTCCCCGTTGGATTCGTGTGCCGAGGCGATGATCTCGGAGGCCTTCAGCCGCAGCGCTTGGAGCTGCGAGTCGTCACACTGCTTGCGCTTCATGGAAGAGGACTGAAAGCTCGGTGGGCATAGAGGGAAGCCGAGGCGGTCCACACAATGGCTGCGGTATGCCATGCCGTTTGGCTGCTGGAGCTCGGATCGCGACTCTGAACGCAGACGCAGAGCCGAGACAGGTCGCTCCTTTGCATAACCGGCGGCCTGTAGCACAAATTTATGGCCGATGGCCACCACGGATGGCCACTTCCTAAGTCCTAAGGTACACGTGAAACACGGGCCTCTTGCTAACGAAATCGCTTCCGTTTAGTGAAACCTGTGGCCGCATAGCTGATGAAAACAGTCGGCCAAGTGGAAGACCGAATATGTGCTACTATCACTGCCAGAGTGCAATGCGGGCCAACATCTCTGAATGGCCGGTGCATGTCTTCGACAGGCACATGCTCACGAGCGTGCATGATCCAGCCCCCAGGTCAAGAAATCTTCATGCAAGGATGTTGCCAGGGACCAGCGAAGGACTGAGCCACCAATTAATTCGACATTTACCTCAGATCTCAGGTGTCTGCCGGTCGATCGTCCACCTGCCGTGTCAGACCCTTGAACAAATCTTCTTATGAGAAAGACAGCACAACGGCCACAGGATGGGTGGCCAGGTTGCGTAAACGCACAACCAAGCTTCCATGATGTCATGCACTCCGGTAGGCATGCGAATGTGAATGCATGTACGTGCACATGTACATGTGATTCGTGTGTGTGTATGTGTTTGTATAAATGTATGCATCTGTGTGTATGCGTGTGTGTATATAGAGATATGCATATATATATATATATATATACATACATATATATATTATATATATGCATACATACATACATACATACATACTTACGTATGTAGATATGTATATATGTATATATGTATATGTATACATGTGTAGATGTATGTATGTATATATGTATATATGTGTATATGTGTATATGTGTATATGTGTATATGTGTATATGTGTATATGTATATATGTATATATGTGTATATGTATATGTATATGTATATGTATATGTATATGTATATGTATATGTATATGTATATGTATATGTATATGAATGTATATTTGTCTATGTATTCATATATACTGTATATATGTCGATACATATATGTGCATGCATAAGTATTTGAATTTACAATTTTAGCTACTTCTATTTCTCTCTCTATATATTTCCATTTCTTAAGTTCGTATCTGGAATTCCATATATTGACAGAGGTAATTCTGCTTTTACTTGTTTGTGTCTGCAAGTCTTGTTTTATTTATTTGTATCTGCAATGTCATATCTATATCTATACTGATTTGCTGATCATATCTATGTTGATCTGTGATGTATTCATTTGTTTATCGAATTACGGATTCTGCCTATCTCATGATATAGTATGTTTGGATATCTAATTGTTCACTTGTTGTCCTGTTTATTTGGGTGAAGGCGTGTAGATGTTGACTGTTGGTGGAGTAGAGGCAATCACCTCCCGATGTTCGGAATCCCCGATGTAGACGAGCATCAACTACTCAGCTGTTGCTATGGAATTTGGCTCGCTGGGTATCCTAAATTTGTAAGGGACTCTCTGCCTTGCCAGGGGGATAGTCATGCATGCCAGAAGCACAAACGAGCACACCCACATAGATGTCCCTGAAAATCTTACTTAAAGATTCTTATGAGCATGTTGTACTTGGCACCGCAAAACAGAATCTGAAAAACTCCTCACGTCTCTCTCCACCGGCCTCCGGAGGTGCCTCGGCCACCACCTCGGGTACCGCCAGGCCCGCGGCCTTTCAAGAACAGAAAGGACGAACGCGCACGCTCTCCTGCGCCCTTTTGCTTGGGTTCTTCACTGCCACTCCCGACCTAAAGAAACAGGAAGGCGTAGGCTTCCTGCGTCTGTCGTGCTCAAGCAAGCATCCGGATCCGGGTGCGAAGGCCCGAAGCTAAGGTTTAATAGGTGCAAATGCGTCCGCAGGGGCGCTGCGGGGATCCTCCAGAATGGCAAGCTGAGGGGTAGCGTGAAGTCATGGAATCGCAACCGTCCGATGCAGTTTGACATTTCCCCGGCTTTGCTTCTGCCCCAGTCGCGTGTGCATGCTCATGACCTCATGGTTGTGTGGGTACAGATAGGGTCATGAGTCCTGAGTATCTTGACTTCCTGCGATGCATAATCGTCCATCGTACTCAGCCGGAGTGAGGTCACTTCATTTTCAAGCGTTCTGACCTTCCTGGCTTGGTAATCCAGCCGGGCTCTGCAGGCAAACCCTGCCTCCTGACTGTCTCGAGTAATTCATGCCACATGATGCTTACATGTAAACGACTGGTTTGGAACGGAAACGTCATGTCAGTAGCTATGGTGCCTGTGCGGCCTCCGCAGCTGCCTGAAAGGCATTGGCTTCTGCAATCTCCGCCTCGAGCACTGCGACGCTTTCAAGAGCTGATGAGGCGGTGCAACAGACTCTGCCCTTGGCCAAAGCATGTCTGGCACAGAAACCTAGCTGAGGCCACTTCTGCAGATTCATGGAGGTTGCCTGGGTTGCAGCAGACATGTATGATGTATGTGCGCGATATTTGCTATTTGCACTAGCAAGCTAGTGACTAGTGATGCTTGATTGACTGACCGATTCTTTTCTTTCCTGGATGAACTTGCACGTCGTCTGTTCGGCTGCCCCTTCAAGTATAAACTTAGCTGTGCCTGCACTCATGGGCGTGGAGTCTCAGAATGCGAAAGACGTGGCCATTGACATCACTCAGGTGTTATTGGTAAGTTGTAGCACAACTCTCCGTCGTTCGCTACATGTCTTTCGGATAGCATGGATTAGTCAGCGCTCGGCAAAAATCCATTCGACGATGAAAGGGCTCGAACAGTGAAGACTTGTCGCCAGCAGGCAAAAAGGCCGAAAGTCTGAAAGACTGGTAGGCAATGGACAGCTGCAGCTGACTGGACGCATCGCGAATTGCATGACGGTGTGCAAGCACGAGTCGGAAGATGCAGCCCAGCATGCACCGCAGTCTCCGGGAATTGCTCGAAAGCCACGGACACGACCCGATAGCCCAGCATCCAAGTTGACAGCGGAAGCTTTCAAGGGCGTGCTAAGTGTCTAGGCATAGCACTGGGTGTAGCACTGCAGACCCAGCTGAAACGGCAACTGCAACGAAAGCCTCACACTGCTGCAGCCGAGATGCTCATGTCCAAGCCCTGCCTCTCCAGGAACTCTGTGTCGGCTTGGAAGGCCCTCGGAAGAAAGAGCCAATCAAACACAGGAGTTCATCCCCTGACGGTGGCGAAGCAAAACAATAGCAACGTGTATGCCTGCATTCACAAGCTGAGGGGGATGGTCAAGCAGATGATCTCCTAAAGCTGAGCATCTCAACCCAACCCTTCGGAATGCAAAACTTGTAGAGACCGTGACAAGACAATTTAAATGTTCAGTCGGATCAACCACCACAGTTAATAGTAAGACCACAGGCATAGTTGACTGTCAGCGTTGTTCCCTAAACGTGAACCCTGAAGCAAACCCTGAGCCCGAAAGCCAAAGCCCTGAAACCCAGCTTCTTCTTATCTTATCCTTGACTTCTCCCACCGAGCCAGGCGCTCCATCGACCGAACAAACCGGGCTTCCTGAAGACCAGGAGTGGGGTTGAGGCTTCGGGGCTTCGGGATCCTGCTCTTTCAGAGACCCTCCATGTTCCGCGAGCCTCGGCGTTGGCTGGCGTAGGCCGTGTCCTTGCGGCAGAAGCACAGAGAAAGGAGGAGTTTTCTTGGTTGGGCGCCAAGGCCCAAGGCCTCGACTTGTCCTCAACTCCTGAAGGTCCTAAAGGTCCTAAAGGTCCTAAACCCGAAACTCCTACCTTCAAGAGATGCACTTCTTGGGGGGCCATGCCTCGGACTGCTGCTGCGCTGGATGATGGGGGGCAACCTGGAGAAGGGGAAGCAGGGATTGTATAGCAGGGCCGAAGCTGGAGTTTTGCAGAGTTTCGGCTTTGGGGAGAAGTCCGGCAGGTGCTGAGAGAGCTACACAAGGTGCGGGGATACTGCAGGGCAACTAGCAACACAAAACGTGTGAGTCACAGTCAAAATCTCACACGCTACCATTATCCTATAACATGCGGCCCCTTTTGAAACCTGAGCACCACATCAATATGTCTGTTTACATTTGTACCCTGTTCTAAGTCTGTATTAAGTTCGATATTTATTTGCATGTATAAGTTCTCTGCACCAGAGGACGCAAAGACTTGTGCGCTCCTCTATGTAGCCCCAGCACCCATTCCAGACGAATCACCACAGAAGGATCCTGCACAGATCTAGGTTGATTTCGCAACCATAACATAAGAAAATATAAGTCAGACACCGACCTGCGTTGCATCGGGTCCCTGAGCCGCTCACGCATGTGCACCTTTGACTTGCTGTCGTCGATATTTCTCCTGGCTCAGGAGCTTGTTGGGTTGGTAATCTTGTAATCTTGCGGACATCCGACTCTTGGGGACTGATCGCAGTCTAAAGAAGCGGTCCTCTGATCCAATTTGCTTGCTGGTGAAGAGTTACGTGGATGAGTTCATATGATAGATCAGGAAATATATGGTAGAAGACTCCAAGCTATATGTGACCATGCCTGACCTTACGATCGAATTGTGCAATCTTGCCGAAGCACACACATCCAAAGCGGGATATACATAGTTACATAGTTGCTACACTTCTCTTGACTCTTGATAACGTGCCAACTGTTGTGGACAAAACTAGACAAAGACGCAGTTCATCGCAACGCAGGCTGCACTGTTCATGCTTTTCGTTTCTCCAAACTAACCTATCAGACCCGGAAATGCCGCAAGCATCAAGGAAACACAAGCTTCTGGTGCTGCAGTCCTGTTGATCGACGACTTTTCGTCTAACATACCTGAGACGCTCCGATTTCAACACACTCTGCCTTCCGGCTGCCTTGCTCTCTTGCGTCTCGGTGACGGCATTTCGAGTTTAACTTCCAAACAAGGCTTCGAAGCTTCCGCTGCCGTTTTTTGTCTGCTTTGGGGCCCTGGCGGCGTCTCACCGCTGGGCAACGGCCGACCATTTGGTGGCACCCGGTTTGCGGAGGCCTTGCAGCGGCTTCGAAGGTTCACGAAGACGGCTGCTGTTCTGCAGGGCTCTAAAACGGTGTCCCATGTCTTGACCGGATCTGCTCGGAAACCTTTTCAACTGCACGCTGTCGTGCGGATCGCAAGCAAATTTGGCTGGGATGCAAGTCACGCCTGCCCGACGTTGGGTGCGGAGGCAGAGTGGTTGAGATCGCTTCCTGCAAAGCAGGTGTGAGACTCACAGCTTACAGCCGATAAGACGTGCAACTCTCAAGTTCTTCGCTGCGCAGCTAAGTAAACAGCTCGGTACTTTGTCCCCGCAGTGAGCCAATCTCTGATTGGCTTTAGCTTTCTCCTGACCTGCATACCTGCTTGAATCTACAACTGTGGGATCTCGTGCCGGGTCCCTGGAGGTAGCACGTTCTAAGCTTGACCAGCCTCTCGCTCCAGTCTTAGCTCGCAGGGCCATGATGTTGGCCTGCAGAAGGCAAGGGCCGAGCGCAGGCATCAATTTCTGGAATGTTCGAGCCATCAAGCTTTCGCCCACTCTGGAGCAGCTTGGACGTTGCTACTTTTCGCTTGTTGGGTCAAGTCTTCTACTCGCCATGAAGCCAGAACTAGGCTCCATGCCTCCATCTCGCGGCAGCTTCGCTGATATGACCTGGGCGGCACGGCCCGGTTGCTTCAAGGTCGGGTACGCAACCGTCGGAGGTCTGTCTTCAAAGAGGTGACTCGACCAAAATGCGCATCAACAGCAGCAATGCCTATCAAAAACCACAGTCGTTAGCTTTATGCGGGCCAGAGCAAAGTTTTCAGTTGTAGTAATCAGTAAGAGCAATGAGAACAATGCAAAAGAACAGCGTGGCCTGTATCAACTACTCAAACCAACCGTAACCTTAACAACAGAGGAGCGACAGGCCTCCAGCAAAACCTTGGCAACCACCTGTGTGATATCGGTGGCCCAAGCCCATGCCCTGAACCACTTAAGCTCTTGAACCACCCTCAACGTTGGGGTGCCCGATCACTTCTGTCTTTTTTTGGGTTCACTTGTGTCTGTTTTTGGGGGTCGCTTGTGTCTTTGTTTTCGGGGTCGCTTCTGTCTTTTTCCTTCTTCGGAAGCAACAGTCTCGAACGAGAGGTGCCCTGGTAGGACCTCACCCCGCTCAGTTTCAGGCTCGGTATACATAAAGTGCAAAGGCAATTAGCTTGCTCCCTTTCTGCGTCCACATGCACATAGACATGCATGCGTACTCTACGAGGGGGTGTCTAAACATGTGTAGATATTTATTGTATATTACACATTGTACGCATATACGTATACCTATATGTAAACATATACGTACACATAAACACATGCAACTAACATATACAGTTTACTCCTTTTAGGGTTTCGTTCTGTGTTTACTCCTCTTAGGGCTTGGGCCTTCTTTCATTAGGGTTTCGTTCTGGGTTTACTCTTTTTAGGGTTTCGTTCTGGGTTTACTCCTCTTAGGGGTTGGGCCTTCTTTCATTAGGATTTCGTTCTGGGTTTACTCCTTTTAGGGTTTCGTTCTGGGTTTACTCCTCTTAGGGGTTAGGCCTTCTTTCATTAGGGTTTCGTTCTGGGTTTACTCCTTTTAGGGTTTCGTACTGGGTTTACTCCTCTTAGGGGTTGGGCCTTCTTTCATTAGGGTTTCGTTCTGGGTTTACTCCTTTCAAAATTTAGGGTTTCGTTCTGGGTTTACTCCTTTTAGGGTTTCGTTCTGGGTTTACTCCTTTCAAAATTTAGGGTTTCGTTCTGGGTTTACTCCTTTTAGGGTTTCGTTCTGGGTTTACTCCTCTTAAGGGTTGGGCCTTCTTTCATTAGGGTTTCGTTCTGGGTTTACTCTTTTTAGGGTTTCGTTCTGGGTTTACTCCTCTTAGGGGTTGGGCTTCGTTCTGGGTTTACTCCTTTAGGGTTTCGTTCTGGGTTTACTCCTCTTAGGGGTTGGGCCTTCTTTCATCAGGGTTTCGTTCTGGGTTTACTCTTTTTAGGGTTTTGTTCTGGGTTTACTCCTCTTAGTAAGGGGTTGGGCCGATTACTCCTCTTAGGGGTTGGGCCTTCTTTCATTAGGGTTTCGTTCTGGGTTTACTCTTTTAGGGTTTGGTTCTGGGTTTACCCCTCTTAGGGCTTGGGCCTTCTCTCATTAGGGTTTCGTTCTGGGTTTACTCTTTTAGGCTTGGTTCTGGGTTTACCCCTTTTAGGGGTTGGGCCTTCTTTCATTAGGGTTTCGTTCTGGGTTTACTCCTTTTAGATTCTCGTTCTTGGATTACTCCTCTTAGGGGTTGGGCCTTTTTTCATTAGGGTTTCGTTCTGGGTTTACTCCTTTTAGGGTTTCGTTCTGGGTTTACTCCTCTTAGGGGTTGGGCCTTCTCTCATTAGGGTTTCGTTCTGGGTTTACTCTTTTAGGTTTGGTTCTGGGTTTACCCCTTTTAGGGGTTGGGCCTTCTTTCATTAGGGTTTCGTTCTGGGTTTACTCCTTTTAGATTCTCGTTCTTGGATTACTCCTCTTAGGGGTTGGGCCTTTTTTCATTAGGGTTTCGTTCTGGGTTTACTCCTTTTAGGGTTTCGTTCTGGGTTTACTCCTCTTAGGGGTTGGGCCTTCTTTCATTAGGGTTTCGTTCTGGGCTTACTCCTTTTAGGGTTTCGTTCTGGGTTTACTCCTCTTAGGGGTTGGGCTTCGTTCTGGGCTTACTCCTTTAGGGTTTCGTTCTGGGTTTACTCCTCTTAGGGGTTGGGCCTTCTTTCATTAGGGTTTCGTTCTGGGTTTACTCTTTTTAGGGTTTTGTTCTGGGTTTACTCCTCTAAGCGGTTGGGCCGATTACTCCTCTTAGGGGTTGGGCCTTCTTTCATTAGGGTTTCGTTCTAGGTTTGCTCTTTTAGGGTGTCGTTCTGGGTTTACTCCTCTTAGGGGTTGGGCCGATTACTCCTCTTAGGGGTTGGGCCTTCTTTCATTAGGGTTTCGTTCTGGGTTTACTCTTTTAGGGTTTGGTTCTGGGTTTACCCCTCTTAGGGGTAGGGCCTTGTTTCATCAGGGTTTCGTTCGGGGTCAGGTCCTACCAAGGCACCTCTCGTTCGAGACTGTTGCTTCCGAAGCAAATAAAAGACACAAGTGACCCCAAAAAAAAAGACACAAGTGAACCCAAAGAAAGAGACACAAGTGACCCCCCTTCCACCCTCAACCCTTCAACCCCAACACCCTCAAATCTCAATGCTGGGAGGCGGGCCGATTCTCGGACCTCAGCGTGTTCATCTCAACGATGAGTTGCGCGTTCTCCGACCTGAGGCATCGGCCCAACTAAGCTGAGGGTGGTTACGGGGGTTGCACCTTGGGGCTTACAGCCTCTAGGGTTCAGGGTTTAGGACTTGGGGACTTAGGTTTTTAGGGGGGCTCTTTTCCGGGTACGGCCTACGGATGCCTTTACGCCTTAGTCAGAGTTTGGGGCTGAGGGTTGCTACTTCCTTAATAGAACCTACAGTAGAACCCAATACTTGATTCAGCGAGCGGCGATCGAGGCTCCAGCAACTCGTAAAACTCTCCGCAACACAACACTCCCAATTTGAAGGCCGAGATTAAACGCAAATCCTGAAGAACACCTTGTACTCCACACACTCGGCGACCCTAGACTAGACTACATTGCCCAACCATGGGACAGCGAAGATCCCGCGGAACTGTTGTGGTTCGAGGTTTAGTAAGGGCATACAGAACCTGCCAACAACCTAAAGTCGAAACGCTGTGAAGCCTATAGAACCTAGCTTCTCAGATCCGGACGTCAGCTTGCGCACGTCCTGCTCGCACTCGCGCTTGGTTTGCGCGGCGGCCCTGGAGGCTGCGCTCGTAGTCTCCGCAAAAGACTGCCCAGAGAGGCTTACTTGGAGGATCATGGGACTTAGTAAGTAGGGTTATAAGTACCCTCAGTGGGGCTATAAGAAATTATGAGTACAGTTACCCTAATTCTAACCTTAGTTACTAAGTCTCACGACCCTTTAAGTAGAACACAGTCACGGAACTGGACGTTTTGACGTTTCCAGCAAGATGTCGGCTTGTAGTTACAAACCGAAACCGAAACGCTAAGCTACCGAGAATCGCCTCCGTGAGCATATGAGACCTCCCGTAGAATACCAGGAAAGCGCTCAGCGGGAAGGATATAATACACCATAGACAGTATGCAATACATGACGTATCATTGAACAATGCATCACACATGACATATGTGCATATTCGATATAAGAGATAAGGAACACTGTATAGTAAATACATATACATATATATATATATATATATGTGTGTGTGTGCATATATATATTATATATACATGTACAAATAAATACACACACAATATCCGGGAGCCCCGGCGCCGTGGCAATCTCCTTCTTTCGGAATAGCAGATCTCGCTGGATGACCATCTCCTCGTGAAGTGAAGGGAGTTTCAGGTTTCCAACACTTCTGAAAGGGAAGCAGAGAGAATCCTCCACGAGGACCTTGCTCTTCGCGAGCTCGCCCTCGCCTCAGGATCTGGCTCCAAAGACGGTTCAGACGCCTTCGGAGTCAAAACAGCGCCATGAAATCCGAGAGTATCCCGAAGAGAAGCCACCGTGTGCTTCCGAGGTCCCGGCCCACATCCTCGGTCTTCTCCTCCGTGTGCTTCCAGGCCTACGCTGTGACGTCTGAGGTCTCTGGTTCTGGTTCCCGGAGCATGTTCCCTGCGTGCTCCCTCCTAGGGACCTGAAGTCGCATGGCTCCAGAGCCCAAGAAAAGAGGCAGACAGCCTCCGAAATTGGAACCCGGTCCCCATGCTCCACGGGAGGCTTGGCCCATGGCAAGTAACTTCTGATGACGCTCCAGCACAGCCTCACAGCAAAAAAAGGGGCACCCAGAGATCCAACAGGGAGAGCAGTCCACAAGCTGTGCTGAGATGCAAGTCGCGCGTTCAGCTCCCTGCCCCCCTGCTTCCAGGTATCTCCACACATGAGGAAACGGGTCTAGAGCCATTTAGAGACGTCTCGTGGCCTCCTCGGGCTCACGGGCAACAATCAGGCGAAAGCGTTGCTATGTTGCACAAAGGCTCGCACAACGCTTGTCAGACAGCTTCAAACGCGGGGAGTACTGCAAACGTGGAGCAAGAAGCTCTCCCTTCTGCCTGCAATCTCTTTGGCATCTGCGTGTAGTCCTCAGTCGTTTCTGGATGAAGCACGGTCTCGACCTGCAGAGCGGCATTCCTACAGACGAGGTGAGGGAATCACAAGCTTTCCAGCACCGCAGCCACATGCTCCGGGAAGCAAAAAGTCCTTCCGTATCTCCCTTTGCAGCACCACGAAGCACTGGACTGTACTGGACTCCCTGCGCAAATGGCTCGGGCCTCCTGGATCAGCCTGCGGCCATCCTATCGCTGTTTTGCATGAAGGGGAGATGATGCGGGGCTTTTAGATTGGTGTTTTCGCTTCTTCTGAATCCTCTTGTCGGGAGAAGACGTCACAACGCGGACGGCAAACCCCAGTCAAGAGATGCACTTACGAAGCCTCTGAGCACCGCTATGATCTGCTCCAGTATTTATGAAACCATGAGCTGTGGCCAGGTAGGTGAAGATGCAGACCGCTGCACTCCGATGAAGAAGGTACCATTCGCGTTCCCGCCTTCCACGAAAGGCCTCTAGCTCTAGAAGAGGATGTATATGTGGTCCAGGAAATGAGCCCAACTCCCCCAAATCCCTAAACCCTAAAACCCCCACTCCTTAACCCTAGTTGCACCCTAAACCCTAAAGCAGCGGCTCCTTCTTCAGCTGGATGAGCTGGGCTCTAAGCCTCGATTCCACTGATGCAAACGATACAGTCTATACGATGGGGCTTCAGGGTTTGAGGTGATGCAAGGGCTTGTAGGGTTTTGGATTCTACAGTTTGGCGCTTCGGGTTTTGAGGTTCCCCTGTCCACCAGTAGCCCCACACCAGGTGCTGCCCTCGATGTAAAAAGCGCAGTCGAGGCACTCCACGTTCTCCTGCTGCAGAGACGAGGACCGCATGACCTTGTCCTGGGCGCCAGGGCTTGAAGGGCTCTCGGGCTGGCCGCAGCTTGCTTGGTTCTGAGGCTGGCCCGCTCAATCTTGCTTACATTAAAGTCATTAGAGTGAAGGGAATAAGATCTTACTAACTATGATACAAAAACCAATCACTGCAACAAATATTGCGAGCAGAAACGATAGTAACAATGATCGTGAGCAGAAGAACACTTGTAGGGTGACTGAGAACCCGGCACTGAGAGATTGGTCCAGCTTCTGCTTCTGCCGAAACTCACGGACAAACCTGAGACGGCGATTTGTCCGTTTTCGGAAAAACAAACCGACGGGACCTCGAACAAGGACAACCCTGATTCGAAGGCCAATAGAACAGGGTGTAAAGTTCACATGCTTCTTCACGCATCATAGTGCAGAGCTCACTCCGTGCATCAGAGGTCCAGGCTCGTTGTACATCTCCCGCACGCTGGTCTTCAGAGAGTTAACCTGCCACAAATTGGCTGGCGACTCCAGACTCCCATACCCGTCCACCCGAAACCCTGAACCTCGGAGAAGAAACCTTGATGCGCCTCACACAGGAGTCTTCGCCCCATTCCCCCGGCCTGCTCCTCCAGCGGATCGCGCTCCTCCTCGAGAGCGCGCACCTGCAAGGAGAGCACAGCGCAGAGGCCCCTGCCCCGGCGTTTGAGTTGCAGGACGTGCCTTGTGGAAGAGCACGAACCGGAAACTCTCCAGGTGCTTCATCTGCCTGGACATGCACCAGCAATGAGATCTTGGTTTATGATGAGAAAGCAGGCACTGCAAGCATGTCGGCGTTGCTCCCGCAGCTTGTTGAGGCTTTCGTCCTTCACCTGCAAAACGCAAAATTCGTGCAGGCGCGAGGGGGCAGCTCCAGCACTGCGTCCAAGTGCTTCCTGCTTCGGAGGATCCATTCCCCGAAGGGGCCCCCCTTGCCTTCGACCTACCCCGACCCCAAGATCGCTTCTCTGAACTTCCCCCCCGTTTAGCGCTCACTCCACGCCTTCAAGCTCCGCTCCCGCTCCTTGAGCTGGGCTCGAACCTGCCACGGAAAGCAAAGTCGAAAACAAGACGGAACAATGGAAGCTCCCAGAGCTTTACAAAGCGCTGCCTTGTCCACCATCTCCTGCGATGCCTGAAGCTTTTTGCGCAGCTCCTCCGAGAATATGCAGCAATTAGCACGCCTATTGGTTCCTGCTGCTCAGACTGGATAGGCCGCCAGTGAAACCATTAGGCAAAACATGCCCTCGCACACCATGAAACATACCAGACACCACGGCGCACCTGCTGGAGCATTTGCGGGGCGGACGAAATGGAAAACTCTGCCAAACGGAAGAGAACAGCAACAAACTCAAGCCCCTACAAAATAGAATCATTCTGAACCATCAAGTACTTCTTATGGAACCCTTTACAAATCTCGCATAGTAGCCCAAGTCCTCCTGCTGCTGCGCAGCCTGCGGTAGCAACGAAGCACCCGGAAGATGAAACCCTTCGTCCGCGAATCCCAGAACCGAAAAGCCTCCGACATGATTACACAGGATCGCTCCTGCATGGGGTCAGGCCAGCCTGGGTTCAGTCTAAGCTTTGGCCTTTGAGGCTTCCAAACCGCAACTCCCTACGAAACCTGAACCCCAAACCCGCAAACCCCTCATTCATCCCCGAAACCCTACGAGGTCACATGACATGATAAGTAAGTCCCCCAAACCTCTGATTTCCATGCGCTTTGTGGGCGGCCGCCTCAATGAGTTCGGCATCCTTGGCCTTGACCTGATGAGTTGTTTTATAGGGTTTGGGCTTCAGGGTTCTGGGCTTCGAGTTTAGAGTTTAGAGTATTCAGGCGCTGGTGTTTGGGGTTCAGGCTTGGTTTCTCAGTTCGACAGGGGGTCAGCCTGAATCCCGCAGAGCTTCTGAAGCCCACGGCCCGAAACCCCAAGAGATGCGACGCGCGCGCCTGATTCTGGAGCATTCCAATCGTCTGCTTCATGCTCACTCCATCCTGCAGTAGTCCAAGGTCTTGCTTCTGATGTGAGCTTCGTTCAGGGCTCAAGAAACTCTTGTTCAGATTCTGCTTGCTCGGCTCAGACAGTCTTGGCATGCTCTAGCCTGGCAGAAACCGCTTAAGCACGACATGTGTCCGTCGGCTTTGATGGCGACACCTCTGAAGGCTAATCCGATTGCGAGCAATGTACCTGGCGAAGGAAGTCGTCAAAAGCCCCCCATAGAATCAACTCCCATCTCACCCCACCAACCCGAAAGCCAGCATGCCATCCTTGAGGGCCGTGGTGGCTTTCTCGGACTCGTCCTGCAATGCTTTGCGCCTCGGTGTTTCAGATGCTTCAGTGCGGCGATTGAGCGAAAAAGGCAAACAGTGATCATGATGCCATGCTCAAGCTAAAGAAGAGCAGGGTCGTTAGCTCTCTTTGACAACTTTGGGGCAGTGCAGCAGTTGTCTAGCGGAGTTCGAGGTTTCCACTCGATCTTGCCATCCAGACACGGTTTTGAAACCCCCTCGAAACACCCCCAATCATATGGCTGGACCTACTATTTTCCAGCGGAGCAGCTCTCTCTCGAGGATCTCCACGATCTGGTTTTCGTATTCTGACTCCTCGCAGGGACATGCGATGACCAAGGAGCAGCGCCACGTCACCCCAGGCGAACACACTTAGGGCTCCAGTGCTTCGCCCGTTGGCTCCTGCTGGCGCAGCGCTTCCTCGAACTTGAGGCCATCGGATTTCAGAAGGTTGCAAACCTCGGAGGTTAGTTGGTGAGACAGCAAGACGATCGGGAAGAATCGTCCGAGTGTCTGCCAGCAGCTATTTGTTCTTCTGCACTCTCGTACTTTGAAACCAGGCCTTGTCGTACTCCACCCTCCACTCTCGCAGAGCATTCTCCTCCCACTCGCGTACATGATCATCTAGAGATATGCCATGCAGCTACGGCTTCCAATCCGATATCCCTGAAGTCCACAAATCGAAGTCTGAAAGAAATGTCGATGCTCAAAATCTCCGCGCTCAAGCCACGTTTCGAGCATCATATTGAATTGGGTTTAACTGGGAACAACCGCCCAACCATCAGCAACCTGTCAAGAGTTGAGGGGAAGTTGAGGGGAAGCCCAAGACACCGTTCAAAGGAATCTCAAAAGCCGAAACCATCCTGCATGGTTTGCACCCTTGACACGGGATGATAGCAGAGGGCTTCTGGCTTTGCCCCGACATTCTAGCAGCGACTGAAACCCCAGAGCTGCAACCAAAATACGTCGTGGTCCTAAAGGAAGAAAGCGGAAAGCTCTCCTGCGCCGCGCGGAGCTCCACGAGCTGCTCTTCGTGGGCTTTTTGCATCTGCCAGGGGAAGCGGGGACTCTCTTTCAGAGAGTTTAAGGACATGTAGGACTTGGGGCTGAAGGGTCTAAGGCTCGGAGCCCGAGGAACGCGTATAGCCACCCTGAAAAGCATTGCTCAAAGGCACACCCGAAAAACGACCGCGGGGCCCTGCCTTGGCTTTGTCCTCCTCGAACTCGTCGCGGAGAGTCTGGAGCTCCTGGGCAAAGGATACGACAAGGAAGAGCGCTGCCAGTGAATGTCAAGCAACGGACCTGGGACATCGGAGCCTAAACAGTAGGTAGGACAAACTGAAGACTAGAACCAGGATGCATATCATAAGGGGCGCGTGCATAATCTTCATCGCAGCAGTTGGGGCAACTTACGGTCCTCAAGTCGGGGGCAGCTCGAGCTGACAGCTCTGCAGTAAGCATGACCGAGAACTCGGACCCCGATCCTCTGAACTTTAGTCCGGGAAGTTATGACGACCCCTACACTGCGACGCTAAGGCCCTAAGCCAAGCGCCCGTATTGGGAACAAGCGCCAAGGCCCCCCACCGCAACCTCAAACCCTCTGGGGTCCCTGCGTCCAGCAACTTGCTGTTTTTCTCATACTCCCTGGAGATGCTGCCTTCGAAGCGGTCCTGTGAGAATGAGAAGCTCTCTTCAGGCTCTGGGTAGATCTGAGAGCACGCGGAGTTTTGCGATGTTTTCACTACTGCCGCAGCTCCTGCAAACCACACTGAGCAGGCACGACCCACGTGTCGGCTTTCCGACGCACGCCGCGCCGATGTTGCGGCTCGCAGAAAGTCCCAAAGAAGACTCCGAGCACGGACCTGTCCTGGAGCTTCTTGTGCTTGTTGTCGAAGTTGCTGTTGGCATCCTGCATCTCCTGGCACGTGAGGCAGGGTTCGAGGGCTTGGGAGAAGTGAAAGGAGGGAGGCAGAAAGAGAGGCAGAAAGCCAGAAAAGGATATTCCAGGGACGAAGGGAGGAAACACACAGCGAAAGAACAGAGGGACGGAGACGAACCAGAGAGACAGAGAGACACAACACCGCAGGCAACAGAGAGCTCCCGAGACGCAAATGCGGCATCGCACTCTGACAAAAGCGGTAGCAGGTGTCAAACGCCCGTACCTGGACGCTCAACCTTGAAACCGCACGGCAAGGACGGCAGTTGCACCACCGTGTGACGCTCTGAGGTCTGCTGGAGCTGCTTGAAGAGATCTGAGCGAACGCATCTCCAAAGATGTCCAAAAGGGTCCACAGGGGATGTCAGGGGCGCGGCTGTCGTACTTCTCGTCAGACACTTTCTTTTCTTCCCGCCGCCTCGTCCCGCTGACGCACGGATCTTTAACAAGCGGCTGGCCGGTGCTACGGGGTTCCCGGGAAAGAACATTCTGGAAGAGACCTCAGAACCCAAACTGCAATGTCGATGCACATACGCCCACTCCACCTTCAACTGGGGCATGGCGCTACATTCAGGACCCGGCTCCACTTGGATGCTGATCAGCTTCTCTTGCAACTCGTTCTCCTGCACGGATTTGAGGCTCCGAAGAAATGTACTGAAGATCGGCTCCTCTTTCCGGGAAAAGGGTTAATCCAGTTCGTCCTTCTGCTCCAGTATGTGGTCGCTCTCGTGCTTGAGTCCTTGCCTGGGACGCTTCTTGCGTGCAGGCTGGCACACTCACGAAAAAGTCAAACTCTGCAAAGAATGCAAAGATCTTCTACGATGGCCGATAATCCTTCATGTGGACATGTCCCATGTGGCGCAAGACAGCGTGAGCAGCGGACATTCGGTCTTCAAGCTCCCGGATTTCGCTGAGGACGTCAGTCAAGTAGGCCTGGCTGTGAGCTTAGGTATGATAAGTTTGTATCTCAAGGGTTGTACGGGTTGTGAGGAAATATTGGTTTACGCAAACTTAAGCTACTGCTCGCGGGGACATGACGGCTGCCAATTTGCGATCGGACGCCCTGATCTCTGACAAGCATCTTGCCAACTCTTCCACGCAACAGAGAGACATAACCTGCGACGGTGCTCTGGCCTTTGGTATCATCAGCAAGTCGTCGAGGGATGCCGTCGTGGCTGAGATCTGAGCGTGCACGGGAATCCAGAGTAAGAAATAGCATACTGGCCTCTGATAAGGCAAAAATCGATCCCCTTCTACCAATGTTGACTTTCCATGTCTGCCGCTTTCAGGGCGCGACAGCTCGCACGGCTTCGCAGAGCTTTTGCTGAAGGTCGCGTGCCTGCGAATTAGCGAAACGGTCGGCAGCTCAAAACGGAAGGCTGTGAGATACGTCTTGCCAAATTGCTGGATCTCTGCTCTCGAGGTCCAAAAAAAAACGAACACTGGCGGCACCTTCTTTTCATCCTCACGCTGTGCCTGGCAGATGGATGCCCCATGCTCACCTTGTAAGCCACTTGCAGCGGACTCTGCCCGAGGCCGAGGGGTCTTCTGCTGGCCCTGGGCAAAAAAAGTCGCCTTGCTGGCTGCTGCTTTCTCCCTTTCGCCATACCTCAGAGAGGGCTCAGGAAGCTGGTTCGGGCCACGCTAGCTCCCTCCCTTGGTGATTGTGCATCCTGGTTGCCGGAACCGAACGATCTTCTGGTCCAGCCTGGACAGGTCCCCAGACGCCGAAACCCTGCCTTACGCCCGTGCTGCCCCGACCCTAACAAAGGCACCAAGAGCTCCAAGCTCCGTATTGCAAGTTGGAAAAAACAGGTCGGGCAGACTCAGTGTGAGTGACTCGCTTCTGCGTTCCTTCCGAGTCCACGGAGTACTGCGCAACCTGGCTTTGCAGGTTTTCAGACAGAAGTCACGATTCTGCAGTCCCCTTACCAACTCTACCCCGAAGCAAGGTCCACGAGTACCTCCTACACCGCAATCCCCGCCCTGAAACGTCTCCTCAAGCCACAAGCTTGTGGCTGGGCCGTGCCTCGCAGCACAGGACGGAGCCACCCTCGCAGCCTTTGTGCTCTACAAAGTTGGGCGACTTGTCCCACCAGACTCTCGCATCTCTGCAAAAAGTCGATTGCTGCGGTCTTAGGAGCTTTACGATTCCGGAGTGTAGTCGGGACGAGGCTTTGCAGCTGTGAGTCTTGAGGGTTCAGGGTACCAGGTCGCTTCTCTCAGCCTCGTCTTTCCGAGGGATTTCCCAGTCGAACCCGCAAATCCGGTATTCGTCCGATGGGCTACGACCTCGACGGAACTTCCCAAAGCGCCCGACCGGAGAAGAGGTAGCGTGCATCGAAGGAGAGCGCCAGCTTCGTGATGCTGTGGGCCTGGCGAGTTGCTTCCACACACCGGCTCACCGGCTCACTGACACTGACTGAGCCTATGGCACCCCTGCTGAACTCCTGACACGCTCTCTGGGCCGCTCTCTACTCTCCCATCCATGACTTGAGCTCGAACCTGAAAGTTGCCTCCTTCCCAAAGCCTCAAGTACAAGCTACCCGGGTATCCGCCCAGCTCGGACAAGGCCCCAGCGTGCAGGGAAAGTTCTGTGAGGAGGGCGACACCACCCTGCGGTCAAATGTGCTGGCAGGGCTCAAGCAAGCGCTTGTGGTTGTTGGCTTGAGTTTGTGCCCAATCGAACGCTCCGAATCAAAACAGGAACGAAGCGAACATGTGCCGCTGTGCCTGTCCCATCAACCCTGATTCCTAACAGCTGTCAGTGGCCGCCTCTTTGCGAAACCAAAAAGAAGCCTCTTCAGAACACTGGCAAAGACCTTAGGACTTAGGAGGTGGAGAAACCAAAACGGAAACTAGAAAAACATGCGCACAAGTGCGCCCTGCACAGCACGGAACCTTACAACGATTGCTATCACTGCCACTGTTACGACTGCAACAACCACAAGCCCATATTGCAAGCATCACTGCCATCTTTGCCTGAAATACTCTCCGCACATCTAGAAAATTGCAATAGAACTGCGGCAGCTGATGCCCTTGCGACCATTACATAGCCGCGAATCATTAGACACGGCTACTGCTACTACTATACTATTCATACTGCAATCACAAGCACAGCTACAAGTCGTGATACGACGACAACACGAGTACAGCTAGCTAGCTTTACGAGTGCTGCTTATTGCAATGAATACCAATGTTACAAGCACGCACCCAATCATGACTACTACGTTTGTTCCTGATACCACTACCGATAGCAATCACTTGCTCGGCAACCTCGTTCGGGGGCCAGCGAAAGACACGCACACCGCCTGGCACGGCGACCAAACGGAGTTAGGCTGCAGCTTTGAAGGATCTCGGCTTCCGAATTTGGATTGAAAGCCTTGTCTCATTCCAGCGAAGAGAAGCCCCAGCGCAGAGGCCTGCAGCGAAACTGAGGCTTTGACGTCCACGATTTCGCGCCGTACCCCACCCAATACGTCGAGTCTTTTAGGGCACTGTTCGAGAAACTAGTCGTGACGGGTTACATTTTTGGTGTGCGGTCCGGGGTTGAACTTCTGCTTTTCCTAGGTCGCTGAGTGTACACAATCCATATCTCCGTAACTCCAGGTGGGCCCTTGGGCTCTCCTTCTTCAGTGGCACTCGTCGCCGCAACAGAAGTGCACATGAGAACCTAGGAGATGTCTCCGACTTCCCGAGCTGCCGGCGAGGCAGTTGGAGGTGTAAACGTTGAGCTTGTTGTCCGCATGGATCTGTTCAGGAGCATTGACAACTGGCCCAGTGCATGCTGCTTTCTGAAACTTCTGATCCCAAGACTGTGCCAGCAGACCCTCCCGGTTCCAAAGGAACTCCGAGGATCCACGGAAGGGCCTCAAGCTGTGGAGAGCTGAGGTGGCCAATCACCTGGAGCTAGCTCGTGTTCGAGTTTCCAGTAATTGCATAGTGTATGAAGTGAGTTGAACCGTGCGACTTGTTCCCGCCGTGGTCTGGGAAAGTCAGCTTCTCTCTACACACACACACACACACACAGACCCGGTGTTGCATTGTGCTGTATCCTGCTTTATGTTGAGCACTGGCTGAATGCTTCCGCAGCATCTGTCTCCGAGAACTTCATCGCAGGTGTGCCCGTGGCTGTGGTCTTATTTGGACACTCTGTCCATAGCTCCTGCGATGATCACAACAACAACATCACAGCCCAGTCCGCATCTCAGCCCTCCACCCTTAGGTTGCCCTCGGGTTGGACACAGGCCACGGTGAGCCTTAGATGGTCTCGGTATGCAAGGCTGTCAAAGGCTTTGGGCTACTCTCCTTCGCAGCAGGCCAGGGCCCGAGGGATGGGTCATCAGCCAACACGGTCAGAGGCCAGAGAACAAGCCCAGTGAACAGCAAACACGACGAACTTCTTTGTCCATTAATCCTCTCGATGCGAAATGGGCTCAGGAGCTCGCTTTCTCTGACAGTCGAAGCTCAGGTCTGTGTAGGTCGCGTGCTTGCAGATCTCGGCAGGTGCTCGAAAGTAGCAGGTAGCTTTACTGGGAGGGACCTTTTGTAAGGGTCGACAAGCCGGGCAACGTATTCTTTTGTAGTTTGATGCTGCTTCATTGGTCTCGGACACAGAGGAAACAGAGATGTCGTTCGGAGAAATCAGCTTTCGCCAGTCACAGGAACTGTACCCTCAGCAGTGGCAGTAGCCGTGGCAGAGGCGGTAGCACTAGCCGGATGGCAGCGGCATGGCAGAAGCGGAGCAGCAGTCGTTGTAGCAGCAGCAGTCGACGTCGTAGTCAGTAGTAGAAGGGTAGTGGTGTGGTAGTGGTAGTGGTAGTGGTACCAAGTAGTGGTAGTGGTAGTGGTAGTGGTAGTGGTAGTGGTCGTGGCAGTGGCAGTGGCAGTGGCAGTGGCAGTGGCAGTGGCAGTGGCAGTGGTGGTGGTGGTGGTGGTGGTGGTGGTGGTGGTGGTGGTGGTGGTGGTGGTGGTGGTGGTGGTGGTGGTGCTGGTGCTAGTGGTAGTGGTGATATTAGGGGTGGTGGTAGTGGTGATATTAGGGGTGGTGGTCGTGGTCGTGGTGGTGGTGGTCATGCTAGTGGTAGTGGTCGTGATAGTGGAAGTGGTGGTGGTCGCGGTCGTGGTCGTGGTCGTGGTCGTGGTCGTGGTAGTGGTCGTGGTCGTGGTAGTGGCATCTGGGGAACACTCGAGTACAAGACCGATAGACAAAATCCTACGTCATCTAGAATCTAGCACGGGAAGGCAATGAAGGCTTTTGCCCATCAGCACCAGTACTAAACAGCTGTGACGCCCTCCCATAGGTCCCGTACATGCTCGAAGGCCCGCTCCCGGGTGTCTGAGCAGAGATCCCAACCTTGAAACAAACTGCAGCTGACCAGTTCCGGCGGTGCACAGGGCTTTGTGGGCTTCTAGGGCGCTAAGCGCTTTTTGAGGCATTTGGGATATAAGGGCTTGGGAGTCAGGTCTTGAAGTTTATGCAGTAGTGTCTGGGAGCCACTACGACCTGGAGAAGCGGAGACAGCGGGCCGCGTAGCTCATGCTACTGTAGGAATTCAGCAAAGACATTTTCCCCCAAGCTTCCGCAATATCAGTGGGTGAAGCTCAGAACAGCCACCCCTTAGAGTCGAACAATGCACTCAACCAAAGCGCCCCTTCAAGGCTTCAGGCATTAAACTCGATCCTTGAGGCCCTTCCCTTTGGGCGCCGTGGCCATAGATGGCCCCGTGTGGGGCTATGCCGCTGGAAAGCAGAAGTCGGTCATCCTCGGGGTCATCATGGGGCATCGGGCATGAACACGAAAGCCCACACAAGAGTCTTTTCAAACCGTGCAGTGTCAAGCAAACAACCGTCGAAAGCACCCCCAAACTCGACCCTCTGGATTAACGTCAGGCACGACGTGCTGCACCCTGCCTGCGAGAAGAGGACCTCATTCACTGTGGAAACATGTCCACCACCTCGCCCACTGAACCTCAAGACAAAGCGCTCAGCTTGGCTTCGAGAGCCTCTGCATTGGAGCTTGGGTTAAAACTCAGGTTCGAGACATCGTTGAGGTTTGGGCCAGAATGGTTTCCTGCCTTTAATCGATGGCATTGTGTAGGAACCTGCCAAAAAGTGAATCGCTTACTTGAGGCCCAGCCATTAGCACCTAGAGTGAACCAGAACCGCAGCAGAGGGTGGGTTCGACTCGTTCGACTCTTTGTTTCCCTAGGAGCCTCCGCCCAGCCAGCGTTTCAGCAAATCTGTGCGGGATGGTGAAAGTAAGCGGATGACTTCCAATCGTGCTCGCGGTGTTTCGTGAAGTGAAGCGGGTGGGAGAACTTGCCGAGCCCTTTTTGGAGGCCTTCACGGAGAAAAAGCAAAGAGGCCCCCTCTCGGAAGCCTTCCGTTCCGGAGTAGCGGTTCAGAAATCCCACGCCACAGCTCTCAGACATGAGGAGGGCAAGTAACACAGGACTCTGTCAACTTCCATCTTCTCTGTCCTTAAGGGCCATGCAGGTGGATCACCACCGCTCGCCACGGATCGATCAACGCCTCGCCGAAGATTGCAATGTACAGTTTGCAAGCATAGAAGTGGAAGTGGAGTGTGGGGGATGGCGGACTCAGAGATGCTTGTATGGCAGAATGGAATTCGGAATCTTACTGTGACATCTGGATGCCTTCAGCTGCTGAGGCAACTGTGCGGTTTCACGACATCGCATGGCAGGGAAGCTCAGAGCCGGACCACATCGTTGTCCGAGGAGACCGCAAGAAGACTCCTGAGCGTTTCAGCGAAGCGGCCAGATCGTAGCTGGTGCACCCTAGCAACGAGCAGCTCAGCTCCCGAAATTACAATGTTGCCAACAACGCAATAATCGTTCCAGAGCCGGCTACACGGTTACATACCTTCCTTCTGCACTCACCGAGATTCCTTCGCGATACCGAACCTGGTGGCTCACGGCTTCGGGAAAACTGCTGAGGAGCCCTCCCACCGTGCGAGTAGGCAACGCCGCCCGGGTTCTTCAAGGCCAGATCCTTGAAAGAGTGTCCCCAGCACGCCAGGATGCATTGTTCACCGTGGGTGACTACTTGCTGAACGATGACAGTGCTTCTGCTGGAGGTTGTCAATGATGGGCGACTGAATTGCTCGGCGTACGCAAGACGGAAGGGTAATTATCGTGACCTCTGGATCAGCAACATGGCTGGCACCCATGCAGGGCTTGCGGTGGTATCTGCTTTGGCTCTCCTGAACATCATGTATGTAACACTGTGACAGCAGATTATGACAAAACAGCTAATCTATCCTGGAGACCCCCCAATGCCACTACCAATTCTCTGCGGTTCCGCTGACACTCGCCGTGAAAAACGAGGCACTTAGCTGAAGGGACGCTCAAGCAAGGCCCGAGCTCAGGAGCCCAAAGCCGAGCCCAAGCCCAAAGCCCCCCTAGATCAGGCTGTGGTTTGAAAGATGGATGCTGAGCTCGTTGCGAAATGCGTCCGAGAAGCCTGGGGTGGCCTCAGCATTTTGCACACTTGGAGCCTCGCTGTATCCCTGAAAAAGCCTGGAAGCCCTGAACTCTGAACGCAAGTCCGCGTAGGATGCTGCACTCTGAGACGACAGCGTGAGGTGGAAGATCCGAACCGTGTCCTCACATCAGTGCTCTGAGTATGGCAACACCGACAGTTCGTCCCTGCTCTCACCAGCCTGCCTCCAGGATCACAGCGACCTGAAAGCCGAGTGGGTGCCTGAAGATCCCAGGCAGCTGGCATAAGGTAAACAAGGAAAGAGCACGAAGACAATGTGTCGCTGTACGCAGTCATCAAGATATGGCCACATAAGCATGAAGCACGATCCACAAGGAGGAAGACTAGCAACAAGCAGGCATGACAAGCTTATTGGGCTCCGGTGGATAGCATCATACAGATATTCCATGCATGATATTCTGAGCTGATGCTGTGCATCGCACCCACGGACCAGAGTTCCAGGGCAGGGGCACTGCCATAGCACTGGCGCACTCATATGGGGAGACCTGCGACAAAGGAAATGTGTTGATTTCACACAAAAAAATGAGCAGGCTTTGGGGTGGGAGTGTATCGAGATTTTTGCCGTCGCCCATTCCACTCGTATGGAAATCTCTAGTGCTCGGGATGCCACTTGGTCGACAACTTCATGGCAAATGATGTCCAAAAGTCCAAGCCAATGCACATCACGCCCCCCCGCCTGTATGCTCAGCTCTGGAGAAAATGCCATCGGCATCGCCTCGAGCGACAGCACAGTTGCAAGCTTTTCTCAACTGTAGATCACATTCGCTGCTTTTGTTTCCTGACTATTGGTTGACCAGAGTTTTGCGTGACGCGGGCGAACGCCTGTGTGAGACTGGGGAGAAGACGGCGACAAGGGTAGTGCTGCTGCAGACAAAACCATGTTTGCAGGGCTCAGCTAGATGCGTGCACGAACAGGAAGCTTCATGCTGTCCCATTACCCCACGGTCCTCTCCCTCTTCCGTGGGGAAGCTCCACACTTTGAGCATCTTGTCCTGCATTCGGGGCCATCGTCACTTGGAACATGTTGAAACGGTTGGAAATCATGACATCGCACCGATGCATCAATGGGCAAGGCGAAGCCTTGTTATTGAATGAAGGCGGGATGCCCCACCACATTGACATGGACGATGACTGATGAAAAGCCTCTTTTTCCCCCCCGTCGCAGAGCCCATTACCACCCTTCCGTGACGGCTGAATAGTTGCAAACAAATTCAAAGCCCAAGCACCAAACCCACGATCGCTGTCAGCAGGGTGCGCAGATACAGGTCCTCTGCGGTGCTGGCGATGATGCGTCGATCTGGACAGGTGGGCACATGTATCAAAGCTACGAGATGCGGGAAACGAACCGACGGCAGAAGTCTATGCCTCTTTGCGAGTATTGCCGATTGCACAGATTTTCATAGTGCGGGACAAGGGACAACACCCATCTGACACCGATAAAATTGCACAGGTTGCTCATCTCCAGAACCAATAAACTTCCAAAGCCAGGCCCTTAAGCTTCTAAATTTCTAGAATTCTTGTGTCCATGAAGCCACATAAGGCGCTGGCTGAAAGCCGGCTTCATTGCCTCATGCTCACGGCAACAGGGGTGCGTAAACAGTACTTGTCTTCTTTTGTTGGTTCGGACATGAACTCCACCCCACCCATGCAGCTTCACTTGAAGCTTCTACCTGCATTGTCCTTCCAAGGACAGCTACGAGTACCGGCCTCTTTGGATGCCCTTGAGGCCTCGAGAGTGATAGTTAAGGGATCTTTACATCGAAGAGGCCGCTGTACTTTGGGCACTACAGGTTGAAGTCCTCCCTGTCCAAGACCAAGTCCAGATCCTAGTCTGTGCTGAATATGTCCCTGCTTTGTGTCCATTCAGGCTACAGAACTGTCATTGGTGGTATTACACCCGTACTGCCAAAACACTGTCATGGCAGCGGCTGGAGTAGTAAGTCGCAGTAACAGTAGTCGTGGTCGCAGTAGTAGCAGCAGTAGTAGCAGCAGTAGTAGTACTGGCAGCAGCAGCAGTAGCAGTGGCAGTAGCAGGCGCAGAAGCAGGAGCAAGAGGAGTAGCACCAGCACTAGTGAGATATGATCTTAAGTTCTACTCACTCTTAGTTCTCGCTGCAGGCAGAGGCCCTGGCGGTAATGAGCCCTTGATGAGTCCCAAAGCGGAAGACCGGGGTAAACACTTCCAGCCTGGGTCGCGTGTTCACGCTTGTGGTCTTGGGGTCCGGGGTTTTGGGTTAAGATTTGGAATTAAGATTCGTGTTTAGGCCTCAAGCTTACACCAAAAGCCCGTATCCTGTGGAGGAAGGGGTTTACCAGATCAGCGTCTTCACATCATGACACATGCGACTCTGAGGCTTTTGAGCTGCAGCTCTTGGGATCTGCAGAGATGACGGGACCAAAGGTGTGAGAGCGCGAGGTTATGGAAACTCTGCCATCGCCCTCAGACAGAGACGACCGGCTCGGCTTGCGCATTGGCGGACTGAGCCAAACTCAGGGCTTTGGAACACTGCGGATAGGTCCGGCACTGCCCAGTCACCGCGAGGTCGGCCTGGGAAATCGGGAACCTGATGCCAGGGAGGCACAACGCAAATATCTCCGTGCATTTCATTGTGGTTGGGGGGCTACAGTTAAGGTTTTTCTCGCTGAGGTTCCGGGCGTGTGCAGTGCCCACTTGGCCAACGGGTTCCGCTGACGTCCCGTTGCTGAGGAGGCTCGGGACCTCAGCCAGTTCGGTGTTGAAAGGACAGGCGATCTTGAAAGGAACTCAGGGAAAGCTCTTAAAATGAGAGATGCAAACACTACGCTTTTGGCATTCACAGCTGAGGACAGGGGCTTTCAAGCCTCGATGGATCTTGAGCAGTCTATGCCTCTTGCGTGCTGGGTGTCTGGCACAGTTGACTGGCGCGAGGCGCTATTCCCACGCGAGCGAATGCCGCTGCTGCTCCCGAGGGACTGCGGACAGACGAGTTCAATTATGCAAGCAGAGCGGCTTCTGTCAAGTTCTGATGCAGGGGCCTCTGGCTCATGTTCCTCATAGGACAGTATCACCAAGCTGCTCTCCTTGAGGCAAACGGCTGCCAAGCTACACTCCTGTCACCCTTGACGCCTGTCTAGTGACCTTATGGCTCAAGGCAGCGATTGCTAGCACAGGACAGGGTTGGATCTTGGCGCACCTGCATAGACCCTGGGAGTGGGGCAACATCCTAAGATCTTACCTCCCATTTGCTGTCTCTGAAGAGTCCTCGGTGCTGGTGCTCATGTTCCACATCGTCGCCTCATATAGACAAAAACTTGAGGGAACAGAAGACCCACTGATAACTCGTCATGGGTCGTGATGTCATGTAGCACACGAAGGACGCATCTCAGCCAAGTCTTCAGAAGACCGAAGCACGCAGCCCAAGTGCCGAAACCCGCGAATCCGCAGAGCTAATGCTGCCGGAAAGAACCGCGATGCCTTCTCGCCCGGCATGCGGAAAGTGCCGATGGACTCCACCTGCAGTCAAGGCCGCTCTGTGACGAGCATGGGCTTGGAAAGCGAAGAATCGGAGCGCCGAAAGCCAAAAACACAACCAGACCCAAACCCTAGACCGGAGGAACGCTGTAAATCGTCACCTTTCAGATTTCAGCTGTGAGCTCAAGTGGTGATAAGGCAGTGGCGCGAGCTTTGGCGTCCACTCGGAAGACGCCGATGTAGCCCTGGTCCCCCCCGACGACGAAGCCCTGTAGCCAGGCCTGCCAGCTTGCAGAATGGAAACTTGCTGAAGCTCTGAGTGTCATTCGTCATTTCTCAGGCCCGGGTCTGTGTGGTGTAGGCGCAGGCTTCAAGAATTGTAGGCGCAAGTCGGCTGCAGATGAAACTCTGAAACCCCAATCCCAGCCCAAGCCCTTCGCGCCGTTACCGCGGTGAGCCGCACCGGCGGCGGCTCCGAAGCGGTTGTAGGCCCTGCCTTTCCGACAAAGCACAGGTCCTTACCCTTTCGGATAGTGCTTGTTCCCAACATCAACAAACTCTGCGCCACTGCCTCGCCCATGATCTTTGCCAGCTCCTTTGCCTCGGCGAGTCATTTTGAACGCATCCTGTTTCTCCGAAGCCATCGGGAATCCTGAAATTGCCAGCCCGCAGGCATGAGCAGAACTGCAGAGCGCTTTGGTAGTGCGGAGGGCATACGTCCTCCAACCCCAAAACCCTAAACCTGAAACCTTAAACCCTCAAATCCCTAAACCCTGCACCCCGAAACCTGCAACCCGCAACCCGAACCCTTCAACCGACTTAAACCCTAGTACATCGGCCGGCCTGCTCCCGTTCGACGGCTTTGGGGCCTCACAGCGCAGCAGAGAATCTGCTGGGATAGATAATGCTGGTGGGAGGAAGCCGAAGGATGGGCTCAAGGCTTAGGATTTAGGTTTTCGAGCCTAGGATTGAGGGTTCAACGACAAGCCCAACCCACCTTCAGTCGATTACCACGGCAACGAAGCGAGAGAGAGAGAGAGGGGGGTAGAAGGGAGCCCGGCCAGTGGACTCGTCTTTCTCAATATGAGCACGGACATCGACATCCTCACCAAGCTGGAACGAAACGTGCTGACCTGTTGCAAAGCTGTGCAGAGCCGACAGCAATGTCTTATGACATCTGCCCCATGAATTTGCAAGACATGCATCTATGACTCTTGACCCCGGTGACGTCTGCTATGGAGATCTTCGCAGGAGTCGAAAGGTGAAAAGTGGCACCGACATTTCGGATCAGTGCATCTTCAGTTTCAGGTAAAAACAGCGAGTTCCAGAAAGTCCTCGCGAAGCTCCCCATCTTCGAAAACGAAGACGCGCCCATCCTGCCAGAACACGATCTCAGGCTTCCGAAGATAAATCCTAGGCAGCAGCAGCACCACTGCCTCTGAAGCAGCACACAGGAAGACGGAGAGCACCCAGCAGTGGTCCACGACCTCGCCCACAGACTTGGGAAGAGGGCATGACTGCTGTTAGAACAAGGAGCACCGCAAGCCGCAGCAGCAACAAGAGCCTGAAAGTCTTCATGCTCGTAACAACCATGTACGGGTCATGAAGACGGCACGAAGGTGGAGCAACACAGGAAACTGTGATTGCATCATCAGTATGATTGCTTATTACAGAAACAAAAGAGGCAGGACAACAACCGCAACATAAAACCACCACCACCACCGCCACCACCACCACCACCCCCACCACCACCGCAACGACGACAACGAGCACGATCACGACGTCCGCGAACACCAGGACGACCACGACAACTGCGACGACATGACGACCAGGACATGCGACGACAAAGACGACCACGAGAACAACGACGGCGAAGATGAACATAAACCATCCGGGTGAATCCAACAGCAAGAACGACAAAGGCTATCTGACACAAGAAACAAACTAGTGAGAACTGGTGTGCATCAAATGCTGCCGATGTCGGGTGATGAGGATGATGATGAAGACGCTGATGAACATCCTGCAAACACGGAGACTAAGACGAGTAATACCAATGAGGACATTTCACTCGAGTGATACAAGTATGACGATGCAGAAGAAGGATGTCATGATGTCATGATTACGATCCGTGCCCAGGCTTGATGGCATGCTCATTATCGATAGTGAGATCCCGGATCTTCTCCGCCGGCCTTCATCTGCTTCTCCTGCTTCAGCGGGAACAGGGATGGGTTCTCGTTCAGACCATGGTCCTGACCACGCAGGAGCTTTGACCATCGTGGCCATGAGGATGATACTGATAAAGATGAGGACGACATTGCGACATCGCTATCGCTGTCGCCATTCTCATCACCATCGCCACCACCATCAGCACCATCATCGTCCTCGTCAACATCGCCATTATGCTGATGAGCGTCACCTCCATGACCATCATGTTCGTAATCCTCGTGTTCATGATTCTCATGCTCATGACCATCATGGTCTGCATCACAATCAGTGCTGCAATTGTGGTCGATATCACCATCGTCGTGGTCGTCGTGATAGTCGTCATCACCAGCTTCATGATCATCGTCATGCCTGTCATGTGTTCTATTATGATGCAACGTCGTCGCTAACCAGCTCCAGCATAACGACGATGAATAAGAGAATGAGCATTAGCCGCGACTAGCTTGAGTGAGTCACAAGCAACGAGGAGCCGAGGCTTGTGCATTGGGATTGTAGTCCCAAAGTCTGAAGTAGGAGTACCTTGGCACGCCAGATACTGCTTCTTCATCAAGACATCCAAACCAAAACGATATCAGCCACAGATCAGCATTGCGCATGAAGCGAACAGTAATTCACGCGTACTCAGCCCGTGGATAAGCGAGGGACCCTCCGACGGAGAACTGTGTCACGTTGCTTGGGTTCACCAACACCCGGTTGACCTCGGCTCATCACATCTTCTCGATCAGCCGGAGAGCCAAAAGCAATTGCCGCATACGATGCTCAGGACTGAGAGTTGAGACCGCGCAATTTAGCATAACTCGAGCCTGATTCGGGTGATTTGGCTTGTAGACCTTCGATATCAACAGCACTTCTTCAACTTGTTGGTTGGGTCCTTTGCAGAACTTCGTGCCTTCGTGGCCATTGAATTGTCGCCGAGCACGCGGCTGGAATCTGCATGTCATGCGAGGACATCAGCTTCTCAACATCCCAGCGCCAGTAGGAAACCTGCGTCGAAACGCAAGGCATCCTGCCGCTGATACCCAGACACTCCACAACCGTAGTTGAGAAAGATTCTTCAAATCCAAGCACGGATTCTCAACTAGGACCTTTTCGATTAACAATCCGGGCACACATTGCGACAAACAGGAATGACGGAACCCAAGTCTCTGCGTGCTCAAGTCCCTACAGCCTCAACTCCGTGGACGTCCCCTTCATAATTACTCGGTTCCCTGAGCCCAGTCACAAATCCATCAAAGCCTTGGACTTCTGAACCCCTCACACAACAAAGCAAAGCGCAAGATGGGCGTCACACCGTCGAGTCCGGCATGCTAGAGAGGGACACGAGGTGCTTGCCATCCGCCGTGAAGGCGAGGTCTGGCAACAGATCTAACTCTTCGGATCAGGGTTTATCAGGGTTTTGGGTTGAGGGGGGTATCGAGTTGGCTGGGTCTCACTCTGGATTCACACCCTAAGGCCTAAGCCTTTAGCCTCAAATCTTGGGTCTTGGTTTTGAGTGCATCGAATGGCTTGCGTAAGATGCCGCCGGGTGCCAAAATGACGAGCTGTTTTCTGGGCCTCACCTTGAAAAGCATAAACCTGGACCTATGGGAACTGCAAGCAATGCAACGGAGACTTACGACGGCTTGAGCTGGCCATCACGCGGTAAGCCTGCAGAGCAAGCTATAGGCTCTCGGCACATGCTAAGCTGCTAACACGCACGCAAAGACTCAAAAAGACTCAAATCGTTTCCGCGCTGAAGAACTTCGAACACATCGAACACGACCAGCTTGGGCAGGCAGAATCGACATTAAGACCTGACGCCTGCAGGCCACACCAAGCCACACCGCAAGAGGCACAGCAGGAATGTCCCTTCCGAGAAACGAAGTGCAGAATTCGGCATTGAGGCGCACATGCTCGTTCAGATGTTCTTGCGGCTACAACACCCCGCAGGAACGTGAAGTCGTTACAGCTAACGCTGCGCACCTACGATGTCAAGTCGCTTGTTCGTCGGGTGGAGAACTTTCAAGGACTCGTCTTTCATGTCCTGCCAGAAGGCTGCAACTCAGCTTCTCCCAATTTGTGCTTGAAAATGTGCGATACGAGGTCTCACTATCTCGCATCCTGACGGCAGTGCCAACAGGCGACAGTTCTAATTACCAACAAGCCCATGGGCACTTGTGTTTACCTGGCATCTAGATGCATGACACTCGACCAAAGGGTGACGGCCTTGCTTTCTCCGATGCTCTCCACCTGGTCCGCAAGAGGAACAGTCATCCAAAGCATCGATGCCACATGACATGGAGCTTCTGCACAGACTTACTGGAAGGCTGCCGCTCGCGCATGCTACTCGCAAGAGTCTCCCTCTCAGCATGCTGATGCATGCTGCATGTCCTTCGTTCAGGCCCATTCTGATAACAGAAGGTGAAAGCAACTGGTGCAAAGAACGACTCTGCCAACTCTTTATGCACGGCCGCCCGGCCTTCGGCAGGCTGAGCACACTGATCTGCGAAGCCTCGGCTCAGGCGGACCTATGACCGCGTCAATCCTGAGCTTTTCGCCGCTTGTTCGCTTGTGGTAGTCCTTCTGTTTGAGGTGTCGAGCACGATTCAAGCAAAGGTTTCAATGCTCGACCTTGAACCTGTGGCTCCGGAAACAGCAGAGCTTCTCAAAACCAGATGACTCGTGCTTGGGCTCGGAAACCTGTGTCTTACCCTCGGGCGCAACACCTGGTTCTCCTGGCCAGCACAGCCCGGGTAGCACAATGGTTACTGTCTCGCAGGTTCTCTTGGTCCAGAGCATGCTGATTGGAGCCGTCATCCGACCTCGACCCACGTGGAACATGACAACAAAGCACACATGACCCACTTCGTGGCTGAAGCTAATGGGGAACTCCTGAGCTGCAGACCCAACACGCTCGCCTACGGCTATCAGCTTGCCATTCGCAGACCTCGGAGACGGCAATCCCGCTGCGCAGCAGTGAGCACCCCGATTACCGATTCTAGGGACGCAGCTTGGTCATGGCAGTGATGGTTCTATGCCTGCGCTCATGCAGAATCTGCGAGGGTGTTAAACTCGAAGCCAACTTGTTGCCTGGCCTTGTGTCCCGACCAAGGAAGCCTAACCTCTGCCGACTTTGGTGGCAAAGGGCAATGTGCCGACCTCCAGACTCCACATCGGAGGTTGCAGCAGAAGTTTGGACATGTTTTCGCTAGTGACAACTCAAGCTGCTGCTCAAATCCATGCAGTGGAGGGCGTGTCGTATGCTCTGGGCCTACACAGAAGGCAAAGGCGTCGTCTCCCAAGGAGATGACCTGAGGAGACGTGGATGACCGAAAGGACAAGCGGTTCAGGCTCGATATTGATGAGCTTCGATTTCAGGACGGTTTGACATAAACTGCGATGTCACATGACAACTGATTTATCTCGGTATACAGCGGACTTACGACCGACATCGAGCCGAGGACGCAGCAAGAAGAAAACCCGTGAGAAGGCGCAGAGTACTGGGAAGGCGAGAACCGTTGGGTCTGGGAAGACAGACGCTGAAAGCAGGCATGGCGTGAGCACAAAGGCGAGTACCAGTAGCTCGAATGCATCGAGCAAGAAGCAGGGATCGTGAAAATCGTACATATCCTTATGCATGTCTCTGTCCAGATCTGTCTCTCTCTCTCTCTCTCTCTATATCTCTTCCTCTTGCTCGCTCTTCTTCCACACAGCCAATGGAGAGCAGGAAGCCCCGCCCTCCCCGCATGCGGGACACGCCCTGGTCTCACGGCCTGTCTGTGCTAGCTTTCCCCGGTCGGACAAGGTTCGGATATGAACACTTGAGAACCCCCCTTCCCAGCACGAATCCTGGGGCTCACACTTGCACTTGCCCCGCAACCATGGTGGCTTGGAGATGAGATCAGCTACCAGGCTCACATTTGCACAACATACGACCATCACACTCTGTCGCTCTCTTTGCTGTGCTATGCTCAGGGGCATGAGCACGACGTGTAGGCTAAAGGGCGTAACCCCTCTAACGCTGAGCGCCAGCGCTACGCCGAGTGTCCAAGTTCTGTCTGTCTGGAACATTCTGGGGTCGTTGAGTCGAGCTGGAGCAGTTTTGTCTCCACGAACAATGCACAATGCCCCATGCTAGCTATAACAAACCCGACTTGTCCAGCTCGCTCGTGTCGACCCCCACTCCTTTTATTGTGGCCGCGTTTTTTGTCCCCCTGTTTTTGGGGCTCCCTGCGGGTGCCAGAACGGGAGCACTGTTGGTAACAAGCTGCAGGCCAATGTGAGCCATAATGTAGTGACAAACCAAGGTTTGAACCCCACGAAAAAAAACACCGGGTCCCATAGTATTTCAGCAGAGCACAAACGACAAACTGCAACAGGTCGGGTCCCTAATCGCTGTCAAAGGCCGCGCGCATGTGGCGACGCCTATGCGTACCCCCAAGGTACTGCATGCCGCGTTCAGCGGCGCTGTGCCCTCTTGGCAGCCCCTGCGGGCTCCGGTGTCGTAGCCCCGGGTCGGCTGTGGCTGTGGTCCCGGGTCGTGTTGTAGACGGCGAGGTCGTCGCGGCGTTGGGCCCTCCAGGGCTTCCATTGTCGCGTCTTGAGACCTTCTGCTTCGCTGGTGTCCCCAGGCTTGACCTTTCTGGAATCGGTGGGCTTAGCCGCCGTCTCCACTGCCGGGCCAGGCTGTGATGCCGGAGGGTTGATCCCGGGCATCGGGACTATGTACCACGTGCCCGAGCTCTCTCTCTCTCTCTCTCTCTTTTTTTATTTCTTTGTTTCTTTATTTCTGTCTTTCCTTGTTTCTGTATTTAGTTCTTTCTTTCTTTCTTACTGTGTCTCTCTTTGCTTTGCTTTGCTCCGGGGCATGAGCCACAGGCAGTCCCTGTGGCCCGCTCGTTCGAGCAACCCATCCCTGATTTTCAGAGGATGGGCTCGGCTGTATAACCTTGGGTGCTCCGAAGCTTTGTTCCCCCGTGTGGGGAGTTCGCGTGTTTGCACCAGTACAATCACCGACATTGTAAAAGGTTGTGTGCACGAGGGGAAAAGCATGCTTGAAATGTCTCTCTCTCTCTCTCTCTCGCGCTATCTCTCTCTGTCTCTCTCTCTCTCTCTCTCTTTCGTCAGGGCTATGGCGAAGCGGAAGTTCCCCTCCACCGCGCTCTCTCTCTCTCTCTCTTTGTCTGTCTCTCTGTGTCTGTCTCATCCTCTATCTTTCGATCCGTCTACAGACAGGTAAGTACGTACACACCTTAACATGCAGATCATGCCTCTGTAAGTATCTTCACCCAGGCCTCGGCAGTCGAAGGCAAGGCTAGGCACCCCGCAGCATCTTTGATGAGGCTCGGATAGACCCCAAACCTGGGGTCTAAACGGTTTCAGGTTCTTTCGAGGTACAGTCGACCTTTCCGAAAGGTTCTATTTGTCGGGCTTGGCGCTGTTACCAAATTCGTTCAAGCGACTGCAACAGTTTGCAGTAGCGTCTTCCTGCAAATCAGACCTGGACTTAGATGATGACTGTTTTGTCTGGTGATGGTGCCGGTATGCTTCCAACTGCAGTACATAGGTGCAGGCACTACTCTCACGTGGATGCACATACATCATACATACTATCTAATGAAACATACTGAAATAAACTAGACAAAGATGACATGATATTATATTAAAAAGCAATATGGTATAATGGTAAACAATAATATGTGATATATAGTAAAGTCTAATGAAGTATAATGTACTATGATATAATATGATATAAGATTGTATATTATAATCATATAGTGTAGCATGATGTACCGTAATGTGATACAACACAATATAATGGGAACAAACTATGAAAAATGCCATACAACATCGTATAAGCCAGTATGATATGAAATGAAACCATACAGCATAACATGAGAGAACACACTAATAAAACACAACACAACACAACAGAATAGAAAATGCTATCGTACTATTAGTTCTCGCTTTTCTCGCTTTTGGGGCACAGAATCCAAGTTGGCTGCAGCCCGTTGGCTTGCATTAATTAAAGATTGAAAAAGTGAAACAGAAAAGCCGGCGTCCCGGCAACGGAGAGTATCGTCGACCCTTTCTGTACATTTGTGCGGACACCCTGGAGTGACGCAACGGCATGTACGGCGACATCAGCCGTGCCAGACACAAGCAGGAGTGCGGGCACCTGGAGGAGGACAACTCTGAGAAAGAATCGGACAAGGTCGGCTGCAAGGGTCGCGTGCTCCCGTGCAGATGAAGCCGCCTTGATATTCAGGGCCGTGTCAAGGTCGTAGGAGAGCGAAGGGAGGCCCGATAAGTCCAGGACAAAGGCCACTCCATCAAAGGGGCCGTCAAAGAAGGAGGGAGGATGCCCCGAACGAAAACCTTCCAGACATTCGGTGTGACTGTAGTCCAAAGTGCGGCACTCGTCAGTGCCCTGATGACTATGACCTTGATCAGGCTTGACATGGACCACAGTCAGGGTATCTGGGTCAACCTCACTCGCCGCACAGCGAATGGGTGCCACATCAATGATACTCAACACTGACTCCGAATCTCGGAAAGTTCGGAAGGCACTCGGTTGGGTGACCGGTGAAGGCACTAGCCATTGTACAAGATCGGCTTGAGAAATCCAAGAAGCACCCTGGAGCAGGGGGTCTCCTGGGGGGCGTCCCTGCAGTTGGCTGTGCCATTCTATGGCGGTGACTCGAAGTCGGTCCGTGGAAGCGCAAACACATGAGAAAGCCTGTCGTAGTCGTGCCCACAATTCCGCCGAAGAAAGAAGAGTGGCCGGACAATCAAACTCCACACATTGCAGGCAGTCCCAGACTTCTGCTATGGGCAGGAGGGCTCTGTCCTCCAACACGGCAGTAGGGGGGGGGAGAGTGGGCCCCGCTCCTAGGAGGGTTGGGCACATCCCAGCACTGTTGTCATCCTCTTTGCGGTGACCAACCCCGGGCTGTACGTCACATGAGTGACCCATGGCAAGGAGCTGGTTACGGCATGAGCTGGAGTGATGGAGATGTCGACAGAGGCGTATGTTGCTTGCGTATGTGCGCATACAGGCTTGGCATTGAAACCCTGGCAGAATGCCTCGGCCAAAAGGCATGGACAGACCAACGCTGCTTGTTGGCGAACACCATTCCGCATGGAGCGCAGCAGTGGACTGAATCTTGATGGTCTTGGGCCGCCCCATGCACAACAGCTCCATGCGCGTTGAGCTGTTTGACAAGGAGGGCGTGGTGTTTTTGTCTGGCGGCAACCCATTGCTCCCGTACAACCGCTTGCTGTTGGGCCCGTCTAAGAAGGGCCTTCCACCGACCAGGCGTCCTCTGGATCATCTGCAGCCAGGACGGCCACACCGTCATCCATGTCGGAGAAGTGTGTTGCGACTCGGTGAGGGCCCACAACCATTCAAGGGAGGACCTAGCGGCTGCAAGCCACTGTCCCTCCCAATGCGCCAAGGCCAATAGCTCCTTCAGGCCAAGCCTAATGAACAGCATTAAATGCCGGAGTCGGGCAAGATGCAGCAGAACCTGCAAAGATGGCAGACCAAGGAGGGCCAGGGTCTGGTCACGCCCTGCATGGATGGCCTCCTCAAAATCCCAGGTAGGCCGGCACATGTGCCCGGCCATCCGCTCATGCGCAGAGCTCAAAGACAAAAGCACCGAGTTGCTTGGCGTAGGCCAAGTGCCAGCACCATGTAGAAGCACCGACAAAATCAAGGAACAATAGAGGGTGGCCTTCGCAGCGTAGGGCACAGAAGGTGACGCGAAGACCTGCCGCTTGCGCTTCTGAAACGCGTCGTGAGCCATGCCAATCCTAGTGCGAGTTTCCTTTGCCAAATCCCCTGTAAAGTGGATGATCCCCCCTAGATGTTTGTACGAATTGACTTAGCGAATCCTCGCCTCTGGCCAAAGGCGTGACGGGACGGCAAGGGTCGGATCTTTAGTTCTAAAGAGTTGAGACCTAACCGTCCTAGACCCCGGACCCGCGGGCACGAGAATGAGCTCCGTCTTACCTCGGGTAAGATTGGGCAAGAGGGCTCTAGACAGACAGGCATCAAGAAGTGACCCAGCCGCAGTGGCAGCCTGTTCAGTGATCTTCTCAGCAGATTGCCCAAGGAGCATCAGAGCAAGGTCGTCCATCCAGGTGGCATCAGCCAAGTTGAGCAGTTGGGCGGATGCACTGCAAGGGAAAATGGTGTCAAGCATCTCCGGGGAGAATGGGAGCTGTGTGAGGCACCCCTTCTCGGCAAGATCCGAAGAGTACTATTAGTTAGATACATACACATATGTATGTATGTACATACATACGTACATAGTATGTACATACATATATGCAGACATACATGCATACATGTATGCATGTATGTCTTCCCATCTTCTTATCCACGCACCATAACTATAAGCTTGGTCCAACTGGATGGCAAGCTCGCTTGTGCTGCTAGTCTGCATGTCCATGTCAAGCTGCTCCGGAAGTATCACTACCTGTCTGCACGCACAACCACCACGACGACTACTACACATACTAATGCTGCTACTGCTACTGCTACTGCTACTGCTGCTGCTACTGCTGCTGCTACTGCTACTGCTGCTCTTCCTCCTACTACTACTACTACTAATAATACTACTACTACTGCTACTGCTACTGCTACTACTGCTACTACTGCTACTACTACTACTACTACTAATACTACTACTACTGCTACTGCTACTGCTGCTGCTACTGCTACTGCTACTGCTACTACTGCTACTACTACTACTACTACTACTACTACTACTACTACTACTAATACTACTACCACTACCACTACCACTACCACTACTACCACTACCACTACCACTACCACTACCACTACTACTACTACTACTACTACTACTACTGCTGCTGCTACTACTACTACTACTACTACTACTACTACTACTACTTCTCCTTCAACTGCAACTGGAAGTGCTGCTGCTAGTCATGTTGCAACCATGATTTGGCAGGCACTTCGACCATAAGGCTGATCACAAGCTTCAGGGCCTGAAGGCTTTTGAAGCAATCTCACTGTGTGAATTCCGGGGTCTCAGCGCATGCGTGAGCCGAAGCGAGACATCCGGCTCCGCCTCGGATTTTTGCGAAATCTGACACCTTGAAACCCGCAGGCCGAAAGCTGGTGCTTGAATCTCTTCGTGGGTCATCCCACACAAGGCCCTCCATGACGGGACGGGGCTGGCCCATCTGACCTTTCTAAGGCAGGCGCCGAGGAGACGTGCGACAAGGCACCTGCACGTCTCTGACAGGTCGCGTGTTCAGCGTGTCGGGGCTCAGGACTGCATGGTTGCAGCGAGCGAGAGGACGTCTGCAAAATGAGGCCTTGGGCCTTGTCGAGCCCGCCACCGAGTGACCAGTGACCACGGAAGCAAGAGACGTGCCCTGCCTCCGGCAGCATCTGATGGTGACGTTGCAGCGGCCATCGCCAGTGGGCTCTGCTCTTAATTTATTGCAAAAGCCTTGTGGTCTGTGTATTCACAACTAAGTCACTATGTGCCTGATGTGCTGAACCTGGTCCCTGAACAGTGGGCACCCGTACCCGGTCTTATAAGACTTGAGGCAGACCTTGTAGCTTCAATGAGTCGACCCCCAAACCACAGCTGCCGGGTATAGCTTTCCATCGAGCATCGAAAATCGGGCCATGGGGTGCATTTTAGGCTTCCGGTGCACAGCACATGCTGAGGTATTTGGGCTTGCAGATTGGCTCACACGTGGCAGCCTGAAGCTTAATCAGGGATACAGCCGGGGGAAGGGCAACGGAAGACTGGACAGGAATGCGGCGCTGAGACTTGGGCTTCACATGCTCCAGAGATGCAAGCCTGCTCACTCGTGGCCTTCGTATGCCGGTGTCTCTCATCCTGAAAACCCCTGAGAAACGTCCGAGCAGCTTTTGTGGACACAAGGTCTCCATGGCTTATGCAGTTGCCTCTTGCTTGAAGATCGGCACGCGAATTCTCGCCGATCCTCTACCAAGACCAGACGTGACACAAGAAGCAGCAAAGCAGAAAGAGGCTTCGAGGCAGAGGGTCCAGATTTCTGCAAGGTTCGAAGCCACGACCAGCGGCGCTCTTTTGGGCTGGGGGGATTGGGAGAATCGGGCTTAAACCCTAAAACCTCATAGCAGGTTAAGCGAATCGGGAAGTTTGCGGGGCTCCTTCGGCTCCGTCCATTGGTCGATGGTGAACCTTTAGGCCAACAACGGCCTCACAAAACCTTGGCAGCGATACTTGCCGGCTGCTTCAGGCCAAGCCTTCAGAGACGAGCTCAATCAAATATGTCTCGGATTGAGAGTATATCCTCCAACATTTAGAGCGAAGAGGCTGTTGTGATTGTAGATGTTGGAAGATGTGCCTTGTCTGTTGACTGGGCACTACTGCTGCGCTTCGCCCAGTGACATGAACCAAGAGGACAACTGTGCCCTCGAGCATGTTCCCATCCCCACCGTTCTACACCGGAGTGCAATGTCCACTGGCAGTGGTTGCAAGTTGCAGCACGAGATTCTCAAAAAGCCCCTACAGTCGACCAATGAAAAAGAGTTTCCACACGTCGCCAGCAAGTAAAGCTCTGTGGCAGCTCCACGGGGAGCGAGAGATCTTCAAAGTTCACACCATGCACAATCACAGATTTAGGCCCTTCTGACGGGTTGCGTGGCAGCAAGCTCCGAAAATCTAGCTTGGAAGCTGATAATGCAGGACCGGTTGAGTGCTACACTGCTACATCACTGCCACGCCAGGGCAGACGATGACAGACAATCATCCGATTCGCCTGTCCCTCCCGCAAAGGCCGCTCAGCTGCATGTTGATGTTCGGGACTCCCGCTCAACCCCTTGGTGGAATTTCGACGCAAGGTCATTGTAAAGTACCTTGGATTCCCATGATCCTTCTGTCTGCGGGCCGGTCGGCCCTGGACCACGCACCAAGATAGGAGTACTCATACCCGGCTGGCCTTCAACTGCAATCAGCAGTGCGGCCACCAGGATTCGCAACCGACTCTTTCAATTGCCCTCCAGGCAACCAAAGAGCCATACACGAACTGCCTTCTCATTTTAAGAGTCTTAGTGCACGGCAAGGAAGCCAAACCTCTGACACATTTGTTGCGAACCCCGCAGCACTCTGTACTCCTTGGGTCAAAACTTTGCAATCTCTGGCTGCTAAGCATTCCTGGGAAAAGCTTGTCAGGCTCATCCTGTTCGGTCTACAGCCTTCCCTTTTCGGGGATCAAGCCAGAGGACGAATTTTTATATTGATTACACCGCACGCCCGGTTTTGCACTGCCTTCACAGGACAGATTGCAACGAGGCACCCGGAATGACGCACGGTCTCCCGGTCTGCTCGCAGAAGACGGCGTGGCGCCTACAAATCTAGCTACCGCAGATCCACCGGCCAACGCTGTCAGCCGGGGTTTGTTCCACCAGCCTAAGCGCAGCAGCTGTGCGGTGCACCTGCAGCAACTAGAGCCACACTCCCAAGCTCTCGGGCAGGACTTTACGTCTGTTCACTACGCTGCACACCATCTTTCGGTGATGCAAATTTGGGCGAGTCCGTCCAGCCAGCCACCATGAAAAGACAGGCTCAAGGCATGCCACACTTCGTGTCAGACCGATAGGCTGAGGCATGCTGGCTGTTCCAACTCAACAGAAGCACAAGGCTGTATGCATGGAACAGGAGGAAAGATTTGGCCTTCGTGCCTGCTTCCCAAAAGCAACCTTGTGCGCTCGCGACCCTCTGGAGATAAGATCTTATACATAACTCGACGGCAATGACTTCCTCTTGGCTTCGAATCTACATTCCGCAGACCCACTGAGAAGGGGCTTTTTCACGAGAGAGTCACATCAGTTGCGATCAGCTTGCTCAGCCAGTTTCATGGCTGCCATCAATTCTGTCACGCTGGGTGCCTGAACACTGCGAGCTTGCCGGATTCTAAAACACAAAAGTCACTCAGCCCTATAAACCTTGAGGCATTCAGGCCTTGAGGCCCTGAACCCTCCGTCTAGAGCTTTGCCTCGAGTCCCTTCGCCTCCATGCGCTGGCGAAGCTTCGCGGCAGCCTGGAATCTCTCGGAAACTTTGGGTTTTTTGGGGACCTTCGCGATTCAGGATGTTGCCAAGGGGGGTATGGCTTGAAGAGGATGAGGGGTTTCATCTTCAGCTGATCGCGGCTGACCTGGACAAGCAAGCAAGATAATATGTGCGCACACTTGCAAAATAGGATGTACGGTCTGCATATGTGGACTGGTGTGCCAGTTTTGCATGCATGCTAGAAAGATATGGATAGACGGATGAACACATAGACAGACAGATGGAAAGATGGAAAGACACATCGATAGACTGATCGATAGCTTGATAGGAACAACCATAGACAGCTTGATAAGGAGACACAAGGACCTTAAGACTGGTGGATAGCTAGATGTGGATATGTATGTATAACTGTATAACATGAAAAAACAGATCATAGATAGCTCATGCAGTTCATGCACGTCTTCGCGCGTGTGCGCCTGTGCACTTATGTATCTAAAGCGCTCAGAAAGAGAAGGTGACACATATGAGGGGAAGAGAGAATGATTCCATACATCGTCCAGATAGATTAGAAGGCCTTCCTCGACTACGAGGCAAACAGGTGATTGGAGAAGAGTAGCGCCTCATGGCGTCGTACATAGAAACCGTTGATGCCTCCGAAACCTAAGGCCATCCCAACTCCCTCGAAGAGCCAGGAGAGTCCCAGCATCCGCTGCCTGCTTCTGCTTTTTACGGCGACGGTTTTCACCGGGTGGACAGAGATGGCAAAATTGACATTTGTATCCAGACCTGGCAGACGGGCAAGTAGAGTCTCCACACAGAGTCCCTGCAACCCGCTTCGCACCTGCATTTGGTGCGATGTTCGAAATCACAAGGCTTGCAAAGACCAAGGCCTGCAAAGCGTCAAGAGGCGGTGGATCCGATTTTTACAAACACCCGCAAGCGTCAGAAAGCCCACGGGCTGCAGACATGTACCGCTCCTGTATATTCAACAAATGACAGCAAGCAGCTCAAGGGCTTCTAGGGCCTAGGGCATCCCAGATTCCAAAACTTTGGCTCCAAATGGGATGCCCCCACCATGTGCAGCAGAGCCAAGCGAGGGCCATGGTGGGGACTCAGTAGCCGTGTCCTGCGAAGTGCTGCTAAGGTTTCGCTTGGAGCTTGTGTTAGCTTTCGCGGTCTTCAGCGTCCGAGAGAACTCTTTGTGCCCTGGAAATTGCTTCTATCGCCGGGTGATGGCCATGCCAAGTCGAACGTAGAACTCACACCCCATGCTTTCCTTGGCCTACGCCAGCTTATGAGCCTTTGCCCCAGTTGGAAGAAAGAGGAGCCCCCTTTCCCTTTGGAGCCCGAAGCCTCCCTTAGCAGCGGATCCCGCTGCACCTCTGGAAGCATCTCGTCGAGCTGCAGTCGAAGCGGAGGCTGACAGAGCGGGAGCAGTGGCAGTGAGAGTCTCGAATTGGTTTTGCCTTCGGGTGGGAGCGCCACTACCTGTGGCAGCACGCCGTAGCACGTGGTGGACGAGGAATGGGAGGAGGAAGAGCACTAGCAGCAGCAGCAGCAGCAGCAGCAGCAGCAGCGGCAACAGCAGCTGCTGGCGCAATGTAACGCAGCATGATGCGAACGTGGTGTCATCCAGCGCAGGGAATGAAATACAGCAAATGTTGAAGAAGAATCTGTTGAAATTTCGGAGCGTGTTCAGAGTATGGGATTAAGGTTTGGGGTTCTTTCTTTGGGTTTAGGACGTGGGGGTTTACTCTTCGGGGTTTAGGATTTGAGCTTGATGAGAGCACGGAGTTGGTTTGGTTCAGGGTTCTTTAGGGTTCAGGGTTTGCTTCTTTGCTTTAGGGCTTTGGACCAAACTGTTGTCGGCATCGTCGAGTGGAACGGACGCTAGACAAGACAGTAGCCCTGCTTCGCACTAAGCAGACTCGCGGATGGCCAACCATACACACATGAGCAAAGAGAACCCGAAGGCATGCAAGTGCAGCAAACAGTGTCCCGGACGCGCCTTGAACACTAAAGCTGCTGAGGCCTGCAACACCTGCATTGTGTCAAGCATTCTGCACTGCGAGTATGAGGCTGACTACCCCCCTCTCAAGCTGGGCTGCGAGCCCAGCTCCCCATCCCTGTACCCGGGCCCCGTGCACCTGGCCCAGCTCGCCGGGCGGAGAGGCTGGCACTGTTGTGCTGCACTCGGAGGTCTGGTCGGAGGGCAGTGCTAAGCTGAGCGTGAGTGCTTACCTGAACAAGGCAACAAGAAACATCACGGGCCTCGGAGAAGGCGTCGAGCTCCTGTCGAAACAGTGATGATGACTTAGCTTTGAGGGCGCGGCAGCACCTCCCCCCAGGCCTTGGCCTTCATTCCAGGGGGTGCAGAGATCAAAGGTCCTGCGAAGAAAGAGATCCCTCCGCAGCGGAAAGCTTCAACCTCTCTGGAAACCTCGACCTCAGCTCCCACCCGCTCCCACCTGGGCCGAAGGTCTCAAGGCCCGGTGGAGGACGAAAGCACAGGGTGTGTGCCTGGCACCATGCTTCCGGCATTAGGTTTCTGTGTCTCACAACTTCGACACTCCACAGAGACGCGAAGCTAGGGAGGCTGACCTACGAGGAAGCCTGCCCACTGGCAGAAGCATCCGACTCATACCATGCCGTTCGCAGGATACGGGCCTTGGGCCCCTTGGAGCTGGGTACAGCAATAGCTGCAATGATGCAGGCGCCCACAGACTGAAACTCCCGAAACCATCAACTCAGAAAGAGACCCTTCGTGGCCTGTGCCTCCCTCAGCTGTACAATGCTGTGCAACGCCATTCACCTAGAAGCAGGACGAGAATGGGTGCGAGGTAAGGGTTGGAGTTGGAACATTAAAGCCACTTGTCACATGCAAGGGGCGCGCCTACTACGAGTAGCCCCTCGCGATGAGTCTCCGTTACGGAGCAACTTCTGTGGAGCTGATCCAAATTGCTTGACGCACAACACGAGTGCGCTGAACTGAGCTGGGCCTGTGGTCGCTTTCCCGGCAAGTTGGACACAGCTGCACGCGACTTTTTTAAGCCAAGGATGACTTGACTACCTATACGTCCGCCGGGCACGAAGTACATGCCACTCGGGTCCAGGAGCAATGCGACGCCGGCCAGGGCTCTTCACATGGCTGTAAGGCTGACTGCTCTAACAGCCGCTTGTGACTCCAGGCACGGAAGCTCTCACGTCAGGAGCCCAAGATCATGGAAAGCCAGGACTGTAATGCTGAAGCTTTGCCCTTGGCTGCCATGGCTGCATGAAGCACTGATGCACTCGGGAAAAAGGTATGCTTGAAAAATCTCCGCCTCGCCGTCCTGTTGCTGTAGTCATGCTCAGGCCAATGCAACCGAGGTGCACCATCAGCTGTCAGCTGCCACACGCGGAAACCCTGCGCCATCTCATACCACTCCCTCGTCGCCGTAGGAGAAGAAGGTAGGAATGCCCCACTTTAAAAATAGAGGCCTGGCATGGGCAGAATGTGGACCCCTAGCAGGCTGCGCAAAATTTCAGGCGTGGCACAGCGAACGCAGGACAAAGGCACAATGCCGGATCCTCTTGCCGAGCGTGCTGGGAGAGCGGCTCCCCAAAAAGCCGATGCCAGACTGCCTGGAAGCTTACACAGGACATCCCGGTGTCAGCAAGCATTGACTGCCCTGCATGTCACTGCGGCTAGGACCCAGGACTGCCATAATGCAGGTCGCAATCGTGACAACAACAGCAACACTTCTCAGCACAGCAACAGTTCTCTTCATTCTTCCGCAGCAACCCCAGACCGGAGTTGAAGTGGCTCAAGGCCTCCACCAAGCCGGTCGTGTCCGAACACCACACGCCGTCCGCGGCGAAGGCCTCGATCTCCTCGCGCAGCCACCATCTCAGTCGGTCCTGTCGGAGGGGAGGGCTGCGGCTTTGGCTTTGGGACTTCAGGCTGCCAGCACTCAGCTTCACAGATGCTGTCAAACGCCGAAGCTGCGGCTGTCCTTCCGGACCACGGACTGAGAGCCAGTGTAGAACTGAAAGAGAACATTCGCATCTGGCTTGGTGGTCTTACGAAGGACGGCCTCCTGTAGCTTGGGGCTTGGAGCGACCTTGACGAAGGTGAGCTCCCCCGTGGGGCTCTCGAAAAGCTTGGAGCTCGAAGAGCCGGCTCTGACTGTGCATGACTGGGCGTTCTGAGCTTCTTGGTAGTCCTTCTTCGTCATCTCTGGAGTCACTTGGATGCTCTTCTCACACGTGAAGCCGGTGCAGAGATCACCCAGCTCATCACATCGCCTCCGTGCTTCTGCTTCGCCTCTCGTCGCCGAGTCCTCTGCAGCGAAACCCAGCAAAAAGCTGCTTTTCGCTGCCTGATATGTTGACTTTGCTACGGCTTCCTTCTGCCCGTCAGAATCAGAAGGCTTGCCTCTGCATGTCTTCACGTAGCTTAACTCACCGGCTTCAGGGGAGGCCGAGAGTCCACCCGGACCTTCCCGAACGGTGCAGGATGCTTGGGCAAACTTCTCCTGACCCTCCAATTCGGAAGCATCCACGGAGGTGCCGCAGGTGACTCCACGGCAGGCGTTCCCAAGGCGAACACAAACCAGCTTGGCATCCGGCAAACTGTGCCTCCGGGAGATCCCGTCGGCGTGTTTGGGCAGAAACTTTCCAACGTGCTTCTCCCACATGCACCGCGGCTCCTCGAAGCCCAGGTCCTCCCAGTCGTACCCGAAGACCCGACGCCAAAACCTGCGCCACGTCGATGCAAAGGTGTCTGCGTTTCGATGACCCCACGTCCTCCTGGGGTCAACCACCATCTGCTGTGCAAGGGGATAATATCCGAGTGTGTCGCTTGCGAACTGCGACTGCGTGTTGATCAGCTTCAGTGCGCGCGTCAGGGCTAGAAACCTCTGGCCCTGGTGCTCATCAGCATCGGGATGTACGAAGATGGTGAAATCAGGCAGGTTGTCCCAGTGGTCCAATATGTACTTGAAGTAGGCCGTCTGCTCCTCCCGCCGCGGTCCACCACGGTATGTCACCACATGGAGTTCCTTCACGGACCCGCGCAATTGTTCCAAGACCTCTTCTGCCAGAGGCTGACACCAGGGCCAGTCCACCTGGTAGATGAAAAGCTCGGCATTTCTCAGCAAGCCCGACTCTGCGACGCCCTCGATCGGCTCACCGAATGGAGGCTCGACCAACCAGGTCAGAAGCTGGCTGGTGCCCCATCGGTCCACCACCTGGCAGTAGTTCATAACGACAGCAACCGTCAAGCGTCGTGGAATGGCAAGGGCTCGGCTTATGTTCAGGACCCGCTCTACTCCGTAGTCGAGGGGCCAAATTTTCATGTTCTGAGGCGTGATCGTCTGGTCCCGAATAGCCTGGTGCAGAATCGAGGTATACCGCGACATTAAAGCCTCGAACGCGCCAGGTTGGACGACGATGTTGTCTTCGAGCTTCAGGAGCAGCGCTTGTAGCGCCACGGCCGGACAGACTTGAGAGATACTGTCCAAGTCCGCCAAAACATAGGCGATCCGATCTGCATCTGCCAGCTCAAACAAACCCGTGCGGTAGTAGACACGAGCACGCATCAGCATGGTGACCGCATCTACTCCTTGTAGAGACTTGCAAGCTGTGTCGTGATGCAGACTCACATCCTCGTGCTGCAACTGCTCGCCGAAGCTGTCTGCCGCTTGACATGCAGAAACGCAGAATCCAAGCAAGGCTCGGATTCTGCTCCACATGGCACGTGCAGAGGCTCAGCCGACGCAGCACAAAACTCATCGCAGGGCAGAACATAGGCCGATGTGCCGCCTCGTATAGAAACAACCACTCAGTACTTGCACAAAGCGAATACACGAAGAAGCTTATGCGTGTGTGTGTGTGTGTGTGTGTATACATATATATATATATATATATATATATAAATATGTGTGTGTGTGTGTGCCTGCCGGGTCACGAGCTTGTACAGCCATCGGAGGGCCATTTAACTGCGAGCATGTCCGGCTGTCACCATCACCAAACTGCTGAACCAAAGCATGCGGGCAGTAAACGTCGACTCAAGCAACATTGGGAACGGACCTGCACAGAGTCTTCACTGCTGCCTCTAGCACAGACAAGTTCCAGCAAGACACAGACACACACACACACACACACACAGACAGCTACAATGCGACCTGCTCCGGGACCCAATGGCTTATGGTTGCAGAGTGGCTTACCTGCACACCCAACATCTGTACGCTGAAGCCGTGACCACATCTTGAGCTCCAGGGGAATTACGCCATTTTTCTACCTGAAGCTTGTCATGGCCTCTTTCAGGTGCTCTAGCCTGAAATCGATCCATCAATCCCGAAAGGAATTTCACATAACACGTACCACAACTCTGAAGCTTTGAGACGGCATCGCCACACATTTTCCCGACCATCTCGCACTTGCATCTGGGAGAAGCTGCGACCTGACAGGTGGGTCGATGATCTTTCCCACCCTTCACTTTCTCCAGAATCCTTCGATAGCAAACCAGAATGCTGTGCTTGTGATTGGAGCTGTCTGTCCACTCGCGGCATCGATCTCAGAAAAGACCAATACCAAGCAACGCACCAAGTTTGCAGGGCCATTGGATAAATGCCGTTCAACCGGGAGCCGTGTGTTCGAGTGGATGGTGTGAGGAGAATCTCTTACACCATGAATAGCCCTGCCAAGATTGAAAGGCTTCGAAACCGCAACACACGGAAAAACCATGCCTGCAGTCCGATAGAACAACACGCAACGACAAGCACGCAGTTTCAACAGGAAACCTGAATGCCTGCGACAAGAACTCCAAAAATGAGAACGCGGGATGCCTTCGAGCAGTACAGCAGAAGAGGTCCAATCCTGGGTGGGGCACGTGAGCGGCTCACTTGAATTTACGGTTCGGGATTGCGGTTTCAGGAAACCCAGGCAAGCAAGCGAGCAAGCACCCGTTGCAGCTGCATCCGATGACACTAGCCGACTAGCCAGTAGCAAACTAGGTCTACGTCTTCAGCTCAGCAGCTGTGCACAGGGCTCTCGCGCTATGGCCATCACCTGTCCGCTTGAGCAAACGGAGAGCACGTAAATCACGTCTGCGGAACTGGTTGAGAGTTGTGTCAGGCAGACAGAACGAACTATGGGCTTTCGGACCTGCACTTTGTCCCATTCGTCGCTCTTGAGCTGAGCCAACAATAACAACGATCGGAGTTCTTGCTTGTGGAATGACGCTTGCAGAACATGTACGTTCAGCCTGGCACAATCAGACGTCTTGCTGCGCTGCATTGGAGCGCACTGACAAGCGAGCAGCTGGTGGCCTCCAGGGCATCCGGAGCGAGAGGGCCTGAGAAGCAAAAGCGGGCAATGCGATCAGTCAGCACAAACATTCATCGAGACTCGAGCTGTGCATACAAAGCATCCCTCAAAGCCGATCCAGCATTAGTTTTATCTTTTGGGGCCACGAGCAGCATTAAGGTGGTTGACTTTCACCAGCCCAGAGCCGACAGGATCTGCGCCTGCGCTCGGCCGATTCTGGCGCAGCCAGCTGTAACCGAGACAGACAGAAGGCGAGAAGCATACACATGTTCAACGTCTACCGAGAGGACAACGTCGCCTTATGTCTGTCGCCACAGGGCTTGGCACCAAAAGCTTGGAAAGGCCCAGATGGGGCTCGGTAGCCGATTGCAGAAGCTGGCCGAAGATGCTTGTCTCGGGCTCTGGGGAGTAGACAAAAGCAGAGCAGCTACCGTAGAGGGACACAAGGTTGCCAGCAGAGTTTCGATCAGTGAGTTTGATTCAGTTTGGCCAGGTCTCTGGCGTTTGAGACTCCGCGAGAGAGAAATACTGTATCCGCACGTGTGAGACAAGCGCAGTGCAAAAGCCTGCTACAGGGATGGAGTTTACTGAAGCGTCTTTTGCGCTCCAGAATTCCTTGCTGCAGGTCAGCTCCTGGATCATGGCGTGGCAGCGCGGGTCTTACACCGAAGTGCTTTCAGATCTGGCTGCGAGTCTCACCTTCCAGCCCTAAACCCTAATCCTATACATGCGAAGCACACAGCCTCAGGCAAAATCGCAACAAGAGCTGCAGCGTCTGTGCAGCGTCACTGCAAAGAAATACACGTAATGCCAGTCGAGAGATCTACGAATCCAGCCTCAGCGGCAAGACTTGCACAGTCTCTGACAAGTCAAAGACAGGCAGCTTGGAATCATCAAACGTCAGCTTCCACACCTCCGCTGTGCTCTGATTCTCCATGAAATGCTGGAGCACCTTGGCCAGCATGAACCGCGCACGCTGCCCGTAGTAGATCAGGCTTTGTCGGTGTTCCTGCTGAGCTTGCTTCGCAGGAACTCGCCACGCACCAAGAAGCTTCGTTTGCCCCTCATCCAGTCTGCAGCAAAGGAACGCTTCCGACCCATTCACAAGCGTCTCTAAGACTCCCTCTTTGGAAACGGCCTTCCCGTGATCTCCAGCAACTCCCCAGATTCGTCCACTGCGTCCACCTCTGAAGTAACGAAGAAGCTCGCGCCGTCTATCCGCAGCGTCGTAGCAGCAAACTGGCAGACTGCCGCTTCGCCACAAAGTAAGCGCTCTACTGCATTCCCTGCATCGTCTTGATCGTGGAAATGCTTGGGAACGTGCAACACGCAAACTGTGTTCTTAAATTTCTGCAAGTAGAACGAATCTTTGACTCTGCGTGAATCACCAGCAAAGGCTTGAATAAATGACGTGCCACACACAATGTCGCACTCCGGCACACCAAACTTCCGCATGATGGCAATGCCCAGACGGCCACTTGCAGGTTCGCCAGGATACCTGTGAGCACCTATCAGCATGTCCTTGCCCTTTTGCTTGGGGTTTCTCCGCGGAAGATCAGCCAGGAGCACTGCTGGGACCCTTGCGACTGGAGGCGCCTGCAGGCGGCAACGCGCCATCATGTCCACCAAGTCTGGGGCGCACTCTGGAGCTGGCGTGCGTCGCGCCATGTCAGGCTCCACCAATCCCGGAGGCAAGGCCAGTGTGTCATTCCACTCCACGTATTTTCTACGGCCCTCGACCTTCAGCCATGCCGGATCTGCGTTCAGGCGCAGCGAGTGTTCATGTATCTCCCGCACCTTTGACAGTTTCTGAAGCTCCACAGCTGCCTCAGCGAGAAGATCTTCAGTCTTGAATCCGTGCGCTGAATGAAGATCCCTATACACTTGTACCTTCAACAAGCCCTGCACTTCCTGCAGATCCAAAGTCTTGCCCTTGTAAAAGTCGGAGCATGCATCGAGCACGGCTGTCTGATGCTTGGAGCTCGTAAGGTGTAGCAGGGCCTGGCGTTTGGAGTTCATCATGGACTTGCAAAAGCGGGCACTGTGGCGGGTACGAGGAATGATATCTGCGATGTGCGGGCTTCTTTGACTTACTGGTACCTCTTTTCGGAGCTCGACCTTGCTTCTGAATCATCTTCTGAATTTCGTCGGCGCATGCCTGGCACTTGCTCATGGGGCCTTTGACTCGCACCGGCCGCGAAGGGTCCGCGTCCTCTTTTGGGACAATGACTCTGACGAGGAACTCGTCCTCCAGCTGCTTGAAAGTCCCGCCACCTTTCCCGATAACCAGACCTCTGTAGACTGCGGGGACTGGAACCTCGAGGTCACTGTACATTCGCAGGGCAGCATAGCTTGGGGATATATTGCACTGCAATTCATAAAGGGAACTCTGAGAAATACTACTGTGATCTACTTAGCCGACACCCTATACAGCTTGTTCCCTATACCCTAATCGCTCAACAACCATGGCTCAATCCTGTGTATCTAGCAGAACCCAGCATGTCCAGCTTGCAGCAAGGGCCGGAAAATGGCTTCGAAGGACCAGCGCAGCAGGCTCAAGATTTAGAACAGCAAAGAATGCCGACCAAGCAACGCAGAAATGAACTGCGGCACCCTAGCATCTGGCCTCTTCACAAGCAATGGCGCACAGCGTTCACCAGGACAAAGCTGTGCTCAGTGCTGGCAGTTTCTGCATTGTTCCGTGTTTCAATTCCTACACGTCTGCTAAACTGGTCAACCTGTCCGACGATTGTGGCAGAAGCAACACTCGTTTCACGAGACACCATGTGCGACAATACCATTCAAATTCACATCTGCAAGCTGAAGGTCAAACACTACAGCGCAGCACAAGCGCTGAGATCAGACTTGTCTGTTTGTGATCTTGCCCTACTCACGGCATAGACTCATAGACCTTGTTGAGAAGAAATTCCTACTACACCGATGCAATGGTTCAGCCGCACATCTGGACTGACTGTACTTCCACAGCAAACCTGCCCGGGCCGATCCAAGCAATATTCTGGACACTCGTCTCTCTGTCTCTCTGTCTCTGTGTCTCTCTGTCTCTCTGTCTGTCTCTCTGTCTCTCTGTCTCTCTGTCTCTCTGTCTCTCTGTCTCTTTGTCTCTGTCTCTCTGTCTCTCTGTCTCTCTGTCTCTCTCTAGCCCAGTGGTTGACACACTGCGCAAATACTTGCCGACGGAGCAGCCGTTGGCCCCTCCATAACAGAGGGGACTGCACACTCCATGTTGCTGGACGAACAACGAGAACGTGCCGACGAAAAAAACGCAGGCTGACCCAACGCAAGAAGCCTGGGCATTGGAGACGCTAGAGGATGCATCACACGGTCTCTTCTGAGCCGACAAACCTTCCGTGACCCTGCATGACAAGCCACTACTGTAACAAAGTGGCCAAACGCGCCACCAGGCCGCTTGCTGGTGGCGACTGTCTTCACAGAGCCGTGCACCGGGAACACAGATGGCTTCTCACCGACACGCAAGGAGGACCTTGGCGGAAGTCTGACAGCCACAACCCGTGCAACCGCCAAGGAAAGATGCAGTCGATTCGCCAGCTCCATGGCGCCTTTCACCGTGAAAGACGCTGAGGCACCAGCCTCAGGCCATACCTGGATCAGAAGACGAAGTGGCCTGGTTGAAGCGCGCATACTGGCTGCACGGACCCCAACGCCTGCTCTGCCAGCCCATAAGAATTCCCAGGACGATGCCGCACATGCCTGGCAATTGGCCCAGAGCTTCTTTGAACCTCCGAGCCCGTGCAAGCGGAGCTTAGTGTCCGGATGGTGAGCTGCCAACCCAGTTTCGGCTTGAACAGTTAGAGCAAGTTTTGCACCGTTGCCGCGAGCCCCCTAAGAGACACTGCCTGAAGCAGGCATGCCACAGAGCAGTGTGCTCAACAGAGCCCCCGCTCCACCACTTGAGGCTCCGAGGGCAAGAAGCGCGCTTCCGAATGAAGCAACTACGAGCCTGACAAGTGGCTAGCTGAGGCTGTTCGAGGCATGCAAGTTTTGTTGGAAGCATCGATACTGCCACACTTGCATGCGTTGGCAGCAGTGCAGACGGATATGAGAAGAGAGAAAAACCGTGAGCCTGATGGGTCTATGTTGCTTGGAAGAGCCAAAGCTGTAGGTTAAACAAGAAAAACCGACTCACGTCCTGTTCTCAATTTTCCGAGCACACGAAGAGAGAGAGACAGAGAGAGACAGAGAGAGAGATGACAATGGCAATGTGCTGTCTTACGTGGTGCCCAAGAGGAAAGAAACATCAGTCCTCCGAAAATAGTTTGCGCTGCAGTTCTCCTGCATCTTGCACGCTTCCATCTGCGGAACACATGAGGCTCTTGGTCAGTTCAAGCTTAGAGGTGTCACCTTCTTGAAAAAGCAGCGGCACGAGTCCACCCAAGGCGCTCTCCACAGGGGCTCATTGACCGGTATTCGTCCTTGGAGTGCGTTCGCATCGCATCAGGTCTGGAAGCCGCTCACCACAGAGAGCATTGGACTTTTGGATTTTGGTGTGCACGATCGTGACGGAACAAAACACATCTGGCGAGACTAGAACTGCCGGAGCTTGGTCTTGGCTCCACCTGTTGTTTTGGGCGGCAGGTCACACATGCCTTGCGCTGAGCCAGCGACCGTGTGCCGGGGCCAAGCTGGTGCTTTGGAGTCGACAGTCATTGCCGTGCCGGGAGCATTTTATCTCTATGCCATCGCCTCTGACACGGTCAACACCAAGCTGCTTGGGAGGTTACAGCGTTATGTGTCGTCGCACATACGCCATTCCTGCCCTGAAGCGGCCTTGCTACCGCCGGTGGCTACTACGGGCCTTCCACGTGCCCTATATGATCCGGCGGGAGCAGTACGCCCGGACCCGGACACCGGAGTGCTTGCCAAAGAGGATCCGACGCTAACCGCCGAGCTGCGCAGTCAAAGCTGTGCTTGCTGCCCGCCTGTGAAGTCAACTCAGCCTCCAGAACTTTGGAGTGAAAGTCGTGGATTTTGCCGATCGAGCCCTCATGTTGCGGCGCTGACTGAGAGTGAAGCCTTTTGCGTCTGCTTGACACCACTGCTTGCTGTGTCTGTGGCACTGGCACAGTTCTGTGAACCAGTTCTACGACAGATTTTCGACCTTGCCTGGTACGAACTTGCCCGTTCTGAGATTTGGTGGTGGCTGCTCCTTGATGAACTTGCGCGACTTAAGGGCTCGCTTTCCCGGGCTCTTGAAGGGCGCAAGTTCCCCGTCGGAGATGGCAGCCTGATGCAGATGTTCTTGGCTCCCAAGCGTGACTCCACTGCCAAACCAGATCCACTGCCAGCAAAAGCCGACGGAGCGCTGGTTCTAGCCAACGGCGCAACATCAGAGGAGGCAGCACGAGTGCTGAGGTGACACAGAGCACACCATTACAACATTGCGGCGTGCTGTGTAGCTGTTGTTCTTTCTCACCCGAGCGCAAGCCGACGACTCTTTAGCCGTCCCACTCCTGCAGCTCACCAACGTTACTCCAGTCCGAGACGGCCAACATGTTGAAGTGCGGGTTACATGCAAGGTTCCAGCTGACTTGGCAGGCCGTCCTCAGATTGCCATTGCAGACACTCCTTCTAGCCAGACGCAGTGAGTTTGAACCGCGCATGTTCACGTATCCTAGCTTCTATCGCGGCACTTTTCGACTGCTCTTCCCGCTTGCGGATATTCCGCTGGGGTTACAAGCTCAGCCGTCGCTTGCGATTCAAGCTGCCGGGTTACTGCACAGCGCCCTGTGGCGTCTCTCCGCGCGGTTATCGCCTACTGGATTCGTGGGCCGCAAGAAAAAGAAATTTTACTTTCCGACCCGCCTGTGGCGCTTTGCGCACTTCGACGCAGTGGAGGCCAAAGCGATGGCTCTCCTTCAAAGGTTGGGCCCAGAAGGAGGGCCGAGCACTGCTACCACCGGACGGCACACGCTCCCTGGATCAGGCTGGAGCACTCTCAGGCACAGGATAGCTGGAAGGCTGCGGAGCGTGAATTCCTCAGAGAAGAAGGAGTCTCGGACCCGGCTTCCAACTTTCCTACATATCCACGGAACTGATGCCAAACCTTCATAGTGAGAACCACGACAACTAATACTCCTACTCACGCTTGAAGGAAATGTACAACGAAGAGACTGTCAAATGCTCTGTCTCCTGAAGAACATTGCGTCTCACAAGACGGACAGGTTGTATCCTTTCGCTCTGCATCCACTGTTCGATTATGCTGGCTCGGCGGCTCATTCTTCTGGTCCGGAGAGCCTCAATCTGATGACACGCCGACCGACGACATACGTCGTTGAGGTTCGATCGCTAACTTTTGCACACCAGGAGTTCTCCATATCACAAACGCCGTCCTGGAGCTTGTAAGCGTATCGAAAAGACACATGACGCCACCCGTGGCGGAGCCCTTCGTGGCCCGCACCGCCCATTTGCGTCTACTGTACACCGGTCAATAAGCTTTTTTTTGGCTTGACTGGGCCTCGTGGACTGCTGTAGTACTCGGTCTCCACAAACAAGCAGACGAAACATCAAATCTACAAAAAACCGGTGAAACTGAAAAAAAAAAGCTCTACGGATCCTCAGCAACCGGTCCGGAGCAACAAAGAGCCGGCTGCCCGTTGTTTGACGAGACTAGAACGGCGGCTAGAGCTTGGTCTTGGCTCCACCTGTTGCTTTGGGCAGCTCAGAGGGACGGCTTTTGTTGCTTCTGATAGGTCGCTGAGGCTCCGTAGATGGGTTGAACGGCTAACACCGGCAAAGCATGCGCCGCAGCCCTTGTAGAGCTTCGCCTTTAGTCTTGCCGCTTTGCAGTTTTTGTTGCTTGTTTGTAGTCTGTTTGTTTGTGGGGACCGAGTGTCGACAAGACCCATTCACGCCAGAAAAAAAAACTGTTGTTTTGGGCCGCACAGTGTGAAAAACAGAGCGCGCAGCGCTCGGTCTTTTTCTTGAGCCAAAGCGGAGTCGCGTCGGGCTCTGACTGACAGTGAAACACCTTGCAGCTGTCTGTCTCCAAGCAAAACACTTCAAGCACTAACGAAACGAGACGAAACGAACGTGCAGTCACTTCCTAACTCAAAAGCACTCCTCACAGCTTCAGGCATGCCGAAAACATCAGGACATCCAAGGTCAAATGGGATTTTCTCTCCGAGCGTCGCAAAATACACGCGGCTCCAAGGCCTAACAGTACAAGAAGGCAACTAGCAGAGCTACGGATCTGACAGCCTAGCTACGGAAGCAAAACTCTACTGCCCACAGGCCATAGAGTCTTGCTGTTGCACGCGTGAGCTAGCTGGACCACGAAGCAAGCGGGTGGGGGCCGACAAATTCAACGGGCATGCACGGCAAGCCACCTCGTAATTTCAATCCTTACAAGGACGTCTGCACCAGTGTGACACGTGACTGGTGTACCTGAGGTCAAGGAGCCCTGCATACGAGCAGAGCTGTGCAGCTTGAGGCTCTGGTGTTGCCAGAATGGCAACTTCAGTAAGAGAGTTCGCCGAAAACCAGCAGCAGCAGCCTTTGTACACTTTCTACACCTAACAAACTACCGCCGACTGTACACAGCGCCAACAAGTGATCGCATGAACACGCCAAGTGCCCACGCCATCACTTGTGAGTTTCCAGCGTAGTTTTTGACAAGTTTCGAACCAGAAAACCAGAACCATGCCCAGCACAGGTAGCAGCTGAAGGCATTGAGGGTGGTCTTAGGAAGAAGTGCACATATTCATCAAACCACCGGGTGATACCCGACTGCTGCTCACCATGGGAGCGCATGCAAGGAAAGTGCCAGCACAGGCAGCAGCTGCAGTGGCCAAGGCCACATACACGTGACCACGTAACAAGATTTACACTTACACCAAATTTTATTGCAAACCAAGCGCCTAGCAGGCTCAAGTGGGTGTTCTCACGCCTTGAGTCGAACCTTTGAGCCTTGAGGGTTAGGGTCGGGTTTTAAGGGAAATCAAAGTCGTTGGAAAATCAACTGCATCTGACGCTCGAATGCATTCACCAAGGTTCCACACCAAAGCTCAAGCAGTAAACGATCGAACATGCAGTTGCTCAGAATCACTCTTGAGGCATCGCGCAATCGAAGGCATACTCGAAGACCATTGTTTTCAATCGGTGCGTCGAACTGGATCTTGCCGTCTGAAGCCTGGACCACATGTTCACATGACGGTCGCAGTTGCCTCGAGACCCCCGGTGTGGGAGGGCGGGTCACAAAAGAACTTGAGTCGTAACTTTGCCGTGCAAGGATCTCGTTCACACTGTACAGTGATCAAGCACTCAATCTAAAATCAAGCCGAGGTAAAATCAAGCTCAAGTGAAATCGTCAATCACATGTCCGCAAGGATTCAAGCGTTCAGAGTCGAACTGTTTTTCCCCCCCCCACCCCCCCTCAAGGCTCTCGAACACACTTTTGGTAGGACCCAAGCAGCGTGTTCTCACGCCTTGAGTCGAACCTTTGAGCCTTGAGGGTTAGGGTCGGGTTTTTAAGGGAAATCAAAGTCGTTGGAAAATCAACTGCATCTGACGCTCGAATGCATTCACCAAGGTTCCACACCAAAGCTCAAGCAGTAAACGATCGAACATGCAGTTGCTCAGAATCACTCTTGAGGCATCGCGCAATCGAAGGCATACTCGAAGACCATTGTTTTCAATCGGTGCGTCGAACTGGATCTTGCCGTCTGAAGCCTGGACCACATGTTCACATGACGGTCGCAGTTGCCTCGAGACCCCCCCCGAAGGAAGGCAGCCAGTCCGACATGTGAAGGATCACCAAGGTGTTTTGCTCGTCTCCTTCTCCCGGCGAGACATTGCCGACTCCCTCGAAACCAATCGCTGCAAGCTGACACGCGAATCCAAGAAAGCACTCCTGGAGTGGACCATGCGAAGGAAAATATCAAGCGGCAGATCGTCCAGCTTCAAAGGAACTCTCAGCTCCGGGCAGAAACTCGAGAAGTCGTGGTTGGTGATGGCATCCGACAAAGTGTTCTCATCTCTAGGCCTCCACTGCAGCGTGAGCTGCTTGTTCACTTTATGCAAAGCCGCTGCACAAGCCATCTGGATGCCCATCAACGGCCACTTAGTGCTCGAGCCCTTCTTCTGCAGCTTGCCAGTCGAAGAATTGTCAGTTCCGCCGCAAACCACAGTCCTGATGTTGTCGTGCACACCCGACGTCTCCTTTTCCAGGTGATCGAAAACTTTCAACGCAGCAAGCGAGGCCAGCAACTCCGCACTCGTCGATGCCCATTGGCTATCGCCGTCATCTTTGAAGAGGCAAGGCAGATCCTGTTGCGACACATCGAGGCAGAACCAGCGTGCAACTGACGGGTCCGTCCCATTCTCAAGCGAGTAGCCGCCGAGCACCACCAAGCCGTTTGTGCATTTGGCATCCGTCCTGAAACTCTCGCGCGGCGCCCGCCAATCCTGGAGCACACTGTGGAGTCCCCTGGACTCCGCAAGCTGTTCCCTGATATAAACAAGCGACACGAAGACCATCTCCGGAATCCTCGCCACAGTCCCCTTCTGCAAGACGGCATCAAAAGCATACAGCGGTGCAAGAAAAGGTTTGATCCAAGTCAACACCCTGGAAACAAAGTTGAGCCGTCCAAGGAATTCGGCAAAGCGCCGACCCGTGACGAACCAGTTGTTCGCCTCGGCATTGTCGATCCAATCAAGAACCCAGCGCGTCCTCTTGAGCGAAATCCCGGCGGCACTCTCTCGGTAAGAAAGCCAGTAGCCCACGAACTCGCATTCAACACCACCGTGAAACTTCCGGTAAGAAAACGGCGTGCCCAGCACCTCGTAAGCAGCCAAGATCATCCAGAGCACCACGTATTTGTCGGGACCAGTCACCACGATATGAAGGTCATCAACGTACACAATCTGCACATTCCAGAGCCGTCCCATCACTCTCAAGACCCAGCGTCCGATGCATCCGAACAATCTGGCCCAAAGGATCGCAGCTGAACTTACCCCGAAAGTTCCTACGCAATTAAGCCAAATCACTTTAGATGCAGACGAAGTCCGGCAGCCCAACAAAGGCCAGTCGCATCGTCGTATTTTGGACCTCCTGTGTGCCTTGGCAATGTCCGCCGCAATGGAGAAGGGGACGCCGAAATCCTGCCGCGCCCTGGACACGGTCTCGATGATTTCCGCAGGTCCAGGCACTTCGAGTTTGTCTGCAATCCTTATACCATTGTTCAAGCGGACGCCGTGGGTGGCGTCGTGAAGAGGGCGGACATCACCACTTGGTTTAAGAATGGCCCCCATGGCGGCCACCAGAAGTCGCCCCTCGCCGTACTCCGCCTTCACGGCCCCTTCAGTCGTCGCCACCATCAAGCCTTCCCGCTCCTCAGCCCTGAAGTGCTCTTCGATCTTATCTGAAGACAGCTCGGCAGAAGAGTAGTTCTGCATCTGCGGTTCAAACTCACTCTCATCCAGCTTGCGGAAGCGGTCCCTCGGCCGGAACACCTGCGGCGCCGTTGGCAGTGGCGAGTCGAAGCCCACCGGCATCCCCTCGGCATAACACTCTTCCCCCTGCACAAGAATCTCCCAGTCGGGGTCACCAAGTAGCCTCAGCGACTCGGCCAGCAAGTACAAGTGGAACGGCTGCCGCTCGGGAACACGCAACAGGTCTGAAGGCGCCCCTGGGATCAACCCGACGATCCTCTGCCTCAACTTCTGCAAGGCAGACTCCGCGAAAGGAGAATTCTTCACATGGCCCGTCGCGAGACGGAACGCCATGTCCTTGGGGTCTTTCAGCTGATCAATCACAAAGTCTCGTAGCAATCCGCGAATTCCCTCTGCATGTGCCACCTCATCACTCGACGCCAACTTCTCTCTCGCCTCGGGAGCCCAACGGCCAGGCGAACACAACCCGAAGCCGTCCACAAACTCTTGCTTGCCCATTTCAAACTTGCAGATCATGGGCTGCCCGAAAGCGCGACTAGTCTTGGGGTCAAAAGCTTCCCTGGCCGACTCCTCATGATCGATCACCACGACCTCCTGAGCATCTCCAGTGCCTGAGTTGTCTATCGCCGGCACTGCTGCAGCCAAGGTGAAGTTGTCTGAGGAAACGAAGGATTCCGCTGGTGCCTCCCCCCCCGCAGGAGAGGAATCCAAGACAGGAAAGCCCAATGAAGCCAGAAAAGCCGAATCATCAACAGAGAGCAGGTGCATGTACTGAGGGGTGTATGCAATGGCGATGAGACGATCCCCAACCCAAGGTTGGGTAGCATGCAAACATCCACGGGCATCCAGGTAGACGGGTCCATCTTGTAAGGAGTGTACAGTGCCTGTGACGGGCGAGCCGTGAAAGGATCGCACCTGGGTACCTGAGTCATCCTGTATCCAAATGCCACCATCAGTAAAGGAGGAAATTGCCACAATCATGTTGGGCACAGCTGCATTTCGCGGATCACGATGAACCTCACTAGTCACGTTCTTTGTGAGAACAAAAGCAGCGTAACGGTGGTGCGGGTCCACGGAGTGAAGAAAAGCATTGATCACACGCATGGACTCGGGGAATGTAAAACAAGTGGACCGCGGTGCGGTGAGACCCTCCTGGTGCACAGTGCCTCCAAAGAAAGCGGTGCCAGGTTCTGCACTGCCCGTGATCTTATGAGGCCGAGTCTTAGGAAGCAAGTCGAAAAGAATCTGAACTGAAGCACGATCGAAAGAACCGCGTGCGATGCACTCCGTGGCAAAGGCCTCGGCGGATGAAGGGATGTTGGCTGGGATCAGGTCGGAGTCAGCCACGGCCCTCAGCTCAGGCATCACACTCAAAGAGAGACGGGCGAAGAAAGCAGCGAACTCCGAAGGGTAAGCCGCCGTGGCGGCCGATTTCCAAGTGCCATCCTGAAAACCGCAGGCTCGATCTGCATGTGAATGCGGACAGCGCAAGAGCGGCCCCACGTAGTCCCCGTCATCATTGAAACATGGCATCTGTATCCCAAAGTTCAATGCTCCGGGCAGATTGGATAACAAGCGAGTGGGTTTGCAAGACATAGCCCCGAAAAGGCATTGATGCAATGCCCAGCAACTGACATCGCCTCCAGCGCAAATCTGACGAACCTCATCAAAAGACCAAATGGAAGCAGGCCTCTCACCAGACGGCACACGGCCCAGATCCTCAGGGTGCTCCAGAATGAAGTACAAGCCCTGCTGCCTCTGTAAACGGATGGCCTCAAAAGATTGTTGCACGAAGAAATTCGCCAGCTCAACTTTTGTGCGATCTGAATCACGCAACCAAGGAAAACCCAGCAGATGGCCATGTGAACGAAGTGGGCGTGGGCCAAATGCCCCCGCAAAACGATGTCTAGCCCGCGAAAAAGTGGAACAAGGCGGGCTCAAAATAAGGATATCATAGGCTCCAGATGAAATGTCCTTGAAAAGACGCTCCCAAAGCCTGTGCGACGATAGGTCCTGTTCAGGACCCCGCAGCAAATCAAACTCATGCAAAATTAAATCCAGTCCCCGCGACGTGCAGAGCTGCTGTAAGTGTGATCGGATATCTCCATCCCGTGCCTGCCCAGCGAAAAGATACAGCACGGTGAGTTTGGAACGTCAGTTGGTGGCTTGCGCCCCGGTCGGTGCTGCCGCCTTTGCTGCCAAGCTCTGGAAATGCTGCCACATCGGATGGGACTGCATGCACCCTCGGACGCGACATACATGAACTCGACCGCAGCTGCCATCACAACCCTGAGCGTTATATGGAAAACAAATCTGACGTCCATCCGGCGTGTGTGTCCAGAGCGCATGATCACTCTTGCCCTTGCCACCGCCGAGGCCCTTGCCATCGCCCTTGGATTCATCGCGGTTGGCCTTGCCCCCCTTGCCGTTCTTGCCCTTTCCATGGCCACGTCCTTTGCCTGTTCGCTGCCACTTGGCCGGGCTCTCGGACCAATCATTGTCCCACTGTCGGAACCGTCGCTGTGGCCAGAAAGGATCTGGCCGCGGTGGAGGTGCAACCTGCTGAAGGGCAATGGGCGATGTGAAATACTGCTCCTTGAGCTGAGCATCGGACGTCACCTCCACGAGTGTATCCTTCAAAGGCCGATTGCCCTGTACAGCCCGTTTGATTGCCTCCTTTCGCAACTCAAACTCGAAATTCAGCAACACTGACCAAGGGGGCCGCAATGGTACATGTTCGGTCTGATTGCCCTTGCCCCCTGCCATCGGCACCTTCAGAAGGTAAACCTTGTCAGACAGCAGAAAAGCAACATACTGATTCCAGCACTCGGGGTCCATGCCTCGCAAGAGCTCGCGGTTGCGATACTTGGTCGCCAAGAAGCACCACAAGTTGCACTCAACACGCATCACCGTGCGCAATTCCTCAGTGCCCTGAGGCAATGATCCCTTGACCTTTGTCCGCACGATACGAACATGGCCTGAAGAATCGACTGCAGTCTGGATCCCCTGAGTCTTCACAGTCTTGCGTGATGTAACCTCGGACAGCGGCGAAGCCGTCGGCTCATGAGCCTCAAGCTCCTCCATCTTGCATGAGATGTAATCCTCGGAAGGCTCATGTGCATCTTCAAGCCTGCCGTGGGTCGCCTCGAAGGCGGCTCTCATCGCACTCCGATCTGTCTGTGTGACGGGCCTTGAAACCCCCAACACGCGCGCTTCCGCGCGAAGCTCCTGCTCTTTCGCGGCAAATTGTTGACATGCCTCCCAAGCACTAATCACAGCTGAGATCCCAGCGCGCTTATCAAGAGTGGTAGGCTCCAGAGCGAAATCGTTCTTCAATGCATCTCGTATCCCTGCACGGGTGTCCTCATAAGACTGAAACCGCCTCACAGTCTTGAAAGACTGTGTGAGTTTGTACTGCAATCCAAGCGGGACTCCAGCTTCCTGAAGGATGTGTGCAAGTTCAGCATCGACTTCACTGGACAAGAACTTCGAAGCCGCTTCCTCACTCACTCCAGCTGGCAAATCCATGTCTGGAACTCACTGCAAGCTACCACCGAACACACTGTGTGAAGAAATGCCACAGTGTCTGAAGAGTCTGATTGGCTCACCTCAATTCGCACAACGTTAAGACAAGAAAGACATGTCAAAGCACTGCACCTGATACTGACGTGACTGCGGCTCTTCTCAATCTGATGCAATGTCCCAATCTGATGCTCACGGGACGTGGCACAACCGAAGTACTTCCTGCTTTGACTCACGGGACAAGCCCCTGATGCGACGAAATTTTCACCCCCTCATGTGTCACGGCTCCACTGCATCTGAGGATGCGGACTCACTGCTGACCGCCCCTTGCTCCTTTAGCCGGGGCCTGCATAACTTACAAATTGCATCTGCAGAATCCTGAGTGATGCTGTACAAAGGAATGGTCTCCAAGCAACGCTCCTGCCTTACAGCACAAGTGCGCGACATGTGAAGACGTCTGTGCCCACTACGACTCACAACAACAAAGTATGGCGCATCTGCATCCTCCGGAGAAGGCGCCGGCTGGTCCTTCGGTGGCTCGGCCACCGCTTGCTGATGGCTTCCGGGGTCAACTGCAATTGCCGGAAACTTTCCTTGAAGACTCCAGCACAAGTTGAGTGCACACCACACCATGACATTGTGGCGTGCAACAGCCCCGTTAGAAACTCCATGTTGCTCCGCAAACGCCTTTAAGCGAAGAAGCAGCTCCTCCTCGATGTAGCCGGGCTGGTTCTTCCCAGTCAAGAGTGTCTCGCACACCTCAGCCTGAACTTGCTGTATAATTTGTCTGGCCGTCAGCACATAAGCGGTTGACCCCTGCCGGGCAGCCGCCCACCGTCCGAGAAAGTCGCGCTTCTTTTCGTCGATCCCAATTGCTGCCGCCAAGGATGGAAGGAAATGCCTCGGCGAGTGCCCGGACCAGAAGAGCGCCAGCTCCTTTGGAACCAGCTTCGTTGTCTTGCTCAGACCCCAGACTCCATCTTTCTTCCCCGGGACCGGCAGCTCCAGGATCACACGTCGTACAAGGTTGGCGACCCCCTCTGCTCCAACGTACTCCCTCGATTTGACTTCCCACGACTCACCAATGTCTGGACACAAGAAATCCCGAGCAAACTTGAAATCCTCGCTCATCAAGAGTTTGCATGAATGCGCAATCCAGTCATAGCCAGAAAGGCTTATGCTCCTCACAAGGTATCCGTGCAGCTGCCCGATCCGTTTTCCAGGTCCAGAGGTCTTGGTCCGGGAAAGAACAAATTTCATTCCAAGCTGTGACAGCGTAACACTCGAAGGATCGATCCCCTGTATATCGTCACATCGCAGCGTTCCCCAACACATAAGCAAGAAAATGAAGCATCCGAACCGCAGCCCCGGGGGTGTCCCGACCTTCACCAGCAGAATCTCAGCCGAGAGCACCATTGCCACCGTAACGAGCTCCGCCTGCTTGACCGGCTCGGCACCTGTCTCCAATTGCATCGTCCATGCCTTCACAGACTCCACAAGTAAAGGATCCTCCGACAGCCTATCTGCTGAAGGCCTCTGCCCAACCAGCTCCAGCAAACCGAGGCTTGACAAGATACTCTGCGGAACAGTCTTCCCCATCGGCCTGATCTGATGCCTCTCATCAAAGTACTGCAGCAACAGCGATGCGTCTCCTGGCCAAGGTTTCCCGGTCGCCTGAATCATCCACTCGCGCACCGGCTCCCACGTGCGAGCCCGATTCTTCAAGGTCTTGCCGCGCCTGCTACCGAAAGCCCGTAGCCAGGCCGATTCCGCGTCAGCCAGCGACCCAATTCTCTCAGATGCTGGCAGATCCGCCTCCTGGATGTAGCCCGCGAGCTTGAGACCCCAGCGGCGCCTGCACAAGTCCTCTGCTTCCACACGCGCCCCTGTTCCAGCTTTGCGAAGCTTTAACTTCTTCTCAAGAGCAGCCAAACCCAGCACAGGGTCAGAAGCCAAAAGCCCCTCATACAAATCGGCAGCCGTCACACTGGGCCCACGACGGATATAAGGCCCACGTCGGACATTCTGCCCGATCTCGCGAACAGTCCTTTCCACTGTCCCTTGATGAAGCGCGCACCACTTATGCACTGACTCTGTAAGCGCCACACGATCCTCAATCTTAAGAACATCACTCATCGAATCATCCACGATTGCCTGTACATCCTCAAGCGTAGCTGCAGCCAAGCAAAAGTTTCCAATATGCAAGAAGACCTTCGAAACACGCTCGCAGAAAACAGGGTTGATCTCTCGAAGCTGCTGCCACTCCGAGCCCATTGCCGGAATTCACTCATGGTGAGCCATAGCGCCGGAGGTCCCCTACGCCCACCCACTCACAAAAGAACTTGAGTCGTAACTTTGCCGTGCAAGGATCTCGTTCACACTGTACAGTGATCAAGCACTCAATCTAAAATCAAGCCGAGGTAAAATCAAGCTCAAGTGAAATCGTCAATCACATGTCCGCAAGGATTCAAGCGTTCAGAGTCGAACTGTTTTTCCCCCCCCACCCCCCCTCAAGGCTCTCGAACACACTTTTGGTAGGACCCAAGCAGCAAGGCAGCGCTAATGCAGCCAGCAAGGCGCAAAAGCGGCACATCTCAACCACGGTGCTCACGTAAAGGACAACTTGACTTGTTTTGGCGTAGGTTTGGATTTGCTTGAGCTTTTGGGCTTCGCCACCATGGAAGGTTGCCCAAAAGCCAAGAGGGACTGCTTGGGCCCCGCCTCTGGTGCTGTAGACTCGTCACGTTTGGTGCCGAAAGGGACTGCTGCTTTTGTTTTGGGAACAGCAGGACCTGATTGGCCCAAAGTTCATAGGAGCACATCACATGTCTCTTCCAAGCGGGCCGCTTCAGCATTGCAGGAAAAGTACAAGAAAACCATGGAACATGTCAAAAACATAGGCAAAGCTTGTAAAGGCTAAGAAAAGCTATAAAAAGCTATAAATAGCTAAAAAAGACTAATAATTTCCTGCAATGACGTCTCGATTGGACCTGTGGCTTTGGGTTCAGGAGTTCAGGGTTTGGAGATAGTGGCGAGGGTTTTGGGATGAAGATAAAGGGTTCAGGGTGGCGGATTTCGGATGTATGATTGAAGGTTCTGTTTGGTGCTTTAGGGTTGGCAGTTAGTTGAGCGGGGGATTTTTCCTCGAATTATGTGGCATGCAGTGCGTTTTCCAATCCACTAGAAAAAGCTAGAAAAAGCTAGATAAAGCTAGAAAAAACTAGAAAAAGCTAGAAAAAGCTAGATAAAGCTAGAAAAAGTTAGATTTTTCCTGATTTGGGGCCGGGGGCCCGGCTAAGGAATTCCATTGAAAAGCTAGGCAAGGCTAGAAAAGGCTACAAAAAGCTTGGCATGCTTGAGCCACCTGAGGACCCAGTTTATCACATGTTCAGCGAAGGATTTTACCAGGATTTATTTAGCTCCTTTAATGGTGCCCCGGCTGCGAAGAAGCCTACTTAGAAGAAGCATTAGATGCGCCCCTAAGAAAAGTGGTGTTACCCGAGCCTTGTGCCACCTTGCCCAGTTGGCTGACAGCTGCACGGCCGTCGCAAGGTTTTTGCAGCTGCTTAGCTCCGACACCTGAGTGTGGCCGCTGTAGCCTGCCACATTTAGAACATGACCATTGCACACCCATGTTGACCATGGCATGTGATTCGTGAATGCCCCACTCTTTCAAGATCTCACCCCCACCAATGCAATGATGGGACATGAGGCGATTGAAACTGGCCTGTTCAGCAATCTGTTGCACGTACAAGCCGCATTTTCCACATTTCATCGTTAAGTTGGTAGGGCCTTCAGCGCCTTTGATCCACTGGTGACCCAAGGGATCCTCAGGCATTGCAAGCTTTTCCAACATGCGCTGTTTTTTGTTTAAGGGCTTGGCAACACTAGAGCTGGGACCAGGGTTCTCAGCAGCCGGAACATCATGAGCTCGCTGAGCTCTGGACTTCGGCGCCTTAGTGGGTTTGGGTTTAGAAAAGGCGGCACTAGGGACAACCAAGGGCCTAGGGACACCCTCAGGGACAACCTCACTAGCTTCCTTATTGCAGCGTTGCAAAATCCACGGAAAGTCATTGTCTTTTTTGTGCAGAAGAACATGACCAATCTTACGGGCTAAATGCAAGCATACATCCTCGCAAACTTGATCAATCTCTGTGAGCCTAGGTCTGCTTGAAGCTCGGAACGCCTGTGCAGCACGTTTGCCACAAAGGTCGTGGCATTGATCAAGCGCCTCCATTCCGGAATGTCACGTTCAGCAAAGTAGGCTGCAGTTTTGTGACTGGAGACCCAGTGTACCTTTGCCCGCTCTCGACAGTGCCAGACAGACCCCCTACCCCTCTTGGACTGATGCGGCACCTAGTGTCTTTTGAGCACACTTTACAAGCTCTAGACCTAGCTTCTCAGGATAGAACCCTGAATCTTTCAATTCCACCTGTACATGTTCATGCACTTGGTCACAATCCCTTTTAGGAAACACTTGGACCCAGCGTTTACTGTTCGTGGCAAAGTACCACCGTTTAAACACACAGTCGTACGCACAGCGATCTACCACAATACCCTCAGAAAGCCCCAATTCTGAAGCAACCTGAAGATACCGCGGGTCCTTCCAGAGGTCGTTCTGCAGAGGCCACTCTTGAGTCAACAACAAGCGTTCACTCCGAGCAACCGGTTTCAACAAACCTTCAAGAAGTTCCCAAGCACGCTGATGCAACTTCTTCTTCTCTTCCCACTTCTCTTGACTGTACTTGCGCCACCCGCGGTAACGCAAACGACACCCAGTGGTACAGGGAGTGGAGATATGGCAGTAGATCTTAGTCTTCAAGCCACAACTCAACACAGAAAACAACTCCTTCAGAAAACACTGCGTCTGCTCAGAACAAAAGTCAAGCTTTTCAGTGACGCCCACATAGGCAATCTCAAGCTTCTCACATGCCTTCTGTAAGGCACTTTCTTCCTGGCAGAACAGTTCAACGACCACAAAGGTGACCTGGTTCTTCGCCACAGCTTCACACAGTGAAACGTACTCCTCAGGAACAAAAGAACGGTTTACCGGCTCTTCTGCAGTCAGGCGTTCCAACTCAAACTCACCCAACTCGTCTTCAAAAGAAACCAAACCGGTTACCTCGTAGAGGTTGTCCAGCTGCTCCTGAAAGACCATACTCTTGGTCAGGCCGTCGGAGGCATTATATGCTCCGGCCACAAACTCGAGGATCACTCTCCCCGACTGAACCATCTGCTGCAGGAAAGCACACCGCAACTCCAGGTGACGAACCCTTCTCAAGAGTCCCTCCATTGAAGCAATCGCCTTTGCCGACTCAGAATCGGTACAAATCCGGATCCAAAAGCTTCCGGTATCATCCTCAGGCAATCCCTCCAAAAACGACTGTTGAAGCAACCCTGCAAACAAAGCCTCTTTCACAGTCTCTACCAAAGCACTCAATTCAGCCTCGGCACTGCTCAGGGCCACAACCGTCTGTTTACGGCTAAAACTCTTCAGGAGGTTGCACTGCCAGCAGATAATCGCCCCACTCACAGAGGGCAAATTCCAGCTAGCATCACAGAAACAATCGATCACGCGCATACTTTCCGAAGGGCGATAGTTCACCCACTGTGCCGGGATCCGCTGAACCCGATTCCCAAGCGTGAGAACCCAACGCAGCACAGCTCGAATACACGCTTCACTCCTGGAGTCTGGGTTGCTCTGGCTCCAGGCCAGAAAACCTACAACAAACTGCAAATCAGCTCTTGGGCTCCCTTCGTGATTTGATACTCTTCCGCACAGCTATGGAGCATCCCGGGTTTGAGTCCGAAGTACAAGTCTCCGGTCTTCCTCTGATAAATGTTTCTCCCAAGAAAGGAGATCACCGATTTCTCTCCCGGTTGAAGCGTTCCCGTGCGCTTCATCTTGAACACTTTACTCAGTTCCTCAAACACTTTCTCAGCTACACTAGCAACCGTGCTGAAAACCAAGATGTCATCTACATAGGCCAACACCAACACAATGGCATCCTTGCCTTTCTCCTTGATCACCTTGCGATACACAGTGCTGTCAGCAGTGACAAAGAAACCAAGTTTTCTCAGTGTTTCTCCTCGCTCACGAAACCAAGCCAAAGGCCCAATCCGCAAACCATTCATGGCACGCTTCAGGAGACAATGCACACGTTCACCTGACACTGTCCTACAGTTCTCCGGCAGCTTCACCACCTCAGTAGAAAACAGCTTAGCCTGCATGAAGGCCACAGAAATATCTCCCGAAATCACCTTCCCTCCGAAATGCGCATACATCCCCAACAGACACCTCACAGACTCTAAGGTAGTAGTAGGAGAATAGATGCCATCAGCTAAAGCAGAGGTGGGCCCCTTAAAGTCACGCACAACCAAACGGCAGCGCACACGCTTGTGCCCGTCCTTGTAGTGCAACACCCACCTGGTGGAAAGCACTCTCCTCTTGGCCTCCCGCACAAGGCGAAACGCCTCCTTCTCCGACACAACCTGGCACACACCAAAGTGGTCCAGTTCCTCCATTTCAAGACGCATCCCTTCCCCAAGTTTCTTCTCCTCAAGAACCTCTCCAGTATACTCATCAGCAGCCCCAGAAGGAACCTCAACCTTCACCTTGGACCCTCCAAACTTCAAAGTAAACTCCAACTTGGCAGCCCTAGACCCTTTAGCGTCCTTTGCCGCGAACACAACCTCAGGTCTAGAACACATGGAGTACAAAGCATGGTCCTCCAGCCAGCTGATCGCCACCTCCATGGGATCATCATCGTCGGCCGGCTGCATGTCCACATCGTACAAAGGTGGGGCCTCGTTCTCTCCTGCAGGGGGCCCTTCAGGGAGTACCTCTTCCTCCTCAACTGGAGAAGGATCATAGTCCATAAGCTCATCCTCCAAGAGCTCAGCTGGAGCCTCCGGCTCCGCACTCCCCCTCTCAACTAGATTACCCTTAGGCTCTCCAGGCTGAAAGGCTTCGGGGGGCTTCAGGTCTAAGGAAACAGGACGCTCTAAAACGTTGTCTTGCCTAGAAGGGGCACCCGAATCAGCGGCTTGTACCACCAACTCCTCAGGATACAGATAAGGCTGGTCCGGCCGAAAGGCCGACATCACCTCGACCTCATCAGGCCGATCAAGAGGGAGCACACGCACTCCTCCACCATTGGGCTTAGCAGGCCCTAGGTACATACACGGGATGAGGCGGCGGCCTCGATTCTCAGGCTTCTGCTTCGCAGGTTTGGCAAAACCCTTGCAACCAAAAGGAAACGTCTTCGTCACGG